GACCTATTTTGTGTGATCGATGCCATAAACAAGAAAAGAACACACTAAACTTGTAAAAATGTGTGCATCATTATTATTAGTGTAAAAAAAATTCATAATTTAATACTAGCATTCTCCTCTAATCACATGACCAACAACCATATGAGATGAACAAAAAGCACGTGCCGATATGAATGAATTTCCTTATCATTTTTGCAAATTTAAAACTATAAAAGGAAAGAATTCTGTGGATCCCATGATTTTTTTCAGTAACTTGTTGTTGATTCATCAATTGTTATGTGCCAACATAGATGGTGGAGAGGATGATGACGGTTCAGAATATGTGTACGCAGAAGAAGAACTTAGGTATGATCTTGAGCACTTACTGGATGAACCTGAAGAACACTTGGATCTCAGGTGTGCCCACATTGTGGAACGTCTTCTCTTGTCAGATTGTAAGACACTTTTGGAGAGGGCAACAAGGAAAAAATACAAGGGCTTGCAAACCTTCCATCACGAGTTTTCAAAGACAATACAATTTGTCTACGAGGCAGAGAAGTTCAGCTTATACTTTTCTGCTCAATAGGAAGGTAATGCAGAGCCGAGGGAGGGATTGAAGATTTTGATTGACAAATCAAGCATTGAAAAAGCAAAACATATTTTAAAACGATTCAAACGTGTGAATTTGACAATTGTTGTTCATAAATGGTCAAGAAATTTATCTGATGTGGATCTTGTTAATATAATGCAGCAATTTGATTTTGTTACCGATTTATATATTCTAGACTTGACGCATGAATATGTAATTCGGATCGGTGAATCTTATAACATGTTACAGAATTTTCTAAATTTCGAAAAAATTCCAAAATTGCGAACACTTAAAGTGAAGCATATGTTTGTAACAGATGAATTCTTAGAGAAAGTGAGTAACATGAAACTGCAAAGTCTGATGTTTATTGGATGTACTTTTCTCATTTCCAAGGATACTGTGCAAACTGTGCAACAATGTAAACAAATTGAGGTGACTTTTGGAGAATCATATGAGAATATCTGTTTCAATAGGTGCGGGAGGTTTTATACTCATATATCGCCTCCGGCACATAAACAAATGATAAAAATCCAAGTCAATATAAATAAGTGCGTAAAATTACGCAATCTGGCGGTAAACATGGGTGAATATGCGAATGTTATGCCTAGTGACCAAATAGTAGGTGGTCTACGGTATTTAACATTAGGTAAGATGAACTGCGATCGGCTGCTCTCGTCTTTTCGGTGTTATGGTACTACACCAGAATATTTATCAATTGACATTTTTGATCTAAAGCTCGCTGTCAGTTTTTTAAAGGAAATTAACCGAAATGAACTTAAGCATTTAGTATTAATTTGTGTTACGCATGGACATTCTCTGAAAACTTGTGATGCTTCTAATTTATTGAACCTAGACTTTGCCGCCCTTAAAGTTTTAGAAATTGATGCTGGCGGTATATATAATAAGCTAAGTAGTGGGTCAACCAGTGAAATACAAATGCGAAAGTTGGAAACACTAATAATCCGGCACTTGTATTTAGATGAAAAACTCTTGAAAATGATAACTGAGCTGGAAATGTTGAAACATCTTGAAATTTGTATTGCGAATCGGTATTTTGGTCCAAGAATTCTACATAGACAACTAAGCAATTTGAAAGGTCCAATAGAAAAACTCCTTGTTAGTTCTGAGTTGACCATTTATGAACTGGTGAGGTCGATAGAACCTTTAAAAATGCTAAAAGAATTTCGCATAGATGGTAGATCCATTCAGTCATCATTTGATAGCCTCGCCAATCAAAATTATGATAAATGCCAACCTGCAAAAGTTGACGCAAATGAACAGAATTTGATGGAGAGTAAGAATGTGGTGCATCTTAAACTTCACACTCTTCATGTTAGCGTAGATTCAACTTATGAAGAACTAATCAAACTTATGTTGTGTCAAGATTTTGAAGCTTTCGCTGACATTAAGAAACTGGTGATTGATGTAATAGCAATACTTTCAAAAGACAATCAGGTGTCGTCTGAAAGTTCGCCAGAACTGCTAAATAACTTGATCAAAAATATTTTTGAGACGTTCAAACAGCTTGATGTACTTGTGTTCTGTTATAAGAGTTTTCACATTTCTGAAGAAGAGGCGCATATTCTCCGTGAGTTTTTTTCGTCGAGATGTAAATCTCTTAAGGAACGATGCGAGTGGTCAGATGAGTGCAATGAAGAACAAACCATTTTCGAGCTTTATAAGTAAAAGTTAAGTTATTTTTCGATATTCTGGTGCTGATTGTTTATTTTTTATAATTGTAATGATCTCAGGTCTCATTGTTCATGGTATTCAAGCAATCTACAACATATTAATGACATGTAACAGCATGAATGAATGATGCTGTCAATCTAAACACAATGGATTGTGTCTCTTGCACATGATCAACGCCATTGCTGCAGAAAATTTGTTGATTTAAACAATTAAGGTCTTTGTTAATTCGTAAAGCGATTTAAAACCGCTTGTGTTGAGATCACTGCACGGTCATGTTAACAGTAATGAAGTATTTACCAAAAGTAAGAGTTGGTATGATGTTGTGATCTATTCGAACATACTACGAATGACATGTCTTCTAAGAAAGCGATTCGTGCAGTGTGCTGTGAGATAGTCTAGCTGTAATGCACCAGTAGAAGCGTGACAAGCAGTTTGAGATTTGCTAATTTTATCAATTCACCTTTGTTGTTTTAGAAAATTGTTGCTGTTAATTCTGCAACTAATGAGCTGCGTTAATTAAATACGTGTTGGCACATTCATGTTTGTCTATTGCCTGACAGATATTGACAGGAGAAATTGGTCGTTCTATAAAAGGTATGAGAGAGAAACAATATGGCATCTCTTCTGGGAATAATAACAATAAGTTGAGCATCGAATACGCTTTCCTGACTGGATGTTAAATTGCCACGGATCACATTTATCTGCAGATCTGAGAAGAAAAATTCCTCAAAGTGCTCATGAGAGGAAGTGTCGCGTAATTCATGGTTGGCATGTTAATATTACTGTTGCACTTGTGAAATATTTTCATCATCATTATATAAATAAAAATACAACCTGGAAGCTGATTGGTCAGTTATGTGGAATAAATTATTTGACCCTTTGAGAAAAATAAAAGATTTTGTTTCATGTATTTGCACTGAATGAAGAGTCAAAAGTTGTTGTACAACTCACTCTTACCGAAACGCCCTCAATTGTTATCTGCTAACAACATCAAAATTACACGATCACCGAATAGTAGCTAATTAATTAACCCCTACCATAGAATCTTAAACAATAAAAAAAAACATAATACGACATATGAAAAGAAGAAAGTATCATTGAATGGAAAGAACACTTTTTTTGTTTTATAAACAGAAATAGCGCAGCTAATGTTATACAAAAGATAAATAGACATATTTTTTGTTGAAAAAGCATCTATTTTCGTATACACAACGCTTATATGAGTCAACGAAGGAACGTGCATGTTTGCCACCATTGTTCATATTTGCGCATTACAACCATGTGTACATCGCTATCAAGCATTTATTGATCAAATTTTTCTCTGAAACGAAAGGATTTGAGCTATGGATTCAAGGATGATGCGTATTAGTCTGATTATTTGACTACTCGGGACCAATAGCATACTAAGATTCAAAAGTAACCGTAAAGCTCGAGCTATTCTATTTAAGCAAATGAGAAAAAGGCATACTGATAAGGCTATCGGTGTAAGAGCAGGATCGGAACTTATAAGTGTGGTTATGATGGTAGATACTTCGAATTAAAGGCAGCTTGCAGGGCTCCTGATTGGATTTACGTACATATTGTCATCATATATGTCGAAATCACCACTGTTCAAGAAATATTGCACTCTGACTGTAGTTCGTGCGGTACAGATGTTTTATAACATGTTAAACAGGATTGTAATCCAGTGAACTGTTTTGTACGAATCAAAGACAGCATACCCTTAATAGTCCAAGAAAGAGACTCGTTGTTTTTCTGTTACCAAGGAGGTGAAAACTTATGTTCTAGTATATTAATTGAATTCCACAGAGAGAAATTGGACAAAAATGTGTTAAATGAATTACAGAGGGCGATCAGATGAGCTTGTAGTTTTTTAGAATGTTATTTTACGAAAAAAATATATGTTATTATTCATGAACTGCTTGCGAATTCAACGCATAAAACTGCCTTCAAAATATGCATTCTAACTATATTATATACAAACGGAATGACATATTTTCTTCTCATTTCTCCTTTTTATTTCTCACTCCACGTGCGAATATGCAAGTTTCAAATAAATAAAATAAAATACGGAGCTACCCTTTGGTATGTTGTACAATCCCGCGGACCTTAAGAATAAGGATGTTCTCATTGAAAATGCGCTTAACTCTCCAATGATTGATTTGAAGAAGTTGCGACAGTACACATGGTGTGGTGTTCCACATCACCACCGCAATAAGATATATCGATTGCTTTTCGAGGTAAATTCTTTGCAAAACAGCACATATCACAAAGAAATAATCGAAAATAACAATGTGTACTTCCAGAAAATCCTTAATGTAAACGAAATTTCTGGAAGTAGCAGCTGTTATGTGTCTCATATGCAGTTCAAAGTTGACATTGATAGGAAGATAGCCAAGCAAATAGAAATTGATGTTGATCGGATACCAAGCCAGCATCTAGTGTACAACAACATATCACTTCAATTTATTTATGCTAACATTTTGAAAGTCGTTGCAAAACGCCGACCAGCCATCGGATATGTGCAAGGAATGGCGGACCTGCTAATTCCGCTCATAGAGATCTATAAGAACGAATTTTTCGTTGAGTCCACCGTGTACGCCACGTTCTCAAAATTACTTGATACATTTCAGGACTACTTCGTGGATGGGCAACAGGGCATTACAAAGGCCATAAAGAAATTCAAGAAGATACTTCGAATGGTAGATCCCATTTTATACACGCATATCATCAATATTGGGCTCGAACTGCATATGTTTGCCTTTCGATGGTTCAATTGCTTGTTTGTACGAGAGTTTAAAATAGAGTACTATCTTTTGTTCCTGGACTCGATGCTTGCCACAAGTAACTATGAGCTCTTTGTGATATATTTTGCTGTTTCTTTGATAGTAAATCTGAGAAAAGAAATCCTTAGCCGAGACTTCAATGACGTGTTGCTGTTTCTTCAGAGTCTTAACGAGCTTGATTGGGAGTATACTGAACTTAAAATTCTATTCGCAAGTGTCTACGTCAATGTTAATGTATTTGAAGAAAAATTTTACTACGAATTTTGATGTATGTAATTCTAAATAAATAAACCTATTTATACGCTTGAGAGATCTTATCACCTCTTGTTTGTATCTCTCTTGATAAAATAAGTTATTACTTCGTATTCATCCATGGTACAAGAAGCAATAGATAATAGACAAGAAAAGCTGCTTGTTTAGTGTCATCTCAATCAAATAAGGAGTTGTAGTCAAACAATATCGATAATGGTAAACAGCGATTAACCTAAGTTGCTATTATTGCATGTTGCTTTCATTCAGATATTCACATCACATCCATATTTCGCAAGAATAGCCGAAGAGTTCAACTGTCAAATCTGAGCAGCAATCCTGTCTTTTATTGCTGATACAATGTTGGATTAGAGGTACTGCCAGACACGGCAGAAGATTAAAAACATAACCGTCCTAATTTTTAACAATGAACAGAGCTTAGTGGTACATTGTGTGGTTAACACATTAGTTTATACTTTTTTACTTAAAATCACACAGTTAAATTTTTTGTTCCATCAATAAACCCTTTTTAACTAAACGTATTTGTTTATCACCTTACACTCAATACCATCCTAGCAAACATCTTTTTCTGGTCCGCTGAGACATACGATGGCTACGTTGTTAGTTAATGGACCATTTAGTTCTGATGTTAATCTATATCAACTTAAAATAATGTAAATATTTATTTAACTGAATTACTTATCATACGGAACTAAATGATATCACAGCTTATTTGTGTAGTATAAATTGAATCCCGTTTTGTAACATCTGCGCTTTTTATTTGCAACTGCTCGTGATCCGGCACACTAACCTATGCTTTAACATCATTGCTGTAAAAACATGGTTTATTGTTTGAAATCCTCAGCAGTAACCAACCAGCAATCATCATTGTAATGATACCAACGAAACCACCAACTTCGATATTTGTCGAATATCATAGATAAACATGGATCAGAAAAACGACATAGTATACAACAATCATAAAGCTCATTCTTCAATGCATTTTCTCAACATGACAACAGAAACTTCAAAATGTTTTCATATGTATTTACATCAACGCCTGTAAATTTGAATTGTACAGTTGATAATGTTTAATATTTTAGCTTCATATGTACAAAAAGTCGTATTCTATAAGTATGAACGATTTCCGGCATTTTGTACTGTATTCATGCATCATTATGTCAAATTGGCCTGAATCACACAAAAACATAAATTATTTAATTTATAACGCATATTCTCACATGTTTATGTTCCCAACCCCAACAAATGAATATTTTGCTTTATTTACTGCTATCTCATCAAACTTACCCGTCTCTAACAGTGGATGCCTTCCACTCCGCGGAAACCTTCTTAATATTTCACTATATTGAAAGAGAAAACCTGAGATGCACGCTGTGTACAGCAATAGAAAGAAGATTACCCGAACTTGACATTCCAATCTATACATTAAACCCATACAAAGATGTTTATCTCGGGCTTTGTTTGTTTACAACGACGTTTCCAGCATTCACAGTCCATGAAAAAGACCGTTTTTACAAGCTGAACGTGTATTCATTTGAGGAACTAAAACAAGTTGTAAATGAGAAGAAATGGATGTCTCACAAACAAGCATATCCCAACAATTTATTCACGAGAATCTGTGCTTATATACTTTTGCCATTTTTGTACTTTTATGTAAAATTTACCAAAACAATAGAAACACTTCCTGGTTGGTTCCTATCGATGCTATTTGGTGTGGTAGGCGTATTTTTATTTTTTAGTTTATTTGATATATTCACCAAGGAGTAACCCAGGTGTTACGAAGCATCGCTATTCTTGTATATAAACATGTTTAATAATTCTTTAATATTAATGTTGATCATCGCTGCCAGTTTATGTGATATTTTTACCATCTACTCACGTATTTGATTCACTTCCTTTTTTACCAATTTATACCAATCACACTCCTATACCGAAGTACAATTTGTCATTGCGCTTGATTTTATTAATTTTTGCGTTGTTTTATTGAGCGACTAGCTGCGCTATCCCGTTTTTCAAAAATGTGTGTATGAATGGATAGTATGTTAAGACAGCGCTTTTGAATATAACTGCAACATCAGGTCATTACTTTCTACCAACTGTTTCATGGTTACAAAATCAATAATTACCGAATAAAGAACAACCATATTTTCCGAACAGGTCGGCCTGTCAAAGCAGTATTAACAGCATTTTGCTAATGAAAGTGTACAAAACCAGTTTCTTACAAAAATTGAAGATCAATTAAAGCTTTAATCAACGGCTTTGGAAATAAATCTGTTCTCTGCTAACGAAAGCGTACATACGGAGCCATCATCAAAATCTGTGAATTATGACTCGTAACATAAAACGATCTATACAATCATACTCGTTTTTCATTGTTTTTTGTAATCTATTATCTTTAAAGATGCCACTATCCGTATTTTTTTCATTAAGTTTCTGGTTTGGGCCATTCCACAATTACTAAATCCAGCCATAAATTATAATGGCTATGAATCAAACAAGTATCTTGTTTGTTCTGCTACAGAAGAACATAAATACTTGCATCGTATTATTGCATCTTAACTTTCATAAGCGCCATATTATAGCAATTTTGATTTTGCTCCATATATAATGCTGTTTACTACCTACCACTAAATTTTACCGTTCATAATAATTCTTCACCATGAATATTAAACGGTCTGTCGCTCTATCGTATCGTATTCCTTTTAATTTTCCTAATTTATCACATATAACTGCTGTTTTTAAGTCACCCTCATGATATTAAGCTTGGCACCAATGTTGAAAGTCACAACACCACAATTCCGGTCTTTGATCCGGATCATTTCATCCGATGTCTATTTATTTACAGAAATGCTATCAGCTGAGTATATTTTGAACAATGATGGGTACCAAACACGGATAGGAACGTATGATCCGCTCACTATCATACAATTGGGAGGAAACAATCCGAAGAAAATCAGTCTTGCAGTCTTGAAAGTAATTAAGCAAACAAATTTTCGCATGTTCAATCTCAATTTGGGTTGTCCGTCACCGAAGGTAACCCAAGGACAGTTTGGAGCCTCTTTGATGCTGGACGTACAGTTGGTAATAGACATTATTAACGAAGTATACAATGTTGCAAACACTGTATTATCTGTTAAATGTAGAATTGGAGTGGATGAAAACGATACTTTTGCATTTTTCCACAAATTCGTTGAAAAAGTGGCAGGTAATACGAAATGTAGAGATTTCTATGTGCATGCTCGGAAATGTTGGTTAAAAGGGCTGTCGCCAAAAGAGAATAGGAACATTCCTATGCTCAACTATGAATTTGTGCGTGCACTTAAGCGCATGATGCCATGTTTGAAGGTGCATTTGAATGGCGGTGTAAAGAGCTTGGATGATGGGGATGGACTGGATGGTGTTATGTTAGGAAGAGCTGCTGTAAAGAATGTCTTCGTGTTTGAGGACATAAGAATACGTGGTAAAATAGCCTGTGGGGATGACAAGTCTCCTGTCGGAGAGGATTGTGCCTGCCAAGACTATTTAAGTGATGTTAACACAGACTCAGCAAATTTAAAAACTTGTCATGGAACAGAAGAAGGTGAAAAGAACGAAGTTGAGCAGAGCGATTCATTAAGTTCGACAAATGAGAGCAATGGCTCTGAAGGACAAATAGATTATTACCACATTATAAAAACGTATCTTGATACGCTAGATCAGAACAAAAGTATAAAATCATGTGATGTTGTGCCATTGATGAATATTTTTAGAGGCAAAAGAGGAACAAAATGTTTTAAAACCCTTTTGAGCATGTTAGTGGGCAGAAAAGTAGCTGTTAGCGCATGCAAAGATGAAATAATGCAATGCGTAAAGAATGTGTTGAACCAATGAACGAGTTTAATTTAAAACTTCATGTTGATGTAATTCATTGCATATGTCATAAAATAGGTCTTTCTCTACGTTTGACATGCTGAAATGCCTGTCGTACATTATAATAAATATTTAATCTGGTGTCTTTTCTAAATGCGGTTGGCAATGAGTGAATTGCTTTTTGCGATTACTGTTACATGTTAATATTGATGATTTTGTTTGCATACTGTGAGTACTAGCTTAGTTCTACGAGCCTTGATAATTTATGTGTTTAATATCCGTACTGTATCATTTTTAAAGCGAGGATAATTTTGTTTTCTATGTAATAGGTGCATTCGGCCTAACCATCCGGTTACTACGTGTTAAAAATGTTTATATTGTTGAGAATGCTTTGTTTCATCTCCTGTAGAATAATATTTCGAACAGCTAAGTATTTTTGACTCTTTTTATCTTTTTTTCTGTATTTTTAAACAATGTTTTACCAGATCGATGTTATTTTATGCCTTCAACGTCATTCACTCGTAGATTGCACCCGCTCTATGGCGCTATCCTGTCTAGAACTCTCATTGCAATTTCTGTGCAGACAAAACGGTGCTAAAACAGCTAAATTGAAGTTAAACGTTTGACGTAATTATTTGTTACCAGGAGTTCTACTGGTAAATAAATGAACTGTTCATGTAAAGAAAGGTCAAATCAAATAGCTAGATTTTGAATTTTGTTTTCTTATTTGTTTATCTAGGCATTTTACTTCGATGCCATCAACCATTTTTCACTGTGCAGGATTAAAACCATACGTTCCCAATTTTATTTCTTTTTGTAATTTATTTTTAAAAAATATTTTCGTTTCACCCCTAGAAATGGCCCAGCAATTCAATCAATACAAGTTAATATTAATAGGAGATGGTGGTACAGGTAAGACGACATATCTTCAGAGGGTAAAAGAGGGCTCGTTCAGAAGAGAGTACATCGCCACAATTGGTGTAGACGTGCGCGACGTGACATTTAAGACGAATTACGATACTGAAATATCGTTTCAAGTGTGGGATACAGCGGGTCAGGAGATGTATGCTCAGCTTAATGATGTGTATTACATTGGTGCTAGCGCAGCAATCATAATGTTTGACGTGACTTCCCGTATTACGTTCCGAAACGTAGAGACTTGGTTGCGCAAGCTGCGTCTGCTCACTACCCAGAACAACAATAACATACCGGTGATAGTGTGTGGTAACAAAATTGATCTAAAAGACAGGAAAGTGAATCAGAAATACATCAGGGAGCATCTCAGCCGAGACATTACCTGTTATGTTGATATATCGGCCAAGAGCAACCACCATTTTGAGGTGCCTTTCCTTGTTGCTGCTAGAAAGCTCACTGGCATTGAGGACCTGCAATTTGTGGAGAATATTAATTTGCAGCCACCTGATGTTGTGTTAGACCCCGAAACCATATACGAGTCGCAACGTGTTATGGATGCTGTGCACAAGGCGCAGAATATGCAGCTGCCAGATGACAATTCATAAGATAATTAAATGATGTTTGATTGATTCGCCATTGACAGCCTGATCTGCGCCATTATTTGTATCGGTAGGCTGCCCGATCAGGCATACATGTGCTTTTTTTAATTTTGTTTTATGTGCCACTGATTTCCTAAGTCATTTAATCGCAATTTTTATTAAATTTTGTGTAAAACGGTTTGTATACGGACATATTACTCAAACATATTTTGGTTTTATGCCAATCTACAATGTTACTTCGTTTTTTCGTAATTACCTGACATATTGTTTATTTGCGGAATATAATGCATTTTTAATTACATTCGTGTATTTTACAGAGGATTTATCGTGTTAAATTAATTAAATGGCGTATTGAAAGGACACGTTCTAATAACTAGCAAGTATTTTAGCGCAATATCCCGGTTATTGAATGCTACTCACCACGATTACCTTGTTTTGCCGTGAAACAAATTTATTGGCAATAATCTATCATACAATACGAATACGCTTAATATTCCATGAAGCAGGGACTAATGGCCATGGTCAACTCCAGTGAACCAGAAAAGTATGTTTTTTTTGGACGTTGCTGGTGCGTGAAGATAAATATAGACTTATTTCTCGTGGAAAAAAGATGCTCTTGGTACTTATCAAATAATTCACCACCTCATCATCGTTAATAGAAAGAACAATAAATTGCTCGTTTGACCACCAAGAGCTTGTACCGTGTCACACAGCCCTTGAATCTACCATCCTGAAATAATTTATTATTGGCGTCAAAAACACAATATAACAAACAAAAATCATCACCAAGGATTTAATTGTGTGGCAAATTTATCAAATAATAGGAGCGTAGAGGGACCATATCATAAATGTGGTATATAAAGTACTGTCAACAACCAACCATTGCTCTATTAACAACTTAACGCAGGTTGTGCAAACGTGTACTTCTTTGATTCAGTTCTGAAACGCATTTGCCTCGTGATACGCACAGAAACCGGCACTGACCAACACATCCGTGTTGTGTGATAGATGTAAAAGGGCTGATGTATACGTTGATATAGCACATAGACCGTTCTCATCACAGCGTTCATTGCACTCAACATACTCTATTATAAGATGTTATAAGCCTCAAGCAATCGCTTTCTTTTAACACTTCTCTTTTTTCTATTACTGTCACTCATACTCCTCATGAGCACGGCCTTAATACCGTCCTCTATTTTATTTCCCATCTGCTCCACCACTAGTTTTATCCGCTCCTTTTCAAACTCTTCAAATAACCCGAGGACAAACGTCTTCTTGGTGGTGTTGCTGAGCATTCTGCTAACACTCACCACAAACTCAGCTATAAATACAGGGTTCCACGTAAAAATGAGTCCTTGCAAAATATCCATCTTCCTTTCGAGGGATTCCTCTAAATCCGTGATAATCATCATTTTGGTGAGTATTATTATGCTACGCAACGTCCAGTCCTTTACAATCCACTTCAATACAACCACAAAATCGTGGGCCGGATAATCCATTATGTACTTTTTTAGATGGTAAGCTATTATTTTGCAGTTTTCCTCGTTCCGGATCCATTCACCAAAATTGGCATCGTAGGTGCGATCCATTGACGTGATCGTCTTTTCTATTTTCTCGAGGTTGAGAGGCATGGATTGAAAAAGAAAGAGTTTTTTATCCTCTCCTTTTTAATTTGACCGTATGGAGATAAATTGCTGATAACAGGTTACCATTTATCTGAAATATAAAGCACGAATCTTACATCATAGGCACTAACACTGCTATAAAGATCAAAAATATGTGATTAATAGGTAAAACACACATATTTAAGGAGTATCAGATTCGCTTGAGATCTACATTCACTGTCTCATGGTACGCACTATCTGTAATACAATACGATACATGAGCTAGCAACCTATTATCGTCCTATCTGCTGTGGTTTGCACTGTTTATTTGTCAATTACACTTTTGAAGACATGCTTTAACCGGCTAATTAATTTTTTCTTGGGCAGAATTTAATTATTAATTAAAATCGCGTGGTGACAGCACGGCCATTCGCATACAAACCAGCGTACAACGTTTTACTGGTCCAAGATTGTGAAGTAATCCTGCAAAATTTTTTTCTTCTAATCTCTCCTTTTTCAAGAACAAATAATCCTTTTTTAACATTTGTTGAATTCGCAATTTATCATTTTAAAACCATGCCCGTGTAGTAAGCGGGTAAACGATTTGAAATATCACAGATACTTCGTAATATGGCCAATCAAAATCTTTAGATATGCTACGGAACACACTTCTGAAGTATTTATCGATAGAACCAAACATTTTAACAAACAATGTTTGTATGCTCTAATATATTTAATAATAATTTATTTTGCGCCCTATATACAGGTATGTATCGTTAGAGTGGTGCATTATGCGAGTTACTATCACTTCCTTTGTTTAAATTCCAAATTGTGGTAAAGAATTATTTCGTATAAGACAGTGGTTTAACGGTGCGCTGTTATTTTTAGATTATTTACCAGGATTCTTCTGAATTTTGCTAGTTGAAAAATGTTTTAGCCGATGTGAACATGAGAAATGGTAATTTATACTTTACGGTGATACAAATTAAATTTTAAGTGCGTACTTAAGATACTTGTGTTAGAACAGCAGTGCTATGCCCTATAGCATTGAAATAAGGCTTAAACATAAGTTTACATCAAATGATAACAACGTACTCCTTTAAGTCAAATTATTTTAATTTGTGATGTAGTGAGCAGCAAAATCATTTTTTCAGCTGATCAAGCAATAAAATGGTGTTTTGAACGTAACAAGAAAAGCATAGATAATGACAAACTGTAATAGTTTTTACTGCGGGTATAATAATAGTCTCGATCAGAATTGTTTACAGGAACTTTCAGTGACTGTCGAGATCTGAGTTTAGAAACGGAAAATGTTACTTACATTGTAACAATCATTGCTGTAGAAAGGTTATTTTATTGCTGACATAGGGAGGTAATATTTTTAACAAGGGGCCAATCGTAAGAATTAAATATCCTTCTACAAGGTAGCAATTTTATGTCAGCTTCTCGTTTGGTTATGCAACACGACTAGTGCTTCTGTTCTTGATGCTGCATTTTCTACTGCTATGAACAGCCGCATATTCCTCATATCTATAGGTGTTGGTAAAAATTATGGAATGAATACACAAATATATTCGTAAATTGATTGATGGCAGAGAACACGTTAAAAAATTATTAACGGAATCTGTTTGACGTACTTTTACATGTCGCGGCTCATCATATAAAAAGAAAGATTATGATGTGAAAATGACTGGTACCTTGAATAGAAAGATGGCGTGAATGTACCTGCGCTGTGATTTAGCACCTACCACACCCTATTCAATATTTGGTTCATGCGTAAGGATACATCCAAATGCTTCAAAATACAACAAATGATTTTACTAGCGAGATGTCACATTTCATCGGCAAATTGCTTCGATCCCTTATTTGTGTAAAGTGAACATCGATTCGTCACCAATCATACATGATACTCTTTCAGACGTACCAAACTGTTGGAATATCTTTCATGGATTGATGATCTTTCCACTGCATTTAAATATACTACCTTTCATCTCCTTTCGCTCATTACACACAAATTCTAATGTTTCCCTAAAATCACTCATACTTTCGTTCATTTCCATGTCATTAACGATACTCACAATCATTTCACATTCATTTGCATCCATTCGCTGCACGCTTTTCAAAATTACTTGTGAGTTTTTGAGTGGATCAATAACATGCTTGAAATAAAGAACCAGGCTTTCTAACGCTTCATGTTTTGTTAGAAGCATTAGTAGGTCAGGGAAATACAGGTCATAGAGCTTGAGCACGGACACGTTTGGTATTTTAGTAAATAGTAGGGTTTGAAAGAGTAAGTGTTGAAGTTGTGGTATTTTGTGATATGTTTTTAGAAGTATGCGCGTACATTTTCTGTATTTCTCAGTGGTGAAGTAATAAAGGACTGCTTTCTCAGGTCTGTGAATCTTCCAGTACTGCAATACCAATTTTTTGGACAGCTGTTTGGTTATCAAGAATCGATTCCCCTTTTTCTCAGCTGAAGTGTGTTCATTCAGCGGTTTTACCGATAGAAATGCCGCAGATGACGTGTCTTTGGTGCTCTCTCCCTGGATCGGCAACTCATCCATTTCCATATTGCACGCTTGATCTTTTCTATCTGCCTTTTCCTGTTCAACTTTACCGTTGAGCAGCTCGTCATGATCAATTCTGTCCAGCAGTTTGATTCGCAGTTCATTTTCAATCGCAAATCTGAGAAGATTTCTTTGGTGCTTCCTCATTTTTAAGATGCAGAACAGATAAAAGAGATAATTTATCTCTTTCTTCATGAAAACACTTCTTATACATAGGAAATATATCAAATCGCTTACTGTTACTCGCATATTGTCTGCTATATCGCATTCCAATACTACTTTGTATGTCATAAGATCTATTTTTTTTCTTTGTTGGCACAGTTCTATAACATTTGATCTGTTAAACGAATACTTTTTGGCTGTCTGTGCGTAGAAGAAAAGCGCTTTCAAAACATTCTGCGATTTGTACGCACATCTGCTGTAATGCAGAAATGTTTGCCTTGGATTGATTGGGTAAGCGAACTTGAATAGCTTGTGTTCTATCAAAGCGTCAAAATGGGTCTTCTTTTGAGTATTTGTTTCCCTATGAAGCCTGTCCTTATTCTCTGCGATAAAATCATCGTTTGTTTCTTTCATGACAGCGCTTGAAGTCTTTTTATCGCTATTCAAACATTTCACAGATCCATCTCTATCCTCAATTCGATCGTTTTCTACTTGTTCATTCATCAGACAACCGATAGATTCCTCGCTATTCATATGGTTGTTGGCAATATTCTTCTCTTCAACGAACTGTTCCTCTCGATTCTGAGCACTTCGATTCAATTTCCCTTTGTTCTGCTCCTTGCCATCCGTAAGATTAATTTGTTCAACCTCCTTATCGGATCCATTGAGTAAATCAGAGATGTGGGCACAAAATAGCACGCTGTTATACATCACTAAACTGTCACTTATCTCATCATACACTGCACTGAAAGCGGTCAACGCTATTTCTTTGATTAATGTGCCGTCGATCGCGTTGTAAATGAGAACTTTGTGCGAGAAGATCAAAACATACGATTTGACGAGTACGGCTTGATGGAAATCATCAGGTCGTTTTAGCACAACTGCTTCCGTGTTATAAGAGAAAACTATGATGCTATCCTCAGTAACTAATAGTACGAATCGTTTGTTATTCGCAGTATGTGTGAACTCTAGTTCACTTAGCGCACCAATTTCAACAAAATTAAAGATACCACATCCTTTTTTGTTCGTGGCGCCCTCCTGCTGTTCACCGTTTAGTTCATAGGTGGTGCGACTATCGTTTCCGGTACGAACACCAGAAATATGTTGTTCGTAATCAAACCCTGTTTTTTCAGCCAAGAACGCTCTTCTGTTCGCAAAGAATAGTAATTTGCCGTCTATGATTTCTAAGTTGTCAATTTTGCCAGGAAAAACCAGAATCACCCTCGGATATTCCCTTAACTTCGTTACATTTGTCTCAAATATGCAATTATCATTAATGAAGTACATCTTTCCGTCGTATACAACCTTCTCAACCTTCATACAATATCTTGTAAGATCAGTTTCGCCAATCTTAACGTAATACATATAGTCATCAGCACTTTGTACCAAAATATATTTTCCCACTACTTTTATATTTTTCACTGCTATATTAATCGCTTTGCCGCCGGTGTGCATGTCGGTTATCACGTGTTTTCTTTTGTTCTTGTCCGTTCCCCTTATTGCAATGTCATTTTTGTGCGGCCCTCTCTTCTTCGTCTTTCTCAATACCGCGTTTTGCAGCGGTATGTCAGGTTTTATATCGCCCTTGAAATCAATTATGTGTATGGCACTATGAGTGAGCAGATAAAGCGTGCGATCAATGAAGAGAAACTGCCGTGGCTTAATGTCCATTTTAAATGCTTTTATGTGCATGCCGCTCCGAACGATCCATCTTTTTACTTTTTTCTTATTTTGAAACATTCGTGTGTTAGAAGTTATGATGAGCTAAAGCCTTGAAACCACGTGGATCATAAACAATCTTCATGTTGGTTGAGCAATCACTTTAATGCTAGGCGGCATTGTTGGGAAATTTGATACTTTTCGCTTGTCTGTCCGTTTCTTAAACAGCCAATCACTAAAAACACGTTCTCCTGTTTTATTGTGCAAGTCGCCAATTTATTTGTCGAGCTGTTTTTTCTGTCACAGAAGGACATTACCGTTGCACTGTGTCGCTGTACAGCCGTGTAAAACAAAACATATCGACATAAAAATTTTGAACCCAGGGAATGGTAAAAAAGCGGCAGATCTTCACCAGCGCGTTGGACAGGTTGAAGAAGGAGCATGAGTACTACGTTGAGGAGAGGAAAGATGTACAAAATAAGATTAAGAGATACAATGGTGGTGACGAATACGAAATTAGATTGTTAAATGAGATGTTCCAGGAAGTTGAGCAGACCATATCGTGTGTTGAGTCAAGTATCCAGGAGTATATTTCGAAACTAGAGAAGCTAGATAAGAACGAGCAGCATGCTGAGAAAAGTTATGGTTTATAAAGAGTAAAGTACTGTTCATTTCCCTTTTTGATTCATGTATCATAGGTGGTTCCTTTTAAATGCACCATTTGTACGTTTTTTCGTGCGTATCACCCGTTTTATGAAATGCCAGCGCAAATGTCCTTTCTTAGTCCCCTCTAATATGGTAGAATATGATTTCTAAAGTAGCTTGGACATTGCTGTCAATTATGTGCGTGTCGGATCGTTGTCACGTGTTTTGAATATCACGGTGCAGAGGTTTTCAAATCATCGGTAAAGGGACAAAAAATGCATTTCAGGGTGTCAAACACCATTTTTCAGTCGTATCGTATTTTATAATCCGCTGATGATGAAGAGGGCGAATCAGAAGCGCAGCTAAGACATGCATCATTAATTGTTCTACAAAGAGTTATTTATTTATCACCTCACACAGCAACATCATGACACGCATCATTAACCGTGTGTAGATGATCCGAACACCGGTCGATCAGGTTTTGATAACCAAATGGTTCAGCTCACCAAAAATATTTGTTTTGGCATTTAAAACGTAGCAAAAATTTTACCCCTAGGAGAATGTAAAAATCCTGAAAGTAGGATAGAGCATGTGTTTGCTACAAGGTCTATGCATATTATACGGTTTAATCCGGTTATTGCGTGGTATTGTCGTTGTTTGCGCGATATTTATGTTATAGTGTCGGCGTGGTGTATTCGTTGGTTTATTTAACTTTGTGTTTTAGCGGTGTTCGGTCTCGTAGAGGTGGACGCGTGGATAGCAGCGACCATTTTCGAAATCAAGTGATGAATAGTTTTCATTGACCTGTTCTGAATGGTGATGAACGAATAGTTTCTGATGATTTGCAATTTGATAGGCTAGTAATAAAGGGGTCATTTCTTTAAATTTTACTCTGCTCAGCTTTTCAATGGAACAGTATAAGAGCAAGAAATTCCTGTATCTAAGAGTGCTCATTATTTTTTTGTTTAGTTATATCGTTTTATCTATCAATTAGGGCTTTTCGGAAATGTACACGTATATCATGCTGGATTATATGGTTGAGATGAATGAATGTTTTTTACACGAGAGATTTTTGTATTTTTGGATGTTGTAGTTAAAATATGGTTTATTTTGCGAGCTGTTGTTTCAGAATAATCAAAGTGTTGTTCAAAAACGAAATTATTCGGCATAGGCTGTGCACGGAATGTAATTATAATTGAGCCTTTTAGGACTTACTTGCAGAGTTGTAGCACATATTTAAAGACAAAAGATTTGTTGTTGTACCGTTGGTATACTTGATGGCAATATATGGTTTTAGAGCTAGTTGCAGATGGTTACCGTTTTCTGCACTATATTTGGGCCTCTGTGTTTATAAGATGCATGAGGTGATCTGCAAAATAATGGTACCGAGTCAACCAAGATTATCACAATTTGACACTGAAAGCGGATAAGCAGAGTTGAATAAAGGTTTTTGTACTCATACTGGGAAAAAAGACATCAGACCACGTTCAAGCTGCTATACCTCAGATAATAAATTGTACAACGAATTCATCGTTCGTTGATACAGAATTTTGAGTTTGATACGCTCATCATCGCACAATCCTCTTGCATGTCATTTTACCTGGCAAGTGTTTATGAAAATGCTACATTAGGGAACATGAAGCAAAATATTACATAGAAACTACATAAGAAGATCATGTAAGGTTTAACACGGAATACTTCCTCTTAATATACTTTTATATTCGTTCATCACACCACTCGGTGTCAAAAGTCTTATATCTCAAAAATACCATGTATGAAGTAGAGGCAGTAACGGAACCGGTCATAAATTGAGAGCTAGATTCAGCAACGACTGATTGAAGGAACATGTGGAGAATTGAACTATTCGTGTAAAGTACGGATATTTTTAATACGCGAAAAAATCACCGTTAATCCCCAATGAAGGAGGTTCTTCAAGTGATAAAGGAGCAGAGAAAGTCGCTAATTGCACCGGTAGACACGATGGGATGCTCTTGTATACCGTTCACAAAGGACGAAGAGCATAAGAAGTTCAGAACACTGGTGATGTTAATGCTTTCTCAGCAAACACGGGATCAGACAACATACACCACGGTTCATAACCTTAACGAATCGCTGGTCAAGAAATACAACGAGGGTATTTCCCCACGTACCGTCAGTTTGCTTTCACTTGATGAGCTCAGCTCGTCGATCAAGGCTGTCAACTATTACATAAAGAAAGCCAAGAACATCAAAATAATAGCTGAGTACTTTCTGGATAAAAAAATGGCGACCGAATATGATGCATTGATAAAGTTGCCGGGTGTTGGCAACAAAATAGCGTTTCTTTACTTGCAGATAGCGTGCAATAAAACTGTTGGAATAGGCGTGGATACACACGTGCACAGAATATTTAATAGATTGGGTATTGTTACAACTAGGACACCGGAAGAGACTAGAATCAAGCTTGAACAAATCTATGACAGGAGGGAATGGAAGGAAATTAATAAGGTGATGGTAGGCTTTGGGCAAACCGTATGCCTGCCAAAGAAGCCAAAATGCAAAGAATGTGTCGTGAATTACTGTTGTAAGTACGGTAGGAAGTTCAGCTTTTAGTACTAAAGATAATAGAATCGTGGCTCGCCAGCAAATTGAATATTCATCGGTATTTTATGGTAGAATTGATGTGCCTGACCGCTTGATAGGTGTAATGCACCATGGAATGAACTTAAAGAAGTCTTCAATTACCCATGACGCGGTGTTTAAATCATTTAAAGATTGGTATAGAGGATTGGTGCAAGGTGACAATTAAACAAAATTTAAAAAACAAACAATAGAAAGGAATAAGGTTAAATTATTCAATTTGAAATATTAAGAATACTACTGTTCACTAGGCACATCACTTACATGCGTTAAATTTTTACTTGGTGATCGCAAACTAGGACGAAAAAGCTGTTGATTTGTAGAAGAACAAGGAAAGAACACGAACAAATGCATCAAATATGACTAAAGAAAAACAAGTAGTTTTTGCCGCATGAGAGTGTGTCTCATGCCGAGACATCCTCCAGAAGGCATGCAGAAGAATAAAAGTGATTCAAACTTCTTAGCAAATATGAGGGTCTTCCAACTGTTCTACCAATTATTTTTTGCTTTGCAACTACTTTGCACGTTTGCTAATCCCGAGAAAGCTTGAGAAACAAGGGATCAGCGGTTTAAAATCGCGGTCAATTTAAAAAATTTTTAATACCATCCTTATAAATGACAGATGATAGGGAAGCACGTAGAGAATCGGTCGATGATATGAAGGAAAAGTACGCTGGCTCTAGCTTTTCTATGTCACCAGATCCTAGGTTGATTCCTAATCCGAGTAAAAAAGGGAAGAAAAAGGTAGTAGCGGGGAAGTTAGACACAGCGGATTGGTTTCATAAAGACACTAGTTGACATAGCCTGACAATAGTGCTGAGAGGTTTCAATGTGGTTATGTGGATTAAAGCCATGATAGTTGTATTGATTCTGAAGATTTGTTTAAGAATATCATGATGTATCCGTGGCATAAATGCAGCGTAAAGAATGATAAATAGTTCGTTGCGTTGTGGTTTATGGAACAATTATTGCACGTTCAAGACTTCTATGTGGTTCTTTTGTGTGCCTAGAGCCACATTAAATGAAATTTTTGATAATTTTGATCCTTTCACTGCTATGATGCACAAAAAATCGCAACACTGGTATTTGATCCAAAATCCCTCGATAGGTCGGAGCATGCTCATTCAATTCTGTAACCGATAGCATGCATTTCTATTGGTCCTTGCGTGTTTTATAGTTCTTCCTTCGCAAACAGGACTAGAATTGTCGCATTTCTCCTCCTTCTGAGTAAATTCTGCCAAAACAACGAATTATTAAGTTTTCAAAACTGTACCCCTACTTACCTCGTGGAGAAGATCCGGACGCGGAACAAATCTTCATGCTACAGCATTGATTCTCCGTACTAGGAGTGTCAGCCACCAAATTTTTGTGTAGGGAGGAAGCGTACGCGCATTCTCCTATCAAATAAAATATTTTTTACAAACTATGTGTAGTGTTTTGTATACTTTTTTGATTTTGAGCTTTATTTGAATTAATGGTTTGCTTAAATCTCTTTCTTGCTGTAATGAAGCTTATACGATGTGTGCCGCAGTTCAGTCATGTTTATCCTGAAGACGCGAGCTGTTTTGCTTTTCATATTCGTGTTTTCCGATCAGAAATCATCCGATATATTCCTGCCTTAAAAATAGTTATGTGAATGAATTGTTTATCCATATTACGTTATATGTTCCATATTATATGCCGATTATATACCACGTGTGAATAACTATTTGCTGTGCAAGATTTATATACCGTAATTAAACACTTTTCGGTTGTAAATGTGAAGGTTATACGTTAAAAAATGAGGAATGGTGTATCTGTACCTTTTTCTTCCCACTTTAATAAGGAAAAGATGTGTTTACCTCATCTGATAACATCTAAGACCATTTTTCTCATCCGCGTTGTCATTCAAAAATTAAATTTTAAGCCATCCCTTAGGATGATAGATTTGGCTTATTGGCCGTCTTTAAATGTTTTTCTTACCAACATGTTCATGAGCAGGCCTACAGTGAGGTACGCCTGCATACTTGAAGTAGCCTCTAATATCTCTCTGTTGAACCATGACAAATTGTACACAAAAAAAATAATTGAACTGATCGAGATGTACATCAACGAGGTACGGTATGTCGATTTAGAGTCATTTGTTCAGAACGAGAGAAAGTACAGAGAGCTGATCAGTCTACTGGGTATGGTTTTTTCTCCGATTAAGGGACTGAGGCTGTACAAAAGGTACAAAAATGTTTACAAAAAGTACACGCTCAGGAATATAGAAAAGCTGCAGAATGAAATACTCTTAAATAATAGTACGGTGGATGAGGAAACGATTAGTATATTGAAGCGGTATAAAGTATATAATGTAGTTTTTAAGTACGTAAAGAAGAAGGTAATAAACAGTTACTTTCTGGAAATAAGCAGGACGTCGAACAAAAAGGAGGAATTGGACATGATTTTTAAGATATTAGAGAAGGAAAATAAGGGACTCATGGACTTTAAAACGATCGAGTCATGTTTTCTTGATCTATATCTGAACAGATTCGAAGATATATACGAAATTTCGATGACAGACAAATTTCAGGATCTTTTTAATTTGTTTGTACGAGCGAATCAGTATAATTTGTTCACAAAAAAATTTGAAGAATGCCTTAATAACAATTTTTCGTTCGAGTACATGCTACAAATCCATTTGTTCAGCAGTGTACTTGACAAGTTTAAACAGTTTCTGAATAGAAACGAAGATATGTTTATCAAGAATGTGTCCAAATTGCAATCACAGCCCAAGAAGAACTTGAATTTTATTCTCGAGTCTCTGAATCAAATCGATACGTTTGAAAGGAATTACAGAATATACCTGGCCAATATGATATTGAAAAAAGAAAATGTTGATCGCGAATATGACGTGATAATGGAACAAAACCAGGAGAATAGACGGGTAACAGTTACTGAAATCGCTGATGATATTGATATGGGAGTGGAAGAAGGCATGCCACTTGAAGTATTTGATATCAAGGGGAGAGGCAAAATGGTGATGAGGAATAAAATATTCAGGAAATCGTTGCAGATGATGCAGAACAGCGAGAAACCTGTCCTTGATTTCAGATGGCCGAAATATGAGGAACTTACTTTTTCGGTTCCTCCGGAGATAAAATGCGATTTTGAATTCAATAAGACCTTGAGCACCTTAAAAATAAAGATAAACGACATCGAAGTTATTTGCACTTTGTTTCAGTACAAAATGATAAAATATGTCGTTGAAAACTGTGGCAACAAAAATATGATCTACAAGAAGATCAGGAAAACAAAATTTGCAGGTATCGAGGATAAAAGAGAATTCTTTAAGAGTTTTCTTAAAAACAAAACGGAACATGATGTGTTTTACGATCATATTGATCCGATTTGCAACATAATAAGCGATAACTTATCGTTTCATATCGTAGACACTCTGAACTTATGTCCTGATTTCAGGTTGTTGAAGGATAAAACATCGTCCGTCGCACAAAACGACGATTACAAGATTGATGCGAGAATCATGAGGAAGCTGAAGAGAATGAAAAAATGCAAAGTTGAGGATCTGTATGATGAGGGCGGTAAGATAAAGGTTAGTGAAAGGGTTGTGGCACTGGAGCAAAAGGGTTATTGCACACGAAACGGAGAAATAGTGAATTATTGTCCGTAGTGTTTATAAATATTAAAGCAGTTACTGTACGAGTGTTCTATGTTTAATTTATTTTATAAACACTCATTTTCCGGTAATTCATACGGTAGTTCAGGTACTACGTAAAATACTGATGATGTATTCATTGTAGCGTATTGCTGTAACTTTATTTGTTTGGCCGATTTCCATGAGATACTTATCAATAGCGCTTTCATTAAAATCGTTTTAATGACTGATTCGTCAATTCTTATCTAAGTATTCTTTTCGGGATGGTCCGAATTTTCTGATTGTATCGGAATTGGTTTTGGAGCTGCATGAGTTTAATCGCATTTCTCTTGTCATAGCTGCTTTTATTCTTGCAGCTCGTAGGACTGTGATTAAGTTTTTCTCAACGGTGAGTTATGACAGCATTATTGTTTCTTATTAACATATCATTGCATTTTATTTCCCAGAATATACACAGTAAATTTGGAAATTTCTAATATTTTTCTTATTAAATGATACTGTACCTTAACCAAACAACTTATCTCACCTCAAAAAGGTATTTGGAAACATTGAGAAGCTTTGTATATGTTTGAATGCTAACATAGCGAAGTATATTTTTACTAGAAACACCATCTATACGCGAATACTTGCGTGTAACCTGGTTTCAGATACTGTATTATAATTTTGGTATTATTTAATGTGTTTGAACATATTTCGATGGGTAAAGCACAGTAAGACTCGTACCAAGGCCGAAGTTTGCTTAACATTCAAATTACCAGCGCAATTCAACATTGTGCTGGTAATTTGAGATGAATAAAATAGCCCGGATTAGAATGTAAATTCATTATAAAAAATGTTATTATGAATGTTTTTCACGAACAATAGATTTGTTTCCCGTTCAACTTCAATATGAACCAAGTTCTGCAATTTTTTATGTTCTTAATGATTGTAGCTTTGCATATGAAATTTCTACCATAAATTTCAACAATAAACCGAATTTCTGATCCTTTGAACTTTTATCACAGCCTGTACTGTTATACAATGAAAATCTCATGTATTCTCTACGATCACATAACTACATTTAAGCAACTGCTTCACCACATAATTTCATCCATTAAAATGGACAAGCGATTTTAACCACTTAGGATTTACTTCAAGTTTTACTTAACGTTATATTCATGTCTTGCCCACTGCAAAAACCGATTTTTGTGCTCACGATCCTCCGATCGCCTGTCTTTAAGATGATCTTCTTCCATTCTCATAATTCTATCCCGCTTTTCCTTGGCATGTATGATGTTATTCTCCACCTCTCTTTGCAAATCCTTATCTATTTTTTCCTCCTCCTTATTATTGTGGTAAAGCCAGGAAACCACGTTAAGTGGTTCCTCATCCAAATCCTGTTCGTTCATAACGCATTCATTTTCTTTTATTACTGCACGTATGTTGTTCATTTTGTCATCCACATGCTTGAACTTGTTCAAATCGCTTCGATATCCGGATAGTGCGGTATCGAGCATGCCTGCTATTTGTACCTGTTGCTCAAAATACGAGGGTTCGGGATTATTTTGCACAATTTCATCAGATTTACGGAAATTTACGTTGTCTTCATGGTTCCTCTGATCATACGGTTTTAAATACCGGGCAGTTACGTTAAATGGAGGCTTATCTGTCTTATAAAAGCCAAGAACATCTTTTCCGTAATAACAATACGACAAACTGAAGAATAAAGTTAGCATGAGAAAGTGTCTTCTCAGAATATTTTAAGTTTATGACGAGTGAACTGTTTAATCTTTCATACAATCAAAATATCCACGATATGTCTTTATAATGATTCAAAAATGTTCTGTTAGCCGATTTGAAGCAAACTCTTTTTGTACAAAAATTGAAGTTTGCAACAGATCGTATTAACAGAATCAAACAGTAAATGGCATTCAACACATACCATATTATTTCTAGAACTAAAATGTTTGAAATGATACGAATGTACTCGTTTCGCTTGTCTAACACGGATAGAGCCGCTAGGCGTATTTCCGAAGATTAAGAAACTAATCCCAGGCAGTGTAATATATTTGTTTGGTTATGACTGTTGCTTCAGCAGAACGTGCTCTATGGTATTAAGTGTGCCGAAGTATCCGGTTTACTGTTAGTCAATGAACACGCTTTTACAGAAAAACATTTCGTTCAGCTTCTTTTTAAATCACTTTAATTACTATCTCACAGCTACAACAAGAAAAACTTTCTCAGCACCTACCATGGCCTTAAAAACTCTTAGCTTATGATTTGTGCCACTTTTTGTTGATTACAAATGTTTTAATAGGAAATATCTGCATACGATATGGGATAAATACGAGTGTTCGGGATACCAAAAAACAATATTTTTTAATTCGTATTATTACGGCGAAATTGACGTATAACGCCATTCAATATACATTGGAACAGATACATTCCCAATAAAACTGTGTATTATCTCGTATTATATATGACACCAAAACATCATCGCGGTGTACAACATAAAATAACGCTAAAAAATCTCGTCTTCTGTCAACAACAAATAAAACATTACCCGGTGTTGATAGCAACCCATGTTGGACCAAAATAACGTATAACCTATTTTTTATTGTCTCAGACAAGGTATATGGTTATTGTACTCCCAACTTTTTTTTGACCCATTGCAGGAAACGAATCTTTCTGTTGTCCATATCCTTAGCAGCTTCTTTCTCTTTTATTTCTGCCTTCTTTTTTTGCTCGTTAATTTCTTCCTCTTGCTCTTTACGTTCCAATTCTAACATTTTCTGTAATTCTTCTTCTGAATCATTCTCCATCACATTATCCTTGTCTTCTAACCACTTGAAAATATCAAATTTTTCTTTATCCTTATTGACATTATTTCTTTCTCCTGCAATTGGCTGTCCCTCCTCTTCCGTACGGATCTCTTCCTTTTCCACTTCCTTAAAATCCTTATACTCACTCGGAGTAGCTGTACCCTGACCAACCTGTTCTTTTACGTAGTTATTGTAATCAACGAGTCCATTATTGTGGTATATATTAAATATCGACTGCTTTCTCAGCACTTGTTCCATGTTTTCGTATAATCGTCGGTTAAAGTCCATCCCATTGTCATTATTATTTTTTTGCTTGTAAAGTATATTATCCTCTGGGCTCCTCCTATCGTGATATTGATATGAGTATGCGCCATTAATATCATTATTATCCTCCTTCGGGTACCTATAAGGCATATAATTGATACGGCTACTCCTGACATTACATATATAGTGAACAACACAAAGAAACATGTCGCAAAATAACTCATACATTATATATTCATGAACAAAATGTCAGAGAAAACAAAAAATAGATTTGATTCTTTTTAGTTCTAAACAAGTGTTCGCTGTCAAGTACGAAATATCTAATCAATACACCGGATACGACAATACGATACAGTCAAACATTACTTTGGATCAATAAGCAGAGATGTTGATAAAACTGGTCACACACGATATTTAATCCGGTGTTAAACTGAAGTTATAAGGATAATGACAAGAAAGCTATCCGAAAAATGCAGAGTTTCCCTATAATGGAAAAATTATGTAAAGTGACCGATATTAAGCCTATATTGGTTTAAGTCAGAAAAATTTACCGGTTTAATTTATCATTAATACCCTACTTATCAAAAAGATGAAAAGGACATTAGATATGAGGAATAAATGCAAAAATTTTGCACAATATCTCTTGGAATAATCATCCACGATTCGAAAGTGATGCTTTATGCCAATACTACTGCATTATATGGTGATACCATCACTATCATATCTTTTAAAAGGCATGATAGTATATACCAGTCTCATCTTTTACAACAAGACAAAAGTATTAAATTGCCATTTTCCTGTATTAAATTTAGATTAAACATTTTCAAACAATAATAAAAACAAGTTGTGTTATCTCAGTGTCATATGCTAACTTCGGATTGCTACCTATTACCTTTAAATTTCAAGTCAATGTTTCCTCGGATTTGAATAAACAGCTCAGAATCTGATCTAATTAATTCTACTTCTCTGAGCTAAAATCCATTCTTTCAATTTACCTGAACAGGTAAGACACTTCATCTAACTTTATGTAAAACTTTTAACCTACCTTCATGTCATCGTCTGGATAAATACAATGCTTTAAAGCAGTAAACTATTTGTGCAGCATTCTAAATTGCACAAATAACAAAATGCTCAAATTCATATTGGCTCTGTTCCTGATCAGGAATAAAATAAATAAATAATTTATTTATTTTTTCACTAATAAGAAATTTGATCAACGTACTTCTCTACCCCTTTAACCTACATGTTCGTTTCAGACCAATCAACAGCCGTGATATTTCTCAGATAACATTTATTTCATTGCTGTAGAATTTACATTGATCACTTCAACTATACGAGTAATTTTATTGATGGGCAATTAAACGATTTCATAAGAGAATAGGTTGAATGACACGGTCAATGAATGTAGAATGGAGCAAATAAGATGGCTAATGACAATTACACAGCATGCATCATTGCTTATTTATCATGATAGAAAAACATCAAAATAAACAAATGTGTATAAAAAGGAGAAAAAATTGGTAAACAATGAAGGTTCGCGACTTGATACAATTTTATGAGGATAAAATCATAACCAAGGGAAAAGTCGTTTGTATGCAAGAGGCTCTGCATCAGAGAATTGTAGGGGGTGCACCTGCTAAGACAAACAGCAATTACTTCCACCAGTGGTCGAAAATTGTTGATGAACTCGATAATCGCACCATAACAAAGACAGGCGATGTTGATGGCTTGAGAAATAATGGACTCGTTGCAAAAGTAGAACGATTTAGTTCATCTCCTGATCTTGGAACAGAGGTCAAAGTAGGCATTAAATTACGTGAAACCCTGAGTGCAACGAAGTTACCTCGCGCACACAGGCTGAACCATGCGTTTGATCTCGATAACTGTTATGTAAAACCATCAATTATAGCGGCTAGTGAACGTAAGAAGTATTTAAATAGACAAAGCGGTTCCGAGAAGCTAACACCCATCTCAATTTGTAAGCCAAGTTATAATCAAACACAGAAAATTGTTTTGGCAGACCTATCTAATAAAGAACACGTTGATAAATCTAGGAAACGCGATGATGGCTTCAATATGAAAAAAAAAAGGGATATAATTGAGAATGTACCTAGTATCTCCGCTAAAAGCAGTATAATAACTTGCACAGAGAAGGAGCTGAACGAAAACATTGAACATCGTATAATCGTGTATCGTGGTGGTGATAATAGCATTGTCAGTAGGAACGGACATGTTAACAAGTCACCGATGGAAATAGGCCACAGCTCATCCACATATTTTCCAGATAATGCGGTTAATAATACACAGACTAGAATTAATTCGCTTGATCCCACGGACATGGCACCATTGCACAACACAAAACAGTCAACTCAAACCTCTACCAGTTGTGATTTATATAAAAATCATCTTTACACCGGTGAGATGGATGTTGATGAGGTAAAATTAATTCTTAACTGCGGAGAAAGAATCAAAAATTCGTATCTCTTGGAATGGAATAAGAGGTGATCACGAGCGAATTTACAGATGTGTATTGATCTAACGTTCAGTAAATAAATCGAGTTCCCATATTTGTCTCCCAAATTAATTTGTACACACAACTTGTTCTATTTTTCAGCATGTTGTGTGCGGACTTTATGGAAGTAATTCCATACACAGTAAAATATATTTTCAAAGCTGATAGAATACTTGCTAGGCAATATGCAATACTGATTCGTGTTTTGTGACCATATAAAGGTTTTACAACTGTCTTCCGTATCACTACGATCGTTCTAGATACTACATCGTGATAGCGTTGGAGCTCATCCTCCTGGGGCATTGTGAATGTTGCATCAATTGAACTTTTGTGTTTATAAAGCTCGCATTTCGTGGATTATTATTCTTACTACGATAGGAAAATATTTTGTCATAATAGTATATTTTGGTTACGAAGCAGAAAACCGTGAAGCTGCGGAACTATGATAATTCTTGGTGTTGTACGATTAACTCATAAAAATATCATGTTTTGCATCAATTAGCGTTTGGAAGATCATATCATCCTCCTAGCCGTTTGAACCGAAGCTCACCAGGTATGGCTACACCAGACGAGCAAATTGTGAGCATATGATCATTTTTAGTGGATAAAATTCTTACGGTGCCTAAAACATGGAATTAATACCACTATCATGATGTGATATTCAGGTCACACATAGCAATACGCTGCAAATGTTTTGGATTTTCTCGTATTGGCAAAAATACACTTTAAATCTCATAGTTTTATTATATGGCTAGAACTGGCTATATAACATACCAAAAATAATCTTTTATCGTTGAATGTCCATGTTTTAGTCCTTCCTCAATCAATAGTGCAGCACCTCATAACGTAGAATATCACACCCCGTAAATTATTTTTCGTATGAAGTCAACACATATTCTGTGTAATACAGCTATCCATGTTGTACAGAACCATCAATTTCGGCTTTTCCAATAAATACTAATCTATCATCGAAGCACCACGCACATATCATTGTTTCAGTACATCATTCCGAACTCGCTTCACATTCTGTATCATATAAGGTTCCATACCTGATCTTCGAACTAACTATTCTACTTGTAGTTGCTTCAATAGCATACTTTAACCATGACGTGGACAATAAGCTAAATCCTTGAAAGTTACAAATGGAGGTCTTTCGGCCTGGCTTAAAACCCAACGTGACATAAATACGTTTTACTTAGTTGTACGTTTACTATTCACTATTAAAATTTACATCATTGCGACCCGTGTATGTAGGTGCTTCAATGATAGAATTCCGAATCCCTCGATTATTCTGCATAGCAAAGCAATGGCTTGTGTCGTTCAATCCATTAATGGGAACTGCAGGATTGATTTGCGCACTATTTGGAATTTGATACATTGAAATTTCACATGTTTTTCTTTCGTGTGGTTTGGATTGATAGCACTTGTTAATCATTTCTCTTTCCGAAAGCGGTACTGAATAGGTTTCCTCTCGCGTGGGTTCGTCATAATGTGAAGAATCAAAGTTTGTCGTACTACTATCAGACGAAGAACTGTGATCTTGAATGTGAACCCGTTGTTCGTCTTTATTGAATTTTGTTTTTAAGTTTCCTCTATATACAGATTCTGTATATAATTCTCCTTCTACATCGTTTCGCTTCTGCTTTCTTGGATTCTGCAAAAGCTTATCTTGTCGTTTAAAAAGAACTATTTTTTCATCATCGGGTACTTTTCTATGAAATACTGTGCTGGCAGATGCAATATTTCTCTTCATATTGTCGGCACTTCTACCAGCTCTATCCTTAACATTATTGTTATCTTTCCTGTTATGATTTAATATGATTAAATTTCCGTTGTCATCAAATATTGGATTTCCTAATATGTTCTTTTTGTTTTTCTTTTTTCTATACTGCCTAATCACTTCATTTTCCGAAAGTTCATTTGGTTTATCGTCAACAACAGCCGTATTCGTCTGTATGCTTGCTGTTTTAGATCTTGTCCTGAACATAATAGGCAATTTTGTCATGAAAAACCAGCTGATGAATCGCTTAGATATTTCAGGATTACCGTCATTAGAGAATCCAGACATTGTACATCTGACAAGCATGGCTAATAATAAGTTAATAAGGAGAACTATACATAACATAGAAATGTGTCAAAGTATGTGATATTTATTTTTATATTTTCAGGCGATACAGATGTTTTATTTCAGCTATCAATTTGTTGTATTCCGTGGGCCTATTGATTTAGACCTGTTTCAAAATAATTCGTGCTTTAGTCTCTGTAGAAAAGTGTTTTCTACGAAAATTCTCAGGCTCGTTAATCATGTTCCAAGGTTTCATCATAATCATACGGTCCATGCTTGTATTTGAAACACTTGTTTGAATCAACTATGTTCCACAACGTATAGAGGAAAACAAGTTGCTCTCAAACGTATGAATTCGGTTTCGTTCTGATCAATTCAAAATATTTGAAACATAGACATGGTTGTACGTTAAAATATTTAGGGTCCACATGCTTTCTGCGATAGAGACTGTTTTCGAACCGCCAATATCCAACTAAGATAACTAGTAGTGCAATTTCGAAGACGCATGCGGTTGAGCCTCAAACAATTAATCGAGACAATTCGATTATAGGACAGATTGTACCTATTGTTGTAAAAATATCTCGCGATCCAGGCCTTTTTGTATGAACTTTATGAACAAATAGAACCAAAATGACGACATTATTTCTGTTTATAGCCCAGATAAAATTATCATGCATCCAAAAAATTGAACCAAACAAAATTTAACAGAATTTACCAATACCTTTTCGTTTTAAATAGTCAAAATTGTGCACTCAATGAATGAAAAATCATTTAAGTAAAGTACACCGTGCGAATGCCCTAAATGAAATCAACAAGAGGTGTTTAGCAGCGAGAACTCATATTTCGGTAAAAATGGATATCAATAACGCTAGAAAATTTCTACGAAAACCGGTTTGTTGCATTAACTTAATTATTCGAATGGTATCGATATTTCCAAAAAAAATAAAACAGGATTGACTCAAAGGATTGTTCAGTAGTATAGGAAAGCGTGTGAAAACGCTAACGAGCATAACAGTCTAGAAAAATATTGATATGGTACGAAAAATAATGAGTTTTACAGTGGTACCTTATTTTACTTTCAAAAAATTCGAAAGGAACGATAAAAAGTGCTATTTGTGTTCTGTCCTTCAAGTAAACCACATAGATACAATACTATTTACAAGCAATCATCTTCTCTTTAACTAGCTGTTCACCATCTCATTCATCACAATGATCGTTAATATCTCTACAACTTTTAACTTGCATATTTTCTACTCGTAATATTAAAGTGTTATTCAATCTTCAGAAATAGATAGTTATATGTGATATAATTCTAAGTTGTTTGTGCTAATCTACTGATAATTATTAATAATACTTACTTTTTTACTAGCTACGCTATTTCCGTTAATAAAACAGAATAAAGTTCGATTAGTTATTAAACTGTACTTCTTTCCTTTAATATACCATGTTATACTTTTTACTTGTTCTGACTCTTTTAATCGAGATAAAGAATCAATTTTGATTTGATAATCAAATCATTTTGGTGTTGTTGAAAAGAACAGCCTAGCATTCATGTAGAGAATGAATTGAACAAAAACTTAGACATTATATTTCGTGTATAAAGTGAAAGCGCAGTTTTATATTTCTCCTAAAAGGTCATATTTTTTGTTTCACAGAATCGACTTCTGAACATTTGAATTGTCTTTTTATTTATATGAATACATGATACAAGAGAGTGAACATAACACTCATTGCCAATTTAGCAATTTTCTAGTAAATCAGATTTATTATTTTTCCTTTTTCACTAAAAGTTATTTATTTATATTCTCACATCACAAAATATGAACAAACAATAACATTTACTCAATACCGTTGCTGAATGAGAATGATTTATTAGTTGGTTGCATGGTGGTACTATTTCTGACAAACATCCTTCTATGCTGTTGTTCTTCTCTTTTAAGAAATGATTTTTTGACGTGTAGAATGCTGATTTAGTCCAAGTTATCGGTAAAATACACCACGATTTACATTCTACAGAACAGTAATGTACGCATATACCAAAACACACAGAGTAGTACTTTTACATCGTTTATGACAGCATTTCAAGTGTCAATAGACATACCATATCTCGCATTACTGTCATGTCTATCAATAAGTTGGAACTATTTAATGTTCAGCAGCGTGCCATCCCATGGATTGTCTTTGGATTATCTTCATTCTTTCTTTGATCAGGGCATCTCAAGGTGGTGCACGAGACTTAGCAAATATGGCGAATGCATATGGTGAGAATAGCGGAGTAGATGGTGGAAATGATTATGTGTGGAGTACACATCATAACACACCAATAATGAGTAACATAGAGCGTATGAAAGAATTTAGGGAAAAACATAACGATATGTTAGAAGGTAAAGCAAAATATAATAAGATATATCATGCATTGTTATCTTTTGGAGATGCTTTTAGAGATTACAACTCTAATGAAGTAGAACAAATGCTTAGAAAATCACAAAATGACGAATCACTAAGATTGTACTTCATCGGCCTAAGAAATGAACTGTTGAAACTTGCAGACTCATTCCGCAAGTCGCATATTTTAGTGTTAAAACAAGCAAATCGAAAAGAAAAGAAACACGAAATAGCACGTTTTAGTGCGGAATGCGAGAAAATTATGAAAGAACAGCCAAGGTGCTATTACGTACAGAAGATAGAAGAGATTCTGCATGAAATACTTCAACTGAGCATTACAATGGATAAGTGCACATTAATACATGATCTTATGTGTGTATTCGCTCGTCTTATCGGTACAAAGGAATGTAACACGAACGAAGGTGTGCAAGAGCAAGCAACACCAACAAACCAATCAATTGCACACAACGAATGGTTTGGAAGGAACGCAGAATATGATAATTTGTATGTTCAGCAATCAAAAGCATTTTTCGAATTGTGTACTCGGATCGATATGACTATTTACAGAGGCAACAGGAATTACCGTAAAATAATGAATCATCTTGCAGTAGCACAAGCATATTCGATGCATGTTCTCTTCGAAACACGGTTCTGTGCCAAGCTTTCGCTGTTTCCTGAGTTTATCTCTGTGTATCACCAATACACGCTCTTTCGTACACATGCACAGCAAATCTGTATCAGAACCAGGCTGATCTCAATTTACATTGCTAGCAAGATAGAAGCTGTCCTGCCCAGGTTACTGCACTACAGCAGTATGCGTCAACAGTACAACACAGAACTGATAGCCACCCGCCTGTTTGTGAGAGATGTGCTACTCAGCGAACTCCTGATTGCTCTTGATACTGGCATAAATATAGTCAGTAAATACGTTTATTTCAGCAGGCTGGAGTATGCGTATCTGATGAGCATTGGAAAGGAAGTGCCTAACTTCTATGACATATTCTTCTTTGTTGCCACAGATTTATTTGGTGCACTGCGTTTTTCCAATATTACCATGAAACATTCGTGGGATCAAGAAATTACCTGCAAAGCACTGCACGAAAACATACCGCTGCAGAAAGTACTTAAATCATTATTTCCAAAGTTCAAAAGAGCGTTTGGCATGAATATGAGAAGAATGCTTGCATCGGAACATGTGGTTAAGACTGGGTGCGACGACCTGAAGAAGGAGATCATGAAAGGTATCAGCGGTGTAAATGATCGTGTAGCTGCTGGTGCGATACTGAAGTTCTACAAAATCTACCAGTTTGTAGTGGAGGTCTTCGTGCAGACCAAAGTGAATGATGAGGAGTAAGGGACGACATAAAAGATCTGTACTATCGTATGAATGGTATTGCTTTTAGTAGAAAAGGAGCTTTTATGGATGATAAGGACCTAGCGAAGAAAATGGTGTTGGTAGATACATTCGTTCTACAAGGTGTTTGTGTACGCCATGAAAATAACTTATTTTTCGTTGACATGACGAGATTGTTTTGAACAGTTTATGGCTAGGCACGCCCTTCTACACCACTTTTAATGGCCCTTTCCTTTCTTATGACGCTGTGAACGATCCCTACAAATCTGAAAAGTATGTTTATCTCGGTGTTGTTGTATGAGGAGATAAATAAACGAGTATTAGTGAAGAAACCAAACTATATTTCCAATATTATGGTAATATTAACTAATATATTTCCGTTAACAAAACAGAATAAAGTTCGATTAGCTATTAAACGATACTTCCTTCTTTTCATATGTCATACCATTCTTTTTCATTTGTTTTAGATCTTTTGGTAGGGGACAATAGTTAATTTCATTTGGTAATCATGTACTTCTGATGTTGTTTGCAAGGGATGACTGAACAAATATTGTAAAAACGAATCAAATAATAACTTTTAACTATTTATTTCGCATAAAAATAAGAAAAAATAACTTTGATTTCCTATGAAGGATCAGGTAATTTGTTCTTTTCAAACTGACCGATCAACTTTCGAGTTGTCTTTTTATTTATACAGGTGAATCTGATAAAATGCGGATAATCTATAAATACACCTAGTTACTATTTATGTTTTGTGTGCATAACCAAAAAAGCAAATTCAGAAAATTTTTGATACCGTATATTTGAAAACAATAAGACAAATAAATACATTAGTCGTTTAACACCAATATCTGACACATATGTTAAACATGGTGTTTCACTTTTCTATCACCGAAAAAATAGTACGTGTGTCATAATCTACTATTTAACCAAACTCAATTTTAGTTGTTCTTTTTATACTATAGTCTATGTTTACTATCCTGTATGTCACAGTGAAAGGCTTTTCAAGCACTTAGTATGCAGAATATATCCACTACGAATAAAAAATGCGTTCCACCATTCGCTTCAAATAATTTATATAAAATTATCTGTTTCAACCCGGTTATAATAGTGCATTAACGATTTAATCAACATCATCGTACGAATCACCTTCAAACCTGTTTAGGAGAAAATTCTTTTGCTTTTGAACCTCAATATTATGTGCAATTTCTTCCTTCTGTTCCGGACCTACATCTTTATCGTTTAAAGCCGCTTGCATTTCGTTCAAATAGTCTATGTTTGGGAGTATGCCAATTTCAGCTAAGGTATTTTTGTAGTCTTCGTGATCTTTCCGTATCATATTCTTTATTTCATGCTCTACCGGACTAAAATCGTTTTTGCTGAGCATCCAATCAAACACTTCATTCCTTATTATGGTATCACGCTTGGTGTAGTCGGGATTGTAGTTTTCGTTAAAATCAGCTTCTTGCATTTCTCTAACATTTTGCTTGTTCTGATTTTTTGGGATCTCCGGAGTATAGTCTTGCGTGATATCTTCCAACGCCCTCCAATCTTCTACACTCCTATTATCATTTAAGCTCATCATAGAAGCCCAATCCACGTTTTTGGGAGTGTGCAAATGGTTGTATGTGTTTGCAAAAGCAATAAAAAGGAACATGTTCGCGAATAAAAATGCTGGAAGTGTATTTAAACACCGATATGCTAATACAAACATGGTTAAAACTGTCTATCTTGGTTGATTCAATGTGTTGTATTGTAAATGACTTCCCACTCATAAAACTGTGTGTAACATCCAAAACATACCATTTCAGCTTTTACCGTGTAGGAGTTGTAGCGTGAACCTAATGTAACGTAGTAGTGCACACATCATTGAAACCTGCACATGGCAGTTTAACTATAAACTATAGTTTGTAGAATAAAGATTAGCTAAATATTTTAAGATTACTATAATTCGGAATTGCAGCAACTAATATGTTCATTATATTAAAAGAAGTACATAGAGATTATTAAATATTGTCATGTGTGAATTCGTTGATGAATCCCAGTATCAAGTTTTTTTCTCTATACACGTCGAATAAAGACAAAATTGTAAGATATTGGGTGTACCAGAGATTCCTAAGCATGATATTGTTATTAAAATAAAAGCTAATGAGAAATCGATTATCAACAACTAATTATTTGGTCAGTGTTATCACGAACTGCATACCGATACATCAACAATTGGGGATAATCACTAGGAGAGAAGATGCAACATTCGTGGCAACAAATATGCTTTAAAAACATGTACTACCGATTCTTTACTATATTGTGAACTTCCGATCCAAATAAGCGTAATGTTTCGCTCTTTCCATGAGAAAACCAGGATCTGACTCTAATACTCCGTTCAATTCTTTGTTATTATTTTTTTTGGTGCAATTATCTTCATCATAAATCCAACATGTTAAGTTCAAAACGTTTTCGTCCGCTTTCTTGGCCTTTCTGTTATTTCGATCCAACTCATGAATTTTCTCGACCAAGTCATTATATGCCCTCTTTCCGCCTGATGCTAAAATGTTTGAGAGCATATCCTCGTTTTCTCGTTCTTCTGCTGCATTTGTTTTCGAGTTTTTCCATTCTGTGGGGAACAAACTGCTATAAGCGAGTTTATTTTCTTGTAAAATGCTTGCCATCCTGGAACGACCGTATTCACCTATATAGGCTAATATTACCGGTACGAATAAAAGAACTCGTAATATAAGATTCATGGCCGTAACAACGTATGGTTATTTGCAAAATACAGCATATAATGTAATGTTAGAAGAGTCACATCAGCATCGGTGTATCAAAACGATATTAGTGACTTTCAGTCAGCACAACGTTAAAAATATCCGACGTTAAATGTTTCTACAAGTTGATCGATCCAAATTAACACCATAGACAGTTTATCAACGTTTTAGAAAAGTAATCGCCCGTATAGTTTTGCCTGTCTTAGAACCATGCTGCAGAATTACGGCAAAATATTTTATTTGATAACATGCTTTACCTCGTTATACCAAACTCTTTTCTCAAAAATGAGAGATACTTGTCCTTGTCATCCTCAAACTCTCTCATATTTTCTTCTGCCTTTAATTCATCCTTCGTTGGAATATATTCATCTTCTTTTTTTTCTCCTTCATCCGGACGGAAAAACATATCAAACGTATCGTTATCCATGATAACATTTCTCTTCGTGTGGTCTTCATTGTACTCGTTCTTTGCATCCGAATCATATACATTTAGTTTGCTACGTATATCTCTGAGATCGATATGTCTCCCACGGTAATCACCTCCTTCACCTCTGTATACTGAAGATGCCAAAGACATGATGAGTCCCATAAACAGAAAAAGCATTAGCATTTTTAGTGTGAATACTTTCAATAAATACCGGTTCTAACCGTGGAAACATAGATAACAACGTTTAAAATATCATGTTTTGCACATTATCGTGTCGAACTGATCTGTCAACGAAGTGTTAATTGTAAACCCAAAACATCCAACACAATGTTTTACTATTGGCACTTTAAACGTTTAACAAGCCACAGTTCAAAAACGAGGGACTTTATTTCTTTATTAAAAGCGGCAAAGGACTTTATTCAACGATTGCTAACTGAAACTGCCGTTTAAAACACATCGTTTCATCAAAATTCATGCTTTGTGTTTCTAAAAGAATGCATCGTTACGACTCTACTTGTCTGGGGGGAAGTGCAATATATTAACGCAAAGCGTGACCTGATTATCTGGCAAGTTATCCATTCTTAGCATCTCCGTTATTTCTTGAGCTCTTCTTCAAGATCGGTTTCTAGCATTTTCTTCTTAAGCGTGTCCTCGATAACATCCTCTTTCTTGCGTTGGATGTCCTCGTTCAGTCGTTTTATCAATTTAACATCGTTAAACGCTGCATTTTCGGCTACCACATCACCTCCGCGGGCACCAAGAGCATGGGATGCCGCCCATGATGCGGATCCGCTCGGACCCATCCCCAGCAATGATGCATAGCTGCCGTATCCGCCTGATCCTGGAATGCCTGCGTATCCTGCAACCTTGGCTGCTGGTCCTTCTATACCCTCTATCTTTATGGCATTCGTATGATCATCTAGTACATGGGCCACGGCCATCCCCTGTCCCAGCCCGGCTAGCGTTTCCAAACTTAGCGAGTCGCCTATTCCAGCATTAATACCAGCTTTTATACCTAGGCTTTGGCCGAGTTTGCCTGCAGCTGCCACTCTGGAAGTTGCGCCCAGACTCTCCTTACCTTCATATCCCAGGTCCTCGGGGCTCATGGTTATCCCGCCATTTAAGCCCGATGCAGTGGCAATACCGGCAAATGCACCGAGATTTGATCCAAATCCTGGCTCGTTTCCTATAATTTTTCCTAGACCAGCGGCACCAGTAAGACCACCATTTCCTCTCAGTGCAGCCTCTCCAAGCATTCCGCCAACACGTCCATTAGCAATATCATGCGCTAAGTTATTGACACGCTCCTGTCTAAAGGCTGAATGCCCAGCCGGACCGCCTAGTTCATTAATTTCGACTATACTCGCTAGTGCATTAGGACCAATGGGATGCGTCCAAATCGTGTGACTCCCTCTTCCATGGCCAAGGCCTCCCTCAAGACCCGCTGCGCCCGCCACACCTGCTAAGCCGCCGAAGCCGCCTCTAAGACCTATATTCAAGCCAGTATTGTGCTGACCGGTGACATCTTCATACATCTGTCCCAGTTCTTCACTTTCTTGTGTTGATTCACCGCTTAAAACACCAACCTCAAAGTCTGCAAAATTCCGTGCATGAGCACCACTTCCGAATCTGTTAGCTCTGTGCCCGTAATTATATGGTTCGAAATACTGTCCATTAAATGATTCATAATAGTCTGGTGCGCCACCATCATAACCGTACCCATCTCTGGTTCCTAAATGACGATACGCACCACCCATTGGATAAATCGATCGGTTATGGAGTCCTAGAGCTGCAGCATTTGCAGCTCCTGCAGCATACGGCGCACCTGCTGCTCCTAGTGCATTTGCAACACCAGCTGCATGTGCAGCATTAGCAACACCTGTAAGTCCCGCAGCACCGGCAGCACCTGCAAGTCCCGCAGCACCGGCAGCACCTGCAAGTCTTCCTGCATTCACTGCGCCGGCAAGTCTTGACGCATCAGCCGCATTAGCAGCTCCTGCCATATCAGAGGCAGTAGCAGCACTTGGATATCCCAAAACTCTCGCTCTATTATTTGCATCCTGCTGCATTGCATAACCTTGATTCCTGGCAGCATCATCATATGGTGTGTAAGGAAGATATTCATCTGGATAATCATCACCGTACCATGTTTGTGTACCTATTCGTAATACGTACAGAAAATACAAATACATATAACACGAAAATATTCTTTTCATTCTTAATTAAATGAATCTGATAGAAATAAATACTTTTTGTTTCCTTACGTTTTAGTATGGTATCGAAAAGCTCATTTACCAAAGAATATTATTTGTTAATCATGAATCACAGGAATATAATTGGTATTAATTAATTTGAAGCTATTTCACCTTGGTTATATGTTTAATATGGTTTTGTGAAACAGATATTTCTGTTTACAACATTAAATAATACCGTTTTGGTGTTATACAAATCGACATAGTTCCCTCTTATTGTTCAAATTAATGATGCTAATCCACATAAGTAAACTGGTACTTGTCTGATTATTTTAAATAGTACAAATGATATCGCTTCGATAAAAATATTCGGCTAATAGCTGCAATCAATGTTCAAAAAAGAAGTAAATTGCAGTGAAGACTAAGCATTCTACAAAGTTTTTTAGTTTTCATCACATTATATCAAAGGTCCGTTTAGTAGAATATGACATATTTCTCATTCTCCTACAAGTTTGCCATATGTTTCGGTAAGAGAAAGCTTGTCACAAGAATAGCATCCGCATTCCACTTATAAAATGCATAACTGCCGTGATTTCAATTTTTATCATTAATGGTTCAGTTATTTTCTAATTTTCATCGTTGATGGCTTATCTAAAACACGTTAGACAGTTTCAGGTAAAAAATAGCTGAGCGACACAAGCTAATGATTTAAATGATCATTCTACAATTATGATGACATTTTGGAAGTTACGGACTATGCTAAGCATTACGGTGTTTATTTTTCAACACTAGCAATCAGGTGATTATTTTGATAGCTACATAGTTCAAGCTATCTTCAAATTGTTAAAATACCTGAACTAACCTTTTATCTACGAATTGTGTTCTCTCTGAGATATCGAGCTTGAAGTTCTATGCGACACCAACACTCATGAGTAAATTGAATTATAGAAGTACAGAAATGGCCGTGCTATATTTAACTCACGAATGTAAGGACGTTCATAAAACAGATCGCTCCGATACCATTGCTTAAGATTTTGACAGTCAATGCTCTCATCTTTTTTCATAATACATGCTGTCTCAAGTTGAATCTTTAGCAGCAACGCAAATTCATTTATAATATGTCTGTTTTTGCGGCTCAGTATGTTTCATGTACTGACCGCAGCACATAATGATAAGAAAGTTACTTTTTGTAAATAAAATGTGGGATTGTCGTATTATTGTACACACAGCTCAGTTTGTTGTGCGCAAATTCGTTTTGTGTACCTAAGCAAAAGTTTTATTCTACATTGCTCAAAATTCATCGAGTTAACTCTTTAGATAGGAAACGATCGATGCATTTCAGTTTTTGGAAAATAACTGTATGGATCATAATCTGGTGCTTCATATGCCCGTCTTTTGTGAGCGGGTGAACCGAAATAGTACTCGTGTGACCTTAAAAGACCATGAATTTGAGATGGCATACCAAGAATAAACAGATAGCTGAATATTTTTCTCATTGTAACCGATAATAATCTCGGCTTTTTATTGTTTTTTCCTTATCTTATGCATCAGACGTCAAAAATAATAACCAACGACCTGCTGTATAGTTTATTTGGGCAAATTATACTCAAATATAGGTACCTAGCTATATAAAGGTTGAGCAATTGCTAATTTAATGAATTATGAGCATGTCGGAAATGTTGGACAATTTCAGATGACAAAGTAAACTTATCAGTACTGAGGAAATAAAAAAATTATGGCATATCTACCACTTGCAAATTCATTTTAATTAACTGCTTATAAATAGTAATATGTGTGAAAAAGGGGATGCTTTGTCTTCTACAGTATGATATTGCATCTGGTATAGTTCCTTTGCTGCAATGGCGAATCATTTTTTTCATATCTGAATAATCTAATGAAAAAGCACATATCGGACAGGATATGCCTGAAATGACCGTATGCCCAAACGTATACCATACTGTAAATGGTTATATTGCTGATGTCATGTATTTAGACAAATCGCATTCTTTATAGTGGGTGACCACCAATCCTTCGAAGTGCATTAGTGTAGTACTTCAGGAATATCCACGTCACCGATGCATTTTGGGAATCATTCAGCCGTATAATCTTTTAATTAAGTTATATGTCCCCCTGTGCAATTAATTAGTACCAAAGTGAATTGTTGAATAAATTACCGCATTATATAACGCTACAGCTGTCCTGATAGGGATGGACACCATAAAAACATTCTACACAAAGTCTAACAAAACAATAGACCGCCTATGTTCATCTCTGACACCTGTGAAAAAGGTCCTACAAGTATTGAGTCCGCTGTCATCGGTGATATACGCTGCCCTAACATATTATTTCATCTGCTCCTTGGAAACCGAATATTTAAAAGTGTTCGGCATCGCATTTATTGCCTACGCAGCTGTGAATAGTTTGTATGAAATGGCAAGCATCAAGAAAAGCTACGGAACGATAAGAAACTATCTCCTGAACGCATTCTATATTGTTGTCTCCATCATATTAGCATATTATCTGTATCAGACGTATTTGCTGAAAATATTTGGTGACTACAGCAATATCTCCTCGGCCACCAGCCAGTATATCAACTCGGGCGAAGCTTGGTATTCAAAGATATTTACCATTGGCTTTTTGGCTTCCATGCCAATCACCATACTGATGAATATATACCAGGCTATCACCAAATATAGAAGCAAGCCAGGGTACAAGAATGTAAACATCTATTTATCAACACGACAAAGGCGTATATATCGTAGAAATGATGAGTATAAATACATGGATCTCAAAACAGGTGTTCTTCCATCATTTATCGGAATAATAGTTAATTTCTTTACCACCAACAACCTGGCATCATATGGCTCCAGTGCCGCAAATATTCTGAACGCGTTTAGCGTATATGACGATGAGAAATTCATATCTTGTTTTATGCCACTCGTGCTGATGACACTAGTTTCGCTTGTTGTTATGTTCAGCGGGTATTTCAAAGTCATCACGCCTTATCTAACGCAGTCTGTATAAAACAGAAATGTATGAGTTGTGTTATAATGGATGCGGTATAAATACCATTAAAAAAATTTGCCTGTTTGTAGAATATGCTCATGTTGTACATCCACGTACAAATAAAGAGTATCCGATAAATGAAGTGTGTTATAACATCTGTTAAGAAACGATTTTTCCTTTCATCGTTGAATAAACCATTTTACATCAGCACTGCATATTTCCAAACTACTGACCAAGTTATGACTAACGAAAAACACGGTGCAACACGCTGTTGTTCGAGATGCGTTTTTTATTACAAATTTGCGTTTTATTTGCATACCTGTACACTCCTGTTTTACCTGCAAATTGATGCTGCATCTTGTTAGTTGGGCCACCAAACAGATATATCGGTGCATAGAGCGGTATTACACTACATACAGCGATAAACAAGTATTTTATGATTCGAGATACAGCTCATATCCTCGTAATCTGCCCAGGTTAACTTTGTATCTATCCCCTGGTCTGACATTGTCGTTTGGCTCATCGACATAGAAAACGTCTATGATGTAACATCAGCTATTTCAAACATTTTCATACTTAATATGTGCTATGCTCAGGTTTGAAATATTAACAGGACGTTACTTCTAAGATCCTTAGCAAAAAGTGTAAATATAATCATGCTCGTACCATAACAAAAATACTAAAACAAAAACAGATAATTAACATGTAAATTATGTACAATAATATTTGGAATTCCATTTATGTTATTTCTGCGACTTCCATTTCATACTAAGCAAAAAAGCACTTTATTTACCAAATATTTCAATTTCTATCACAGTTCACAATTTATCTGTAACTCTCGCCCGTGTTTCTTTACCGGTGTGAATGATATTTTTTATTCTCTCCTGCAGAACTAAAAAGCTCCTCAATGTTAAATATTTGATCAAATTGTGGTGTAAAATCGACTACTAATACACCACAATCTATGTGTAGGATGAATATGTTTTTTTACGTGCCAGTTCTTTTATTCTCATCTTAATATAATCTAACTTGCAGTGCAATACCTGTGCAATCTCGTATATATTACCGCTAGCATAGTACTCACTGTTCAAACACATGAAGAAATTACCATCTATAACAACCTCTTTGAAGGCGTACTCACAGACCTTAACCGTTATGTCTTTCCGCTTGAGCAGGCTTCGAAGTAAATCTGCATCCGTTGATATACGTGACAGTTCTTCGGTGTAAAAATTTACAATGCTTCTCACATGGATCAACTTCTGTCTGGCGTACTTAGTGGATGTACTTTTTTTCTTCGGCCCAGGCATTTCCAGGGTTTGAACCAAAACTTGAGTTTGAAGCAACAGATCAGAAGACGCGTCAAGCAAGAAGAGCTGATTTTTGAGTATAATTCGTGGTCATTCAAATATTGACAAAGGAAAATTTGTAATTCTAGAAGTATGCACCTGATCAGTGGACTGTACCCCACTTATAGTCGTGTACCACCTCCATGCGAAAATACAAAAATTTAAAGGCGTAAAATTGTTAAAACAGCATAAATTCAGGATTACAATGATATTACGCCGTTGATAGTACGATCTGCTTGATTAAATATTTATTTATGTCTGCTCAACTCTGCCATTTTGTCAGTGTGTTCAACAGCCGGGGTTTTCTGCGTATCGAGTATCTCCCTGTCCCCAAAACAGTAGTCAAACTCCTTTTCCACCACGTAAAAAATCTCTTCAGATGTGATAGCGCTTATATTTTTGTGTTCAGAAAGCAGTGCCGATCTTGTGAGCACATCATTGACAAACTTTCTACTAAATTGCTGCATTCTGTTTATCACTTCCCGATCGAACGGCTGTTCGGTCACATCACTAATGAGATTTTGCAACTTGTCCCGCGGTGTTATTATGGTTTCCTTGGGAAGCATCGGAACGGCTGAGGGCACGAGAATAAAAAGAATCGGCGCTTGAAAAAATAAATATGTTATGATGTGCGTGCAAGCTTTGATTGGTACGCGAGTGAAAGATAATTCGCCGAGTTTCTCCTTAAAGATTTAAAAGCAAAGAAATGACACGCGCTTTAATGAAAAATGAACAGATAACTGCAGCCATAGCAAAAATAACGAGTACGCAGACGAAAATACGCAAAAAGGATATTCTGAAAATCACATCCATCAGGGATAATCCGATAACAAAACACCTTCTCAAGAAATTCACCATAAACGGTACATTTGAGTTCGAAAAACTTCTCGACGCCTTGAGGGAATTTGCGCTCAATGACCAGCTGTCACCTAAGATAAAGCTGCTGTTCGATCTGTATGACTGTGACAATGATGGCGTTATTTCGCGATGTGATCTTTTCAACGTGATAAAGATGTTCAGTGATGAGAGCTTGTGCGATTCTAATATACAAAATGTTGTCGATAGATGCTTTTTAGACTTGGAATGCAATGAAATCACCTTCAAAAATTTTAAGACATTTATCGAAAACAGCAACCCGAACTTGAAAGTGTTCATGAGATGTTCAAAATCGTAGTTCTCAGGCACAAATGAAATATGCGAATTAGTGATTAGCTGAAATCAACAAAGCGTAAAAATGAATAGAATGTACTGTTTGAACTGTAAAAATAAAGTTTATTGTGATTTATGGCTCGACCTGAGTGGGAAACTACGCGTCTCTACAAAGTCATTGTAAGCTTTTAGAAATGAGAAAGGACCTTATAATAGCTTGCATATTAAACGATAACACTATTATTAAGTGATTATAGCGCTGTATGCCTGTTACATTCTTTCTTATCTAGCGAAAACGTGCATTTTCAGTGTTTTATCACGGAGGACAAAATCTTGGGCACGTAGTATCGTGTCTGTCTAGGATACCTCATGGCAAGTAAAAAACCTTTACACAGCACTAAAATGTCCTTCATTAATACCACAACGTGGCAACGTTTACCATTCCATTTTTCAAATGTGCTTGCATCCGTTTCGCGTTTCTTCGTCTCCTAGGTGTTCACCAAAATTTCGGCACCATGTACACGTTGTGGCACCTGATACTGTCCAAGTAACCGATTATGATAGATGTGCTACAAATTCGCTTATCGGGTCCATTTCTTATGACGTAGATGCATTCGATTGAGCATCTTGAACATTCTCATGGAGACCACGAAGAGCACCCGTCTTCATAAATGTTCATGTTTGTTCTCACTTGCAGCATTGCTAAAATGAACATGTCTTTTCGGTAATTTTAGATTGATCTTGGCCACGGATCCTCGGCAATACGCCTTTAACACAAAAAATTTTTGATCCCTGGAAATGTCCGAGACAATCGATCCATTCACAGGCACCACACGCACAACAGCAGAGGCAGCGCGCAATGCCGTTACCAAGGCTGTTCTAACACTTACTAATGCAGTAAAGACCTCGTATGGTGCACTTGGTCTTGACAAGATGTGCATAGGAACAACCGGTGATGTTCTGATTACTAATGATGGAGCGACCATTCTCACAAATATGGATGTTAAGGATCCCATCGCCAACCTGATCATTGAGCTTTCGAGGCAGCAGGATGTAGAGATGGGTGATGGTACCACTGGTGTTGTTTTGCTAGCGAGTGCACTCATCGAAAGAGGAAATGAGCTGATCAAGCGTGGGCTGCATCCAAGTATAGTTGTGAGCGGATATAAAATGGCATTTAGAGAGAGTCAGCGGTTCATAAAGGAGAAGCTAGAGAACAAAGGTGTGGACATCAACGCCGTGGTTGATACTACACTGAGTTCCAAGGTTGTTTATTCGAAGCATTTTAACGAGCTTACGCTCAGAGCGGTGAAAGCAGTCGAACACGTAGACTTTCTGGGCAAAAAGAAGTACAAAATTCAGAACATCAACATTCTGAAGAAGGAAGGCGGTCAAATGGCCGATTCATTTGCTGTGGAGGGCTATGCGATAAATGCACAGCCGTGTTCAAAGGAAATGCCTACAAACATGAAGAAGGTAAAAGTTGCACTGCTTGATTTCGATCTTGGTAAGGTGCGCCTCCCGTTGAACGTAAACATCGTGGTTGACGATCCGGACATGCTTGAGAAGAACAGGAAGAATGAGATCAGCATAGCCTTAGATCGTGTTAATATGATCCTTGACAGTGCAGATGTAATTTTGAGTAGCAGAAATATCGATGATTTCTGTGTAAAGCCTATAATTGAGAGAAAGAAGATCGGAATTAAACGGGTGCCGATGAAGGATCTGAAGGTGCTCAGCAAGGCCCTCAACATATCTATTAGTAAGACAGAGGAGATAGAGGTGGCTGAGATTGATGAGATTTCGGTTGAGCAACTAGCACACGAGAACTACACGATATTCAAATTTGGAAAGAATTTGTCATCAATCGTTCTGAGAGGAGGTAACGACACGCTGCTTGAAGAGATGGAGCGAAGTGTTAACGACGGGCTGTGCGCCATTAAACGAACACTGGAATGTGAGAGTGTGTTGGCTGGTGGCGGTGCGTTTGAGTGTGCCTTGTCCATTTTCTTGGAAGAGTATGCATTTTCGTTACCCGGTAAAGAAGCAGCTGCCATTTTCACGTACAGCGAGTCGCTTCTTGTCATTCCCAAGACACTGGCGATGAACGCAGGTTTGGATGCCAACCAGTCCTTGAGCGAGCTGCGTGCGTTCCAGAACAACGGTAACCAGGAGGGAATGTCAGAGTGTTTTGATTACGGTCTCGATATTCGTACAGGTGAGATTGTTAACAACATCAAGAGGGGAATCGTTGAGCCCGGTATTAGCAAAATACGCGCGCTACGAGCTGCCACTGAGGTAGCCATTTCGATACTTAGGATTGATGAAGTCATTAAAATCCCCGAGGCTCCCAAGAAACAACAGAGAGATATGTGTGGTTGAGTTAAATAAATAAAGTTGGTCAAAAGCTCCAAAACATTTGATGAACCTGTTCATAATACGGACAGAATATTCTTGTGAGACGGTCTATACAGTCTTTCTCCCGCTACAAAGAGAGGAACGGCATCATTTTGTGCGCAAACATGTGGCACGGTTGATGTTACCTATTCACAATTGTAATCGTTCTTGAACAGCATCATATAACAAAATAGAACGGCCGCCACGGTTTATCTTTCGTACTGCACCTATTTATCCTAAGGCAATCATAAACTAGTCCGATAGATGTGTTCATACGTGTCAATACCAAGCTCAGCTTTTCTGGCACCATATTTACGTTTCGGATGCTTTTACCATAGTTTTTAATCTGCATCCGAACAAATTTGTGTGCGTCATCCATGCGTATGTCGCTGTCTGTGAGAGGTGCGGCAGGCCAATCCTTTCGTACCTGCACAGCCGCCAAAATGTTTACCATAGGAATAGTGCGAAGTTCAAAATCGAATAAAAAAGGAGTAGAACAGATGAACGGGCAGTAAATGCAGGAAAGCAACCAGGTATTTAATATCACATTTCCATACCAAATACTGATGAATAACTGTAACGTACACATGAAATGGTGCTCATGAACCGAGCGAATTTGTAAAGCGATCCGTAATTCACGAAGCAGAAAACTAAAAAAACAATAACACAGCCATCAACACACCTGAAATAAATTACTTTTAATCAAATATCTGCAATTCGCCATCTTCAACCACCCAAATACCATTTTCCTCAAATTCCTTGATCACATTTAAAATCGTTTGCTCATCGTAATTTATGTTCCGTACCAGGTCTTCTAACCGGAGTGGACGTGTCCTATCTGCCTTCATTTTCATTATTTGATTGTAAATTTGGTATTTTGACGAAACTTCTTTCTTTTTCTCTTTGGTCTTATGTAGTTTACTCACCTCCAACAGCCTAGCACTTTCTTCAACATCCCCCTCATTCACCTCGTCAGACAGGCGCAGCCGGGCGTGTGCCATGCACAATCTGATGAGCGATAAAAGAAAGCGCGGTGTGAGCCGCTCATACTTGTCTCGGGCATCCGTATACGCGTTCACAATACGATCGTTCAAATGAGAAGGTATACGTGGATTCAAGGTCTTCGCCTTTTGTACGAAGTTCTTTAAGTCAGTTTGACTCAACGCCGCGCTATGGTCATTCGTATCGCTCTCCTTAAGATGCTGCCGTGCCACATAATCGGCCAACTCTCTATCTTTATTTTCATCCCTATCATCTCTTAGAATGACAATCACGTCAAAACGGCTTATTAGGGACACAGGCAGTCCTGTGTTGTGTTCCAAGCTTTTTTTCTCATCGTAAAATCCTCTTTTGAAGTTTGCAGCACCAAGAACGCAACAACGCGCATTCAACCGCACATTTATACCCGCCTTATTTATGCTTATACTCTGTTGTTCGAGCACCTCGTGCAGACTCAAGCGGTCATTCTCGTCCATTTTATCCATCTCGTCCAGACAGCAGATTCCTTTGTCGCTCAGGACGAGAGCTCCTGCCTCCAACACAAACTCCTTGGTGAAAGGGTCTCTCAGAACACTTGCAGTCAGCCCAACACCACTACTTCCCCTGCCAGCTGTGTACACACCTCGCTTGGAAAGGCCCATGCAGTACTTGAGAAGTTCACTCTTGGCGATACCCGGGTCGCCCATCAACATCACGTTCAGATCACCGCGTATTCTCATCCCATCCGATTTTTGTATGCTTGGTGAGCCGATAAGCATCAGGAGCAGGATCTTTTTGACATCGTGCATGCCGTAAATATGCGGTGCAAAGGAAGCCACCAAGTTCTGTACGGTGAAATTTGCTCGGTCTGCCTCGTTTATATCGCCATCCCACTTAATCTCATCGGGTATTTGATTCTCGTCACCAATCTGATCATCGACTACTTCGTCCAGCATCAATTCATCAGTTCCTTTGGTTTTGCATTCAGCGATGCCGAATCCTTCCAGATAGATTTCATTCATTAGGCCGAAGACCTGCCTGGCCATGAGCACACCACACACATAGATACAGTCCCCAGGGCGCACATCGGCCTCTTTCATCTCGATGTTTACCACTCTAGGAATGCACCCTTCAGGCGTGTCACCCTGCATCTCCTGCAGGCAAATGCTCACGAATGGCTCGAACTTAGATACCCGAGTGATCAGCGACAGTGTGCCTCTGATTTTCATGGTTTTGCACTTCTCGCTTTGGCACACGGCAAGCAGGCTGAATTCCTGGTTGTTAATCTGTTGGTACGTTTCAGAACCGCACGAATCGCAGACGTATACGGCCACCTTTATAGATGGTCGTGTGTGTGACACCTTTGTTACGATACCACGTGTGGTGATGAAATGACCGATTTTATCACTGCGCAGCATTCTGATGCCCAGCGTGTACTGTGTGTGTGGCACTATCCTAAACAGGTAATCACGCATTAAAGACGGCGGAAATATCTTTGTCGCGTCCACACCAGGATATTTCTCCTTCATACGTTCGAGTCGATGGATCATCGCCACATCGCTTGGCGTGTTAACACCATCGATTATCTCGTACAGCATTCTTAAATACGTTGCAAAGTTGTTTTTCAGTCTTTGCATGAGCATATGGTCGTGTATGGCAATGTCGTTCAGATCCAGTGATATTTTCTTTCGAGATACCATGTTCAGATATTTCGGTTCGTTGTTATTGTCTGTGAAGAAGTGTATGAATGATGATAATATGGACTTGTCGGCGTAATAGTCGATTTCGATCTTTTCTCGTTTCAGTTCGCTCGACATTTACCAGGGGTAGGTGTAAAAAATGAGTTCAGGAAAAACCGTAGGTTTCGTCCCGTACGCCTTTTTAAAACGTTGATGAATGTATTTGGTTGTGGAAATGTGAATAGATTTAGCAATTCTACCACTACCATTTTCTGTTTCATATGGACCAAGAAATCGCTTAGGTTAATATTGTGGGCAAACCGTAACATGATCAAGGTATAGAACAATGCATCAGTTCTTAACACAATTTTTAAAGGTTAGTGGAAATTCTGGAACGTACAAGAGTTGTTGATCTGTTTGTTCCAAGTCAACACGTAATTATTTCAATGGTTATTCAGCTAAGAAAAAAATCATGGCTCTGTATTGCCTAGGTGTTTTATTTCTTTGTTCATTGAATGTTGCCGTGCTTCTTCATGTTCGTGAAACGCGTTAGATAAATGACCTTGAGATGTGCAGCAGTTTGACAATTCTTTGCACGAACAAACATTTACGATGATTTCCTTGCAACAATGCATGATCAACGAGCAAGTAAGTTTGTGCCATCGGAACAATACCTGACAAGTTTTTCACACGCATCTGTATTATTGACAAGATAGCACCATGTTGTAATTTGATCAAGCTCGTACTCTTTGATACCAAAATACGTACAAAAATTGGTTTTGTAGGCAGTTTAGTTGTTCTCTCCAGTAAAAAATTGATATAACACAAATTTAACAGCTCAGATACTTGATGCTTTTATTTTACCACAACGAAAGAATACGAGCAGCAGTTCTACGTTATAGCTTATTATACACTACTATGGCTGAGAAATACCAGGAAAATTCATTATTGTTCTGGACTTTTCATTGTGTTCAGCGAGTGCAATTTATACGATATAAAAGAAAAATAATGTGCTATGGCGTACTAATTTACTAATTGTTAACGAAGTACTGCATGTTAGTGATACTGTCATGTATAAAATTGCTTTAGCCTAAGTATTCAAAGCAATGTGCACGTTGCTTGTTTGAACGTTCACTGCTTTTGGATTACATTAATGATTGCGTCTATTATACAAATTTTAAGCACCGTTATTCACCTCGTTTCTGTTGTACGAGTTTGTTTTTGGTTCTTGTAAGCGGTTGCTTAAAAATTTCTTGTTCTCACGACATCGGCTGATTTACTTGCAGCTTATTGCGAACCCATGAGCATCCAAGACAAAATTACTGAAATTGAAGAAGAAATAGCACGCACACAAAAAAACAAGGCAACTGAACGACATATCGGTCATTTGAAGGCTCGTATCAGTCGGTTGAAACTTAGTATGGACGAAAAGAAGGGCAAAACGGTTGCGCCCAGAGACACATTTGATGTAATCCGTAGCGGAGATGCCCGTGTCGCGCTCATAGGATTTCCAAGCGTGGGAAAGTCCACGCTGTTCAGCAAAATTACCAATACGCAGAGCAAAATTGCTGAGCACGAGTTCACCACGGTTGACGTGATTGCGGGTCAGCTTCGTATCGAAGAAAGCATCATACAGCTTCTGGACCTTCCTGGCATCATTACAGGCGCAGCTAGCAACAAAGGAAGGGGCAAACAAGTCATAAGCGTGGCCAGGACATGCAATCTCATCGTTATGATCCTGACCAAGGAAGAGGAAAAGGAGCTGCTCGTAAACGAACTCAATGAAATGGGCATACGTATTAACAGAACAAAACCACGAATAAGTATAAATCAAACAACAGCTGGTGGCATTAACATAAATTCGCTGGAAAAAAACAACGAGGAAATGATAAAATTTATTTTGAAGGAGTTCAAGATTAATAATTGCTTGGTGACAATACAGGACAGGATAACCGATGAGGATATGATTGATGCAATTACGAAGCGGGCAGTTTACATGGATTGTATCTTTGTGTACAACAAGGTTGATAATCTCAGTCTTGAGGAAATAAAGAGAATTGATGGCGTATCGATCAGTTCAGAAAAGGGATGGAATTTTGACACCTTGAAAGACGTAATATGGCGTACACTGTCGCTCAAAAGAATTTACACAAAAAAGAAGGGCGAGTTCCCCGACTTGGATACGCCCGTGATCATAAGGAAAGATGGAAAAATCTCGGATTTGTGTAAAAAAATACACAAAGACTTCATCAAGAAGTTTAAAAGCTGCTTGGTGTGGGGCAGAAGTGTCAAGCATCTGCCACAGCGTGTAGGGCTGGGCCATGTTCTCTCTGACGAGGATGTCGTACAGATTTACATAAATTAAGTCTATGCGATAGATTTATACCAATGAAATATTAAATTTGTGTGTTTGTGGCTAGAATGAAATTTTTATTGCACTTTCTTGGTCCTCATGGGTCCTGTACACGTTCGTCTATCGATGTGATTACCGATTCATTACCACCAGCTCGTTTTACCTTAAGATATAGAAAATTATTGTGGTTTATTTCCACGTAAGCATTAATTTTGTAGCCTCGTAGGTAACCCTGTATGATGTCTTTGTACATTGAAAATATCCTGCTCAACCTTTGCAAGTATTTATCCGGGTCGTATCGCAACGACTCGTAAAGAGGAGGAACATGTGATCCAATGACACACATTCCATCTTCCATCTTAAGCTCAAAGATCTCTTCACAAGTTAACAATTTCCATATCGTGACCAGAAAGTATTTGTCAAGGTCGAATGCACCGTCCTTGCCGTATGGATTTGGAAAAAGGCGTGCCAAGGCCAGTCCTATCAACTCACAGTTATAATCGTGTTTTTGAACAGTTTCTTCCAAAAATGCTACGTAAAATTTGTTATTTATCATGAGGGGACCACTTTGTACGTATTAAATGATGTTTAGCCCATAGCTTTACAACAAGTCAGGTTGCTGCCCTTACCGAGATGCTAGCATTGCACTGTTGTCTACGAGCTCTTATATTAGGTACCAAATATGTTACATGGCTGTAAATAACGAGTGAAATATTAATTTATATGTAAGCATACGCTTATAGAAATTTATAAAGCTGTTGTAAACATGAGAATCCCCCTAATAAACAGCATAGTTAAGCATGCTCAACTGTTTTAACTGTTGCATCTCGTGTTATTGTCGGTTATTTTCATTGGAGGGGTATAGTTGAAGTAAGTAGCTCCTGTTGCTATTCATCGCTATAAAAGTTACATAAGCATTCAAACGTATGCAAAGCTGTTGTCTGAAGTTAATACAACAGAGATGTAATAAAATCTCATTTCATCATGTGATAGTGCCGATGCACTCATTTATACGATGCAACGGAAATGGTAAAACAAATTTTGGTTGATCAATGTTTGCGTATTGTATCATAACCATGATATAAATGAATGTAATTGTTCTGTTTAATACAATAGGTGTAACTAAATCGTATTTTTAACTCTATTAACAGTTTCGGAATACAAAAACTTATTTAAACATATTTATGGTAGAAACATCCGTTGACCAAAGAATCTTTAATAAAATCGGATATCGTGCCTGTTAAACTCAGCTGAAGTAATTTTTAACTATATTGTATGGTTTATCGAACGTGACCGACCCGGTGCTTAACTATCGCTAGAATAAAATTAACGTTTTATAGTACTTAGCATGGCAGTCAAATGTGATGAGATGTGTACAAGATGTTCTAGATCAAAACTTGGCTCAAATATTGTGTATAAAATACATTTCGAGAATGCTAAACAAGACATTTTAGGTAATGTTTTGAACGATATGTGGAACAAAAATAAATTTTAATACAAGTTTCTGCGTGATAAATGTGTTTCTTGTGCAGTTCTTATGAACAATATCGAGACCAAAAATATATTTCGACTAGTTATTAACTAAAAGTGGTAAACTAAGTACTTTAATAGCATGTTCACTTGCTTTAACTCCTTGATCATTTTTATTCACAACATCACCTATTCTAGTCTTTATACGCGCTTTATTCCTTTACTATCATTTAAAGGAATATTACATCAAATGACCTGCAAATTATCATTTATTCAAATAATGGCTAATTTTTATAATTTATTCAGGGCAGTAGTGCTGATCAATACTTGATTAGTGGCAAATCACGTTTTTATCCTAACATTATTGTTGAAACTTGTTGTAGTTTCTTTCGCTTCTTATGAACGTGTAATACTGGGCAAGAACTTTTTCCTAGCTTAGTCATAGCACTATCACGAAAATCACCACCGTATGACTGCATGTCTCGGCCATACACTTGCTATATCCCCAAGTAATTATCTATTCGATATTTAATGATGGATACAATCACAATTTTACCACATGCATGCTCATATGCCATTCTTATATCCAATAAGCCATTATCAGTTAAATTTATTTTGATAATCATTTTGCTCATAAATCTTCAAAATTATGGTACTTTGTTAGTGCTCATGTGATTTATTCTCTTCTCATGGTCATAGATATGTTGCTTGTTGCTTCTTCTACCAAGTGATTACTGTGATAGCTTCGATTTATATCGTAAACTGTTCAATTAAATATTAAGCTCTATAAGAAGGAACTGAAATAAAGCTAATTATGAAACTATAAATGATCAACATTGACTCATACACATGCTATTTCTTCTACAAAAATATGCTGAGAAGCTCTTAAAGTATATCCTGGTGTTTCAAACAATCATCGACGGCTTAAACGAAGATTATATCGTTCTTGATGACCTAGAGGATACGGGCATGGTGAGATACCTAAATGCGTGTGAAAAAGATGCGGATAAATGCATATTAACGTGCGTTATGAAGAATTTCGAGAGAATATATCCTTTGAAGGGCACCAGTGACCAAAAGAAAACTTTAGCCAATGGCACATCGTATTATTTCAGTCATGTTTTCGGCTTCAAAAAGCTTGAATATGAACCATATTATATTCTGATTGAAAAGGATAAAAATATCAAATACAAAGTCATTAAGGTTCCATTGCATAGGCCATTCTTCATGAAGATTATGAAACTATCGCAGCATCATATTCCCACTTTTACAACTGACGAAATATGCACCATCATTACTGATATTCTACCATACAAGGACAGGGCAGAATTGCTCGCACACTCAATATGTTCACATTTGCAAAATAATCCCGATCTTGTTCATGAGCTGATTGGTTGTGTGAATAACCCAGAATCCTCACACTATAGCCCACAAACAAGGTTCCTTTCATCGGTCGTGTTTAATACAAACCGCACTAGAGACAGCTTCAGCGACATATTAAGCACCCGAGTTGGTTTTAAATTGGTGAGTCAAAAGGACAGTGATAGTGTAATATATGCCTATGCTGGCCAAAAATGCCCAGGAAAAGTCTTTTTCTTTGTTTCAATCAATCGCTTGACCATAAAGTTTCTAATTAAACATCTTGAAATGAGTTACTATAGTTTCAAAGAAAATCAAGATGCACTGAACTCAATTTTTTGCAAAGAACCGAAAGAGTTGCTAGAATCCGTCAAAATTTACGCTATTAACAACGAAATAGATACAGTCATGCCAGATTTGACATCTGAAAACCAAATTCTTTCACATAAGCTCAGCGTAATAACACAATCCAGGTTCCTTTTAGCCGGAAATATTGGCAGCATCGGTCTACAATTCGCTCATTTCAAGAAAAAGTTTGATTTCACATGCCTTAATCATCTGAAAATGCTAAATGATATTATATGTTGGAAATGCTCGCTCAACTTTGTCAAATCTATACCGGAACAAATCAATATTGAAATGTATCTATCAGAGGATAAAACAGACAACCTATTCAAAGAGACACCAAGTAATATCGTAAATGTGTCATATAGCAACTGCGATATAAGCGATTGCTCAAAAATTTCTGGAAAAATACGATCTATCACTATCGATTGCTGTCCTATTGACTCAAATGACGTACTTTCCTTCGGTAAGAACTATGAGAATGTCACGGTAAAGACGAGAAAACCAATAAAAATTGAAATGAATGGTTATGTTGGATTTGAAGAAGTGTTTTTGGGTGATTCTAAAAATTCTGTTTTCAAATTCAATAAAGAGCCTGTAACTCATCGAGGCGTTCTGGAACTGATTGATGCCAAAATCATGGAAATGGCGATGCCAATAACCATTTCAGAGAATATACACGAGGCAACGTTTGAATGTGTTCAATTGTTATCGGACTCAACCATCGTGTTTCCGCATACAGGTCAAAGCATTCAAATATCACGATCACAAGGTCTTTTCGATTTGGAGGCTTACATAGGATTTAAACAGTTGTTCACATATAATATGGCGGTTAAAGTGCTTCCCATTCAAAATTCAGAAATAAGTCTATCTTACATCTTGCTGCGCAACATTCAACTGGATCAGAACATCATATTGCCTAATAATTATGAATATGTTGTGTTAGAGAACGTCGTTGTGGATGAAAACGCGTCAGTATTGTTGAATAAAGCATGTAAAAGGCTTGTGATCAGTGGATGTAGCGGGACATTCAATATAAGCGATGCAGAATACTTTGAGAACATTACTATATGTTATTCTATATACAAAGATAATGACATTAGATTTGTTGGCTCGCGAGTTGTCAACCATCTTCATCTTCGTAATATTTGTGGGAATGTGGAAGTTGTTAAATCTCAGCTTAAGTGCTTTAAACAGGTAAAACATCTGCAGTTTACATTTAATTACTCAGACGAAGCGGATGACATAGGTAGTGATGTAAACTTGAGCACCATATTTGAGAATATATTCGGTAAAAGTGTGAATCCTGTGCCCGAATATTTACCATCGCATGAGGACTGCTATCTCAAAACGGCTTATAAGAAATCAGAATTTGCGGTGAATTTCATTTTAAGTGAGATCTTCACCGAAAATTTCATTGATTCCGTTACCGAATTGGAACTAACATCTATTACAATAACACCAAACAATTACGACCTGGTAAATAGTTTATCAAATTTAGCAATACTTAAGATCCGGTCAGCAAGCCTTACCTACAATTTTTTTAAATGCTTGCCGATAGACCTCAGAATACTCGATGTCTCTGGTTCACACATTTTCTATGAAAGTGCAGAACATAATACCTGTAATGGCCGAAGGAACTATTCAAATAACGTTAAAATCGCATCACTTTCTGCAAAAGTTTTGTTCCAACTACCAAATATCGGTCTCTTGCTGCCATCTCTCATGATACTTAAAATTCAATTTGATCCGATGTGTAAAGCTGATTATATTGTACATGATGACGTAATACAGCTGGAAGAACTGTTTATTGAGTGTAAAGAAGAAATGATTAATCTGAAATCGCCAACGATAGAAAAACAAGAATTTATCGCATTTGTCCGTTTGTTATCACGGCGTATCGACCTTCGTTTTCTAAAATATTGTACACTTGTTTCGGAGGAAAGTTCGATTGTGATCAATCCTTTAACCTTTGAAGTTCTCACTGCGAAAACAATGTGCCAGCCCAATGATCCCGATTCAATAAAAATCTGCAAAGAACCAAAATGAGTCATTAAAAGTGGTAAAATAATTACACCTTCGTTCAAAATATAGTAAAGTATCTTTCATAAAATGCATGATTCTTTATAGTCGGCAGCAGATACAATATCAAGTATTAAACATTTAAAGTTTGAAACCACTACTCAATTCGGCGTGGTATACAAAAATGTTCTTTTTATGGTACTATCAAACGCAATTCTGTACCAAGAAAATTGGCAGATTTGTTGGAAATTTGTGTTTGAGTATTTGACTTTGTTCATTTAATTAAGAGCTTTTTCCTTGCTTTCATCTTGTTACAATGCACAACAAGTGCGAAATGATGCTGATCAATGTATTTAATGTGGACTATTCTCCTATGCCAACAAATTTAGTTGTATCACTGGAACTCTGATCGTCTTCCTTTCGTTTCTGTGAAAGAAAGAAGCACAATAAAGAAGAAAATTACCATTAGCGTAAAATAAATTAGAAAGCACAAATTTCCCATATAACTGATCAGGTACGAAAATGAAAAAGTCACTGTAAACGCAGTAACCCAGTTAACCGTCATGGAAAGAGTATTTGCTGCTCTCTTGTACTCATCTCTAAAGATTTCGTTAATGATAAACCACGCAATTGGCCCAAGACCCAAAGCATACCCAATAATGAAAATATAAAGGGATGGCAGAACGCATCTATTAATTGTTAACATGAGCAAGGCGATTAGGACGAGAAACGTGGAGGTGAGTACCATAGGTTTGCGCCCAAAACGGTCGACAACACACATCGAAACGACCGTAAAAATAATGGAACAAACACCCAACGAAATAGTACCTAGTTTTTGATCGCTCATAGCTTTTTTCAAAATGTCATTACTGAACAGTATCATAGCATTTATCCCACTGGCTTGCTGTCCCATGTGAAACGCTATATCTATTGTTAAAGACTTTCTTGCCTCTCTGCATTTCAAAAGATCCAATACGCTTTTCGACTGACCGGTCGTCACTCGTCTCACGTTCTTGATTGCCGTCAGAAGGACAAGAGCGATTATGTAAAATAGGATAAAGCCGCGGTAAAATATCTTTATCAGCCGATGGTCCTCAACAAAGTACGAAAACAGCTGCCCAACAAGAATACCTATAACGATGAAGAGCTGGTGAGCCGAGCCAACCATACCGCGCTGATGCCTGGACGCAAGATAGCTGAGATAGCCTGGCACAGTAGCACAGCTCGTGCCACACGCTATGCCAATTACCAACCGACCACAAACCATCACATAGTAATTTAGTGTTTCCATGATCAGAATATGTCCGATAAAAAATATAAAAACATTGATGAGCATGCACATCTTGGGATTGATGTTCAGAAATCCAATGAATATGTTTCCCATGATAGCGCCTAAAAATATTATGGACGATAGCATTCCCCACATGTTTTCGTCTATCTTGAAAGGCGCAGTTTCTCCTTCTCCAAAAAATAGCGATTTCAGTATTTCCATTGATGTGGTATGGAAACCAAAAAAAAATGAACATGTACAGCTCATTACCGTTGAATACAGCAGCATTTTTGTTGAGAGAGGATTATATCTGTGCTCGAACGATTCCTGTTCTTCCACAGGATTTCTTCTTCCGTAGTAGTATTTCGGCATGTCACGGCTTGAAGAACGTGCTTTTCATATTTTGCTCCTTTATTAAACAAGGCAGGTCATTGGTTGATGCACTGCCATATCATGTTAAACGCAAACACATACAAATAGGGAATGATATGTACGACAGTATGATAGTATGAGTGGTCGGTACCGCTAGAAATTTGCATTTCAGAAATAAGGTACTATATTGCACCAGTGAAAGAACAAATTATCTGTCATTTAAATGATGGAGCTTGTAATATTTTATAGTTTGATGGTAAGAAAATGTGATGTAGCATTTGAGAAAGAAACCGGCAAATAGCCTGGTAAAGAAGAAAATTTGCAATAAGACTTTGTGCCACGATCCAATTAATATCACCAAATTGGCTCTGGTCAAAGCAAAGAACGTTTTGTAAGCAATAAATTATTAAAAACGGATAATATGCCTACTACAAGATAAATGGCGTATTTACTACTATATGTATCCTTAAAATACCAAAAAACAAAATTTATACCTGATTGATCAATTTACAAAAATTACTTGATTATTTGATCATCACGAAAAACCCGCGTGCAAAAAAGGGGCATACCGTCCTAACAGAAAGTCTTCATCATGAATATAATCGTTAATTTATTCATTCAAGACATGCAACACTCCAGCGGGTCGTTGTGATCGGTTTTAACGAACAAAACATGTTTAAATTAACTTTTAATGATGTAGTACGTGAGAAGGGATGCTATAACAGACAATTTTTTATTAAAGCTGCAAAATGCAACTTACATCGATTAAGCAATCTTCTAAATTATCAGGTGCTAAATCCTTTGCACGTTTTTTCTAACTCAATGACCACCTTCTTAAGCTCGCACAAATATTTCTTCTTATCTTCAGTTAATAAAAATTCTTCTTTTAAAGATTTGAATAACAAATTATCACGAATCATTAATTTGCGATAATCCAATTCCTTAAACACCGTACTATTCTGGTTTTCAGCGTTTCTGCCCTGTGTTCTTTCTCTGTTCAAAAATATTTTGAAAAAAAGAACGAAATTATCGTTCGAGGGCAAGATGTGTTTTATATCGAGAACCTTCTCTGTAAACTTAGCGTAAAAGGTCAGCGCCTCCAGTAAAACGGTACTCTGCACGTTGTAATCAAAGTTAAAATCGTTTAAACTGATCCCTTTGTGAGCATGCACTGCACACAAAGGCAGAAGTTTCATTCTTAAATTAATGTTGTCGCTCACACTCTTTCGTAAATACAAGTCTAAATATTCAGCAGGCATCGGCTTCTTCAGTTTTACTTCAAAAAAGTTGGCCAACGCATATTTTCTGATATAATCAGCGATCAAACATTCCAACTCCGGTACTTTACAATAATTATTGATAATTTCAAAGCAAATGAATTTGTTGAACATATCGTAAGGTTGGTTTATCAGATAATAAAGGATAATTTTCATTTTGTATCTGATAATCAGCGAGTACTTTGCACTTTCCCTGCATTCCTTCAAGAAAACCAAAATTTTGCTGTCCAAATTTATATACGCTTGTGAGCTTGTCGATGCAATCAGTATTTTCGAAAACATATCGGGATAGAGATGAAACGGAAATTTGTACTCGTCTTGTACAAGGAAGGAGAGATGGTTGTGCAATATTTGAAATATTATTGGTTGGTTGTAGCATTTTTTGAGTAATTTTATCGTTTTGTTGATTTTTTTCGATTCCATTGTTACCCTGCCACAGTTTTTTTTTCACTAAAAATCGATTATATATCTCTTTGCACAGCAACATCTGAATCAACACACTTTCTGGTCCTTCTGCCCCTGGATCACGACACTTCACGCAGAAAATAGTTTAATCGATCAGCTTGTGCAAAAATTGTAAAAGTAGGATTTGAACTGCATCCAAATGCTTTGTTAGTGTGTATTTGACATGATCTCTTCACCTCACCATTAAATACATTTTGTAATGATAACAATAAATAGTCTAATTAGATTGATAAATCTTTCATTTCTTCATGTAAGTGTGTTCATTATTATACTCGTGTTCATGACTATCATCCTAATTTATGTTTCCTGCTCGTCATGTTGCTAAACAAAGAGGTAACCATCGTAGTTATATTTGACTTTTGTCATCTGGCAGTTGTTATTTTATTTTGTGTCTGGCAGGTCATCCATATGTGTAGAACATGCAGTGATTGCAATTGAAAAGTTGATCGAATGTATCCATTGGGCGGTCTCGCATTTGACGCATTTGGTCGGATAAATGAGCTTTGTTAATGATGACAAGCAGCTTGGCACGTTTTAGAAATCATGCATAATACAGCATTGGCACGATAGACAAATTGCAAGCAGAATCTACCACAACATGTTGTTAAACAGGGTATAATTTTTGATATTCCACACCCCTTGCAATGTCCATTGATTCGCATTCTGCTCGTATTCGGGCTCTTATCGAACAGATAAAGCAGAACCCGTCTGCTAAACCATCAACAATAGATAAAACCGTTATTGAGAGGGCGTGTAGTTTCCTTAAAGTATCGGATTTAGATGCACTGGTACAGAACAAGAAAGTGGACATCAACAGAATTAACAAATTACTCCGAATTAAAAACGAAAAGGTGCACGAATTGCTGATAGGATTTGGAGAAAAAGAACTGACCTTGTGGAACGATGAAAAAATAGATGATCTTGTGCGAACTATGAGATGCTGACATACCGAATAGTTTCTTTGGTGCTGTATCGGGCGGTGCTTATCATCGGAAGTTGTACCAATGCTTAAGCTTGTAAAGAGGATAAAATTGAAGATCATAGAAGCAGAAAATAAATATCGCAAACGTATGCATTTATAAAGTGTTAGCGAGTATTGCATTGCAATACTACTATTTTTTGATTACTCTGATTTATTGTATTGCTTAATTATATGGCACAAAGATAATTATTTACCAATATTTTATATTTCAGAGTGGAATGGTATTAATTCGCTATGTATGGTATTTTTGCAATTCTGCACGTTCATTACGTTGTTAAATCTTTCTTAGCATATTAGATCCTTGCTGACGTGCTAATGTAGCTTTTTACGGCTTTTTCACCCAGAATACAAGGTTGCAGGTGCTATATTGGATGTATGAACAGGATGAGTTTGTTTATGGTGAGGTTGTAGTCATGCTTAATAAATTAACTTCCATAAAGAAATATGTATGTTGTGACAGGGAGGTGTATTTGTCGTAAAAAATATTCAAAATGTCTTTCAACGAGTGAAGGTCCCTGCACGATATTTATGATGGCATCTAGTACTAAAAAATGGACAAAAATATAAATAGCTCTTCAGATTGTTCCAAGTACCCGTATTTAAAGTGAAAAATAGATTTTTACGAACGAAAACGGTATTTATTTTGGAGCTTCATCGATTTATAGAATTAAAAAGACAAAGCTAAGAATTAAATTGCTAAAAAAATTTAACGATGAGCTAACACAATTAATATACATTTAAATTAGGTATGTACCATTAATTATGACTATCATTCACACTTTTGAGTCGTAACAGTACTTATCTTCGCTGTCTAAAATCAGTACAGAAGTAACAACTTTTGAGCAAAATTTACCAGGCATACTTCCTTAAACGTGATATATCATCGGGATGATAACTAAGGACGTACAATGTATCGATTCTGCCATGGTAAAAGGTATGTCAGAATCGATAGAGAAAATTTGAAAATGGTTGTCAAAACATGAGCAACCCCTGGACACGAATTACAAGAACATTAGGCCACTAATCAACAGAAAAACTTTTATTCATCGCTTCACAATAATATTCATGCAATGATCGCACTCCACATCAAATAGAACATCCAGCACCACAAAATCACAGTTTTCATCGGCGGTACTCATGATATTTTTACGGTAATACCTTTCGTTTTTCTCCATATCGTAGAACGAGCAGTAGAGCAGTTTATTGCCGTGGCTGATCATCTCTACTGTCACGTCGGCAAACATTTGGATGAACTGCTCAATAGTGCAGTCCTTCACTTCCAACTGATCCCAGAGGTTAAACTTTTTATTGAAAAGTTTGCACTCAAATTCAATGGGCGGCAGAGTCTCGGAGTGTGCGATAAACGGTAAAGCAAGATTGATAAACGAATTTTTGAAGATAATCTCGCTTTTGCGTCTTATTTGGATGAATTGGAGCTCATCTTCTTTTACCTCATTCTCATGACTCTCGGACAGCTTATCCTTGTTGAACAGGTACCTGTACATTTCTATACAAATAAGCCCGCTCACCACTGCAGTAGTTGTTGCAATCGCTGGTATTATCTTGCCTGCTATTCGTTTCACGTCCAGTCTTTCCGCATTCTTTATCTTGTAGTTCTGCGCTCTGAGGTTGGATGCAGCATAGACAAAGTCTACGTGCCAGTTCCTATCATCATCCTTCTCAAAGATGATCTTCTTCTTCTGAATGTTGTCGCATGGCTCCTCATCCATGTCGTCACAAAAATCATCTTTCGTAACTTTCCTACCATCAAGGTAACACGTGCTCAGCAGGTTGGAGCAGCTCAACAGGAACAGCAAATGCAGTTCATCACCTTCTGACAACTCTATTTCTGTTGGCACCCTCTTGGGCGGCTCCCAGAACCGCAGTCCTTCCTCGGTGATATGGTCTTCAGGGAACAGCTCCTTGAGCTTTTGGATGTTTGTCTTAAAGAAGCACACGAACAGCTCCACCGCATATTTTATGCACTCCTTCTTTGAGCATGGCGGGTTTTGGCCGATATATTCGAGCAAATTCTCGCCAAGCTTGACTTCGTCTGATTTCGCGCCACTCTCATCTACCACGTTTGCACTTCTGGATTCATCCGAATTGTTGTTCTGCTTTACTTCGGTAAAGAGCGTTTGAAATTGTGTGAGAGCCCACTCAATACAGTGCTCGATCAGGTGTGGAAAGTTTCGCACCGTGCAAAGCGGGATTTCTTTCTCGGGCGGGTCTCTACTTGATGAGTAGCTCTCCGTCAGATAAGGAATTACACATTGTGCGTTGCCCTTCGTTCCCAAGGTTCCACCGTCAAACAGAGGCTTCTTCAGAATAACGGCCCGTCCGTCCATGTACTGCCGCGCTTCTGCGTTATCCAGAGCAAGTGCAAAAAGATCGAATTTGCTGAGAAAGCAATCATTGAAGATGTTCTCTGTGTTAGAATTAACTGCGAGTGTGTACGGAACAATTTTATCTTTTCGAGTTTCTTCCCTCATTTGGCATATTACATTTGCTGCCACAGCACTTTTGAAATCAGAAATATCCTTTTTGCGGAATAAAAACTGCCTATTGAGGTTGCTCTCCTCAATTGTGTCCATATCTGTCACCGTAACATCAGATATCAGGTTCTTTAGGTGCTCGCAGCCTATTGCTCCGGCACCAACAAGGAAGATCTTGGCGTTTAGTATCTGATCCAGTTTTCTATTACCAAATAACACGACAAGATCTCTAAACTTGCTGTCTTCATGCTTGTAGTCATCTAAATCCACGTTTTTGTTTTTGTCCTTGTTGCTTTCCTCCTCCGTTTTGTCGCTGAAAAGATCTGGCAGGAGCAAATCGTACGAATTAAAGAAGTAGAACTGGAGCAGCGGCATGAAACGTTCTGAACAGAGTTTGAGCGCTTCCTGCGCAACGTACCCACCCAAAATACTTACAATAGGCATAAATGCAGCTGCACATGTCTCAGCAAACAATCCAGGTAACTCACTGCTCGCTTTGCCGTAGTTTTTCTCATAAATTTCCAAGAACTTCTCTCTGTCTGATTCATCACGTGGAAAAGGATCTCTTCCATGTTCATCTCTAAAAAGTGCGTGTGTATAAAATAACTTAAATATATCGTCGTTTTCCTCTTTTCCACACTCAGCAAGGCTCTTAAATTCAAAAACCTTTGTTTTCTTAATCTCCTCATACGTATCGCCTTCAACCGTACCTGTCGTACAAATTTGGAATTCAAATGGATTTATCACCGTAATACTGAAAACCGAGTCACCGACCTTAACACGGTCTCTGCTCTCAAAATTGTGCCGATCCACTGTTCGCAACGTGTACACATTGTGCTCCTCTGTTTTTTGCTTTTTGTCCCTACGATGTTGCTCGATAAGATCTTCCGTATATTCATCATCCTTTCTTTCGTACGATATATTGGTCACGCTCCCCAGCTTGGGACTTTCTCCGTTTACATCTCGTGTTGTGAAGTGTATAAAGTCGTTAAACACACATCCAGCTAATCCCTTTTGCATGCACCCGATAAACCCAATGTTGCACCGCCTCGTTGCCTCGTTTGCACGCTCCTGTTTCCGCAGGTCCGCATCTACCTGTACGAGCAGGGTGTAATTCTTGAGAACATCCTCTCTCATACCTTCGTTTTCCATGATATCGCAGATGCCCACATGCACATACGTGTTCAATTCTTTTAGCGCATTTAGAACGCTTTCATCTTTCCTCTGGCCCACATTCTGCGATTGAAAATAAAACCCTGTGTTCAAATCGTTCATCCGTACCAGTGAATTATCATAGATGTCTGTCCTTATCCCTGCTAGTATCAGATTTTTGGCTATTTCCTGGCCGAGCCCGCTCATTCCAACTATCAAAACCTTCGACTGCATCATTTTTACATGAGCTTTTGGTCCAAGTACAAGCAGTTGTCTCGAGTATAAAGATTCGTTGATTGATGATCCCGTGGCGTCTGTTTGCATCCCTAGGGTCGGCAAAGAATTTTTATTTATCAGAAAAAACAAAACGAAAATTTGCAAATTTCACCAATCAATTGCCAAGGAGGATGTATTGAACTCGGAAATGATTTGTGTATGCTGCGTAAAAGTTATTTGTGCATGGAGATCCTATGAAAATTGGGGCTCATAATGTTCACACGGCTAATACCTGATTGACCAATAGCCAATGGTAAACATTGAAAATCTCATTAGAGAATATCTGATAAGAGCACTTGGACAGGAAACACGCAAAATATTAAATTTACCGTAGGCATATGCGTTCTCTCTTGACAGCTCAGTCCAAAAGCACAACCACGGGAGTAAAAAAACATACAACCTAAAGACGAGTGGACATAATATATCCCGGCAGACCGGGAAGCGTGTTTATACGGATGTTGTTATATGAGAAACAAATAGACTTATGCCTAGTAAAAAGGTACAACCACGCTATTTTTTATATTTTACTTGGCTTCGCACTCTTCGTAATGAAAATTATGTGCGAGTTGAGATCCATCCTTTCCAGGTAATGTTTCCAAACTGAGGATACCCGCAACAATTTGCTCAATTGTGAGCAGCTGTTATTCATTGATCTGATAATATGATTATGGACTTGATAGTATTTTGTAGTTAATCGTACTTCGCTCAGGTATTCAGATCCCTGCTGAATTTTTCCATACCAATGGAGAATGGTTCGTAGTACATCGCCAATGAATGATGTACGGTTCAGCGCAAAATACGATATTTAAGTGTTTAATTGTTATCAACAATCTAAAATTATGAAATTGCACGCTTACGACCGATGTAATTCGCGTGTAGATAGCATGTTGTGATTTTTTATTTTAGTTAAAAATACTCATATTTACAATTCATCATCGTAAAAAACCTAGCACTTTCTAATTTATCACGTGAAAATAAGATGTAAAAGACAAATGCTGTTACATACATGGGAATGTTCGTATTATGGTGTATGCGCCACACATTTAGCAACACCAACCGATATTGGTTAGTGAACACGTTATCTGTACCACTGACGTGAAATACCCAGGAATCTAAGATCCAGCCACAATATCCGCGAGGACATTCAGTCAAACGGTACCGAGAGTATCCACAGAATCGCAATATTTCATTATAATTGGGTACATAGTCGGATATTAAACGGAATAGAAATGCTGTCGTGCATCAATTGATCAATGTTAGATAAATCATTGACACAGCAATTCGCTAACCAAACCAAGTCACTAAAAAATGCTTACTTTAAGGTTATTATCTCCTTATACCGATATTAAATACCTTTTAAATAACATTTATAGCATCAAACTCATCTACTTTAACACGTTCAATGGTGCCAACCATAAAAATTATAAAAACGTGAAATTGTGCATTGCTAAAGTAACGATCACCGGGTTGCGGTAGAAAGGATGCGAATACCAACGCGGCACATCGTAAAAATGTGGAATGTTTTTATTGCCACTGGCTGTACTGCTCTGTGATGACAGAAACACCATGATAAGTTAAAAGACCGAACTGCAACGATGTATTTTAATCTTTACGCCTCATCATCGCAACTTGTCTCTTCAGTGTTTCTTTCCTGATGTTCATGACCGCTTTATCAACATTGAGTAGCACATGGTTAATCATCTCTGGATAGCACTCCTCCGTATTTTCAAAGAATACCACACCGTTGTTCTGATCTATCTTACACTGCAGGTCGTGGTTGTTAACTTCATCACAGATTTGCTCAACACATTTGTTCAACGGTGACATAAGAAGAGCAGACAGATCAGCAAAAGTGATCGATGAGCAAAATCGGCTTATTATTCGCAAATTGTGATCATTAATTGCATCTAAAATTTCCTTCTCGTACGAACTGTTTATTCGTCTGAGTACAAGCATGACATTCTCCTTGTCAATGAGCTCAATACTCCTGAAATAATCGATTTGCTTCCTTATCTCTTCCACATTGTACTTGTTTTTGTGCAGCCGCTCGAGATACTCCGTTTTTTCTTTCATTTTGTTCGACAGAATAGCAAAAAACGATGCGTAGATGCAAAAGACCTCCTTGATTTTTCGGTTTAAATGCTCAGCACAGCCTCCCAGCTCGAAAAAATGTGTGAACTGGGGTACTTCGTACTTCTGATCGCTGCTATCAGGCATTTCAAGGATTTCCATTAGGATCTTTGTTGCTTCCAACAGATCTCCCGTCATTCCAAAATAATCCGTTTTGAGTAAAGCCAACATGAAAACAGAAACCTTGTCATTCACCGCTTCTAAATGCTTCTTCTTTACCTTCTTAACCATTATCTCGGCTCTTATAAAATCCTTGGTTAAAATGCACAGTTTCAGAACATCCAGCTGATAAATCGCAATCTCATGCAAGCTAAGGCTGCTAAATGTCTCTATGGGCACGTTATACGCAATCTCAAGGGCCTTATCACACATATTAAATTTTTCATAAATTTTCTTTATGTAGTTTGCATAGTCTCGACGCTGCTTCTCCAAGTACAACTTCCCCTCGATCACACTCGTCAAAACCTCGACCATAAATTTCACGTTCCTTTCGGGGAATTCTTCACTGTCTAGCCCGTCCTTATGCATTTCAAATACTTTGTCAATCAGCCACTGGTAACTAATTTTAATCTGATTCTTTTTCTTAGAAAGAAGCTTTAAAAGGATCAAAAGATCATTTTCCGACTCACAAAGTGATAGCATGGATGTGAATGTCTGTAATTGCTTTTCGTGGTTGTTGTCTAAGCGGTTGACTCGCTCTTGTTCCAGTAGTTCATCCATTTTCAGGGGCAGATTTTTTGTTTACATGATAAATTTGGAATTGGTAGGAGGCAGCCTTGTGAGACATAAGAATGCAAGCGGAGATCACAGCATTCATAAGCTGAAAAATGACTTGAATGTTAGGAGAAATGCACAGCTGTCCGTTCATAATGCTCATTATAACGCGTAAAGTGGTATAGGTCGGTCATCAAAAATTGCTCTCTTTATTAAAAGCTCCTTGTGGCACGATGTAGTGGAATAAAATGAGCTATACGTTCTTATACCATGGAAATGAAACGCTGATCAATGCTAACTGGGGAGTGTTCACGCAAGAAATTCTCATTAAGAAGAGTTGCACTGAATATTCATCAATAATACCAGGTCCTAGCGACGTTCATTATTAATGGCCAGAGAGTAAAAACAGTACTGAAGTCATTATAAAATGAATATTTGTTGAGTCTGGTTTATTTTTCTTTGTCAAGGGAAACACTCGTGTTGCATCGCATTTTCTGAGTAATACATCTTTGGCATGGTCAACCGTGATTTTTTGTGCATACAGTACCAAAAAATGGGTAGGCATCGGCTTAAATACTTTGCTAGAACATTTTTACGAAGTGCCTCTAACGTATTATAAATTTACTGGGCCAATTCAAAAATAAAATGAAATGGAAAGAAAATAAAGCCTTTTATGCCTTATTTTCTTAGACAATTTCCCCTTTTACAACTCATTCACAGAGTAAATCTTTACAATTTACAATTCATGTTATTAAGCATCATAGACAGGAAGTTATTTACGTTTTCGTGACAAAAAAATAATTTTGAACTGCAGGTTACGTGCACGTCCCTGTTGATTACAGGTGTTTGTTCAAATTTAAAATGCGAGATGCTTAAATATTGAGTTTTGAACAAATTTATTAATTTAGAATTGTAATTTTTACTGTCAAGAATGAGTGGAAAGGTGTTGGTCGATATGACATGACTTTATCCACAGCAAATTTTAGTAAAACAGTGACAGTAACAACTCATCGCATACAGCACACTTATAGATTATTTATAACCAATATATGTGCTTTAGTACGCGTTTTTAGTACATGCCATGCTTGTTATATCTGTGCCTTTCCAATCTTTGTTAATGACCGGATCTCTGACACAGAAGGTCAGATACTCGGACCTGCTTTTCTGTAACTGCGTCAATTAATCGATCAAGAAACGGAATAGTAGCACAGTAAAGCATGCACAGTATCAATGTACGTTGAAAAGACACACCGAGTACATTACTTTTCCGTTCATTGATAACAATTCGTTCACGGAGTTACATATCGAGCAAGGTCTCCTTTTCGATTCTCCTTTAACGTGAAAGATATTCGGTGTTACTGTGATGAGGAACTCATCAATGCTCTGTAGTTGGTGTTACAAGCACAGCTGCGGTGTTTATCGGAATGTAGAAGTTTCGATGAAAGTATAGGTAGATGTAATTACACTCTCATTTATAGAAACTCGACAACGTAATGGTCCTATTGGTCACTACGAGATATAAAAGAGAGAGGAATGTGCGATACCATGGATAAAAATCGCAAGAAAATCATGGAAGAGCTTATGCAAAAACTTGAGGAGAAAAACAGAAAGCGGGAAGAGAATGGTGGTGGAAGAGACGAAGCAAGCGCAAGAAATGTGTTGGAACAGGGCATACGGGAAAATGAGGTCAGAGGCGATGATGAATCAAAGGATAAAGTGCAAGTAGACGATGATGTTCTATACATAGACAAAGAACTGCTAAGTGATCGGAAGAGCAAAACGAAAAAACGATCTGAAGGTCTGAAGAACGCTATAAAGTGCATTCAATGTCAGTTCGAAGTGAACGGCAGTGAAGTGAACTTCGTGTTTTATTGTCCGCAGTGCAACGAGTATTGGTTGATTTTAAATGAGATGATGGGGATAGAAGGAAATGAATCATCGATAAATTTGAGCAGATTAGGCGATAATGTTGAGGACGAGAGCAAGGTCGAAGTTTTGCAGAAAATTTTGGCTGATTTGTTGCCTAGCGTGAGCAGTGAAGATTCAAAAGACGAAGAGAAATATAGAACTGAGATAGAAGCGACTGAAAAAGAAGAAAGTAAGGCGTCATTTGACAGAGAACAACTGAATTTAGCTATATCGGACGTTATAGAAGCGCTTCAAAGCAGGAAACAAGATAGTAGTCGTTCACGAATCTCTAAGAGCGGAGCGTTAAGACAAACGGGCTTCTTCAGCATAGGCATACAGGAGGGAGCCGCAAATGTTCCAGAGCCAAAGAATAAACCAAAGGTGGGAGCGAAAAGTGAAACAGCGAGCAAAGAGAGCGTAAATAAGTCCGGAAAGGCATTAAAAAGAAAAGCAGACGAGATGAACGAAAAGCCGTCCGATCTAACAGATGAGACCACACAGCAAGTACAAGGAAAAGAGCGAACATCAGGGAAGGAAGAGGAGCCTGGAGCCGTAGATAAAAAGGAGTCGAAAATATTCTATACACCTATAAGCGTGAGTGATACGTACTTGATACTACAGAACGAAAGCACCACAAAATCATCAGAAACAGGAAAAGCTATTGATGGGAAAGACTCGCGAGTTGAGAGCCTGGAGAGGTCTAATACGAAAAAGGAGATCGAAAAATCAGTTGATCAGGAAAGCATAGCAGGAAAATCATCAAAAGGAACGAGTGTTGGGGAGAAATCTGCTAAATCGCTCATTAAAGAGAAACTGCCGCAAGAAAGTCCAAAGGAAGAGACAGATAGAAGTATAAAAAGTGTGGATATGCAGAGTGCAATGGGAAATACAGTTAGTGAGCTTAATGACAATTTAAAGGTCATGATGCCAAGTGAGTTTGTGCAGCTCGAAGAGGGCGAGATATCTGATCGGGATCACATGCGGCCAGAACATAAAACAAGTTCTACACAGGCTGTGGATGGTAAATCGGAGAAATCGAGCGTAAGTTCGGTGGAAAAGGGAAGCAAACCAGGTGAAAAGACATTTTACACCGACATGCTGAGCACGATCAGCCAATTATGGAGTAAAAAATCGGTCAACAAGAAGTCACCACGTGATAGGAGCGAATTAAGCTCGAGCCAAGCCCGAAAGATGGACAAAACACCGGCTGAAGCAGGAAAAGAAAAGCCTACCGGTACAAGTATGGAATCACGATCTTCAATGGATAAACTGGAGAGTTCTGGTCGAGATAAGGAAAAAATAAGTAGCAAAATTAGTTCTGTGACTCCATCAATTTCTATCAGAGAGGTGAAACAATCGTCCATGGTAAAAAGTACTACTCCAAAAAACGAAGAAACGTCTGAAGAACAAACTAAACCCAGGACCGAAACCGAAAAAGGCAGTAAAAATGGTAAATCGACTGTGTCATTTGCTGGTGAGAAAATGGTCGAGAGTAAACCGATCGATAGGTCAAACGTTGATAGAACAGAAGGAACAGGCTATGCAGCGGATGTGGAGAATGAGCTGTCCATGCCCGTAAAGGATGGAGTATCAGAGGAACGAAAAACAGAAAGCTCTGATAAGTCGGTTAGTGCGCGGTCAACGGGCAAGAACACCGTGGAAAGGAGTATAACGGTATCGTCTCGGGAAAATGCGCAAAAGCCATCGCAGAAGGTAGTTGGAAAGGGAAACTCACACAATTTAGTCGATGACATGCGTAAATTGGTGGAAGAGGAGGAAAGTCTTAAAGTAAAGAAAAAATCACCGAATAACACTATAAAATCGGACAGCAGCTTCACAACGCAGACGAGAACAACAACCGACAGATCATCTGAAAAATCCTCTAAAATTTACCAGATGAGCGATGCAGAGCTCAAAGAAGCAATCGGAGACACAGAAAAATTGCAATCCTTAGAAAAGAAGCTGAATGCCACCAACAGTACGCTGAACAGACATGTCTCATCCATACAGGATGCTGTAGGAGCACATGATGATTTTATCACCGCACAAGAGGTGGTTCTAGGCGATGAAACATTGAAACAAATGGAGAATAAAAGTAGAGAAGAGGAAGAACAGAGCAAAGCAGAGAAAAAAGTTCAAAAAACAGTGGAGGGTTCAGGTGTGACGGGCTCATCGAAGCCGACACTTGGAAAATCAATGATTGATTCGTTGCAGGTTCGTAAGCGCTCAAGATCAGAACTGGACAAGGAAGATGAAAAAGCAGCAGAAACAGTGCCAACAGAGACAATAACTGTAAGAACACCCACTGAGGAAGTGTTTAACGATTCAGATATAATAGACAACGTGCCAACAGAGAAAAAATCGTTTATTGACGTTTTGAAAAGTAAAATTGACTCGAATAGGTCGGTAAGGGATATTGGCGACCATACAGAAAGTGAACAAAGCATTGGAGTAAGCTATTTTGATGACGATAAAAGGAAAAGTAGCCTTGGAAAGAGTAATGAGATATCGGAGCGGATGTTTGGTTCAAAGGTATCAGCAGATGCTAAAACAATTGAGAACATAGGGGATTACAACGATGCTGAGCAGCAAGTAGCCGAAGAAAGCAGAGAAGGGATGAAGTCGGATGGCAAAACAATTGAGAACATAGGGGACTACAACGATACTGAGCAGCAAGTAGCCGAAGAAAGCAGAGAAGGGATGAAGTCGGATGGTAAGACAATTGAGAACATAGGGGATTACAACGATACTGAGCAGCAAGTAGCCGAAGAAAGCAGAGAAGGGATGAAGTCGGATGGTAAGACAATTGAGAACATAGGGGATTACAACGATACTGAGCAGCAAGTAGCCGAAGAAAGCAGAGAAGGGATGAAGTCGGATGGCAAAACAATTGAGAACATAGGGGATTACAACGATGCTGAGCAGCAAGTAGCCGAAAAAAGCAGAGAAGGGATGAAGTCAGATGAGAATATGGCACGTGATGAAAGAAAAAATATGGAACGCAGTGCAGGTCCAGTCTCTGAATCGTCGTCTCCAGCAGGAAAGACAACAACTTCATCAGAGATCAGAACAAAGAGCAGGAATATGTCGACCATAACCAATTATGGAAGTGGTGTGAAGAGCGAAAGCTCGACTAGTAGGTTGAAAGACTCGGTGATTAAAGAAGTTAAGAATCTAAGCAGCATTAAAGAAAGCTCTAGCCGGAGCACAAGCCCTACACTGAGCTCTACACCAGTTAAGAGTGCTAAGAAAGAAAAAGGCAGGATCAGCGAGATCAGAAAAACTCTCACAAGTGGTCAAAAAGAGGATAAAAAGGCTTTATTATCAAAAAGTATTTCGAGCAAGGCATCGTCTAGTGTTGAACAAAAGTCTCCTGTTCCAGAAAAGTCTAAACCCAGCAAAGCATCTATTCCAAGTGCAGAAGATAAATCAACGGTCAGAGAACCGCTGAGTTCAGGTGACATAGTCTTTCCCAAAACACCAACAACCAGTAACATCAAAGAGAGAAAAAGTACTTCAGTGAATGTGTCTACAGCCGGTTCTAGCACTATATATAGCAACAGCAATCCTCTGGTCGTAGTGGATACGGATAAAAAGGAACCAAAGGAAGAAGAAAGCTCTGAAAAATTGCCAATGCAACAGAAAAGTGATGAAAAAGGGGCGCAACCGAAGTTAGAGAAAATGACTGATGGATCAGTGGCAAAGGATAAATCACTTAGATCTGTTGGATCTAAAGGTGTGCCGGTAGAATTAATGTACGAAGATGTATCGGCAGCTAGAGAATCTAAAATAAAGGGAGTTGATGGTGTGACCAAGAAAGAGACTGGAGATGAGAAATTGAAAGGGAAAAAAATTGAAGGCGAAGAGAAAAAGAAAAAATTGGTAGATGATAAAAGAAAGGAAGGGGAGCCAGCTGAAGACAAGAGCATGGCAGATAAAGTGCCTTCAGATAGAAGGACGGGTGAAAAACAGCCAAAGGATAAAGAACAAATCGATCTATCCAAAATACAGAAAGGTCGTGGAACCAAATCTGATATGATTGCAAGTTCCTCTTCAAGCACGAGAAAAGAATCTGTAGAGAATCAGCATAAAGCCTTCATTAGCGATAAAGAGGGAATGGAACAAAGTACAAGTAAAGTACCCGTTTCTCAGCTCAAGGAGTCTATTAATCATTCAGTATCATCGAGCACACACGACAAATCTGTGTCAAAGGTTGAACAGTCGGAACAAAAGACCGACGAAAAACAGCAATTAACGCATCATGTGTCATTTTCCGATTATTCATCCTATGAAGTCGAAACAGTCGAAGAGGAACCTGCTGCAGGACGTAGAGATACAGAGGAAGAAAAGGTGAAAAAGAAGAAGGCCAGGAGATCGAAAGGAGAGGAATCTACAGAGATTGGCAAAGAATCGCGAGCAGCCTCTGTGATAATTCCTAGATACAAATTGAAACCGACCCGTAAAAGAAAGGACAAACACAAGGTGAAGGTTTATCTCTTGCACTCACGGATGACTTCGTCCGACAGTCTATCAGACAAATCAGATAAGGTAGATGTCGGTGATGGACGCGTACAACAGCTGGTAAAGTTCTTTGAAAAGATTATAAAGAAGACAGATGAGAAGAAAGAATAGAAATTCTAAGTAAATTTCATATTTTAAGATATTTTTTACCTTAATCAAGTGTTCTCCACGGGACTACGTTATACACACTATCGGGTGGTATGACATATAAGATTTTCTCCTGCCGCAGAAAAGATGCATCTTACACGTAGAATGTACAAATTTATAACAAACGGTTTTGTGGCACAAAGTAACAAAAAATCATGGTTATTAATTTTTATCTCATACCGTTCATTAATACCATCTTTTACAGGCAACAAATTATGGATGTGATTATTGCACGCAATTTGATTTGACATAGTATAGTAAAATGTACTATTCGATTATGATGCAAGAACTGCTTGTATCAGCAAGGATGGATATAAGTGCATGGTTAAAAAGAGTATTTATTTCCATTAAATGATGTTGGATATGAGCCGACAAATGCATTCCAAGAGTAAATCACTTGAACGATCGTTCACACGAGCGATGTTCATAAAGAGAAGTATAAAGCGCAATATTTCAGAGCTTTCTGCTGTATGACTGGATCGTACATTCGCAATCCGTTTTATACAACCATGCAGGCAGCACTAATATTGCCTAAAAGTCAGCAAACACATGTCGATGACAATTATGAACGCTATTTCCATCTATCTCTCAGCTTCAACGCATTTTTAATCTGTGATATACCATGGTACTTTTCAAAATCGGATGCAATACCTAGTTCCACTAGAAAATGCTTGTGTTTATCTCCGTTAAAGTGCCTTTCAAATTCCTTTCTTCCCTTGTAAACACAATTTTTGCAAATCTCACATATGTACTCCACGTTAAGACCACGCTGCTTGTATAACCATCGAGGAATAGGATTGCCTGTCTCATCTCTATATATCCTGGTATTATAAATCTTTTTCTCCTTCTCTATGTTCATAACACTCTCCGTGCCCTGCACGGATACCGCCAACTTAAGTTCCGTTTCAAGAAAAGTAAGTAAAAGTTTCACTTGTGCCTCTAATCTGTTCACATATGTGCTGGTAACACGAACATATTCGCATCTCAGTTTCAAATAAACATTTATACATTTAGTTACCTTGTAATCTCTGTCGTTATCGGTGGCTTCCATATTCTTAAGAAAGGCTATTTTTGCTTTGTTGTGCTTCTTACCGGCTGCATGGTATTCAAACACACTCTTTGCAATATCTACCATGCAGAACATGCAATACACCTTATTTTCGAACGTGTTCCATACTTTATGCTCACTTTCCGCACAACTGAGAAGCCTGCTTATTTTCTTATGACGTATTACCGGTTTGCTCTTGTATACAAAATCTTTCAAGTAGTGCCGTAGATGTAGAAGAGCGAAAAGATGCTCAAACTCATTCTCGATCTCCAAGGCGAAATTTGTCACTTTCTGAAGAACTTCTTCATAGCTAACCGCGTAGTACGCTTCTAAAAAGCGCAGGTCTAGGCATGTTCCGTAGTTCTCTTGTGCCGAGAAAAGAGCTTCTATCCTCGGTAGCAGTCTTCTTCGTAGGGTGCTGCGCACAACACCATCTTCAACACTTTTGAAGTCCTCGTTAAAATGATCTAATACGGTCTCTGGATCTTCGTCACGCTCCTTCAACTCATCAAAATGTTTTTGAATTTTTTCTCTGATCTTTTTGACCTTCCTTTGCCTGTGTCTAAGCAAATACTTGTTGAGCAGTACGATCTTTGGTGAGTTATCTTTACATCTTCTTATCTCGTCAATACTTTGAATTTGGAACTCTAACTTGCGAATGAGGATCAAATATGAAAAAAACGAGCAGTGCATTTGCAAGGGGTGGCAGAAGGTGAATAGTCATGTCATATCTGTTCTAAATAGATCAAATTTTATTTGTGGATCTAAAAAAATGGGTGAATAACAATTGGTAAGGAACGTTCTATACGTTCCGTTGGTGATGAAGGTACAACATTTAGTACTTTTAAAGCTTAAAATATTAGAACAAGCAAACTAAGCCACTGTAACCAATTTACACTTTATTAACAGCTGATGTTACTTCGACTTTGCATTTGAACGGCTACGCCGTATGGTCATAAACTGTGATTTGACTTTCTTTTTACAATTTTTCATAGGTTTAAACGACCATAGACCGATGTTTATTAGTTGACAGTTTACGTACTCCAATCTGCGCTTTATACGCTTCAATAGTTTGTTCTGATCTGAATTGTTACCATGCGGGTTCCTATTTTTGTCTACATTGGCCGTGTTGCCGTCATTATAGTTTTCATCGTAGTTGGCATCATCTGGTAAAATTATTGTGCTGCCGCTTTCAGCAGGATCTACCTTTTTTACCGACTTGATAACGCTGTACTTGACAGGCTGAAATTTGCCGTGTGTTTCCTTTGCATGTGAAACTGCTTTGCCGCTCTGATCATCATTTTTCCCATCTCGATTTACTTCGGATAGTAGTTTTGGTTTTTTTCTTGATGTCCTTCTTCGCGGTAAACGATTATGTGGTGATTTAACAGGTCTATTTTGCTGAATATCATCATCCCACTCGTCATCAAACGGTTTACCACTTATTTTCTTATTCTCATCCTTTTTACCGTTTCTCATACTCTTATCATTCAAATTACTATCTTCTGGTGTATCTACATTATCCCATTTGTTGTTCATATCTTTGTTTTTGAAATCTTCACCATTTTTACCGGCTGAATCATTTGGCCAACTTTTATCCATGTTTTCCTTAGGCTTGCTTTTTCTTCCGGGTGCATCATGATCAGACTCAGCCGGTCTAGCAAGTCTCTTAATGAACTTAGCTACCCTTGGATGCCTTAGAAATGCTAGATTGTCATTAAATGCAGGTTTTTCATTTTCTGCTGCCAAGGAAAAAGGATCGGGTAACGCCCTGTGATGATCTTTTGCAGAATACCATTCTAATATATTGTCACTTGGAAAGAAATACGCCATATTATGTTCAATTTCAGACATTTTTACAAGCTCATTTTTCGTTTTTGCATCATCATATGCCATTTGTTGCTCGTCCATAGTTGCACTAGCACCAATTCCAAAATTTTCGCCAAGACTAATATCTTTGAAATGACCAAAATACTTTTTAGGTGAGCTGAAATGGTTCAAAAACTCGTTCAAATTTCCATAAGATAGCACATTGGTCGACAGTGTATGAAGAACGATGATGTGAATGAGCATAATAATCTTGGCAAGACTTTAAAATATAATAAACGGATTGAAAAACTTTGTGTCCAAAGAAATCAAATTATTGGTTATGTTCACCTGTATTGATCATAATTGTCATATTTGACAGGTCATATTTGGCAGTATACGTTAGTTTAATGATGCATGATGTGTGAGCTATCAGTTTTTCTGCTGATATACTAATTAGCTTGGATTTAGATAAAAAACACTAAGTGAAGGTTTCAGACGCGTCGTCGTTCTTCATGCCTCATGTGTTATACACTCCTTATGATTTGTAAAACTGTTTGCAGTTCAATCGTACACCAACCTGATTTGCTGTAACGCTTTTCATCGATTATAGCACGGATTACAGACAAATAGGGCATTAGCGGTATTATTAGAACAGGCAGCATGATCATAACGGAGAAATTACATTTGGAACACTTGGATAGGGCGCTGCCAGGAATAAAAGGGTATAACAAGCAGACAACGCACCAGAAGGTAAAGATCTTTTTACATATGATAAGAAGGTTTGGTAGTTACTGCATCAGATCGATGCATGGTGAGCACTTAACTGAACTATTATCTTTTGCTTTAAACCTTAGTTATAATGGTGCTGCGAAATTCATATTGATAAATACTAATACGGCAATAAGGAATTATACCAAAAATAGAACGATATGTGTAATAAGAAGTGACGAGGATGTATTTGTTAAACATTGCCGTAATAAACAACAACATTTTTACATCTGTGATGATGACACTCTGCTTGTCAAGTGTTAGGGCTATGAACTTGGCATTTTAGTTATTTTAGCGAGAATAATTTTCCACATTCTTAATTCCACGGTACAAAACAAAAGAATCATCTCTCAAAATGCGTAGTGCAAACAACAAAACATTAGAGCTTGTCATGTTTATGATTTTATGGTGTTATTGGAGTGCTCAACACATCATTAAACACGATTTTCAAGCACCAGTTAATTTGTTGACCCCCTATCGGGATGCGAAACGAGACAAAGCAGCGGTAAAAAACACGGCAAGTACTTTAAAGGAAGAAAAAAAATTTTTATTGATAACCAAATTTTTGTTCTGCCTCATAAACAAAAGCAATGTAGCCTGCGGTCCTATAAAAAGGCATATAGTGGAACAGAAATTTGAGTATCGAATGAGAATATAAGACTAAATTTCATTTCCGTGATCAAATATGCAGAACAAGAAAATGCATCCAAACATGTCCCATACTTTCTATGTACGCGTACTCGTACCCACTTTTATATCTGGGCGGATTCCGCTGTCCAAAAATTAAAAGTTCCAAAAAAATGAAAATTCAAGCCCTACAGGGATGTCGCTACCAAATCAGCTATTGAGTTCCAACATGGATAAAACGGGTTCAGTGCCGTTAAAAAAGAATGACATGACTGTGGCAATCACCCAAACCGAAAGAACGCCTGCCAGGATATACTTTGATTTTCAAGCAACCACACCGGTAGATCCTCGTGTGCTAGACGCGATGCTTCCGTATTTCACGACAAAATACGGAAATCCACACTCAAGGACACATTTTTTTGGCTGGGAATCTGAGAAGGCTGTTGAGATGGCGCGCAAGCAGGTTGCTGATCTGATAGGTGCACACGAGAAAGAAATAATTTTTACCAGCGGTGCCACCGAGAGCAATAACCTGGCAATCAAAGGAGTCGTTGACTGGAAAGCACAGGAGGGCAGCCCCGTACACATAATTACAACACAAATTGAGCACAAATGTGTGTTAGACTCGATGAGATTTTTGGAAGAGAAAGGTGCGCGAGTGACATATCTGAAGATTGACAAGAACGGAGTAATTGATCTGGAAGAGCTGAGGCGCAGCATTGCGGATGATACTGTGTTGGTTTCCATCATGGGCGTTAATAACGAGATAGGCACGGTGCAACCGCTTGAGGAGATTGGGAAGATCTGTAGAGACAAAAAAGTTTTGTTCCACTGCGATGCAGCACAAACATTTGGGAAACTGGGAATTGATGTCAATAAGATGAACATTGATTTGCTAAGTATCTCTGGACATAAGATATATGGACCGAAAGGAGTTGGTGCGCTGTACGTTCGCAGACGGCCACGTGTGAGAATGGTGCCTTTATTTAGTGGTGGCGGGCAAGAGCGTGGCCTTAGGAGTGGCACGGTGCCCACGCCACTTGTTGTTGGGCTTGGTAAGGCAGCTGCCGTGTGTAAGGAAGAAATGCAGAAGGACTTCAGCTGGATTGAGTCACTTTCAAACAAATTATACACGTATGTGAAAGATGTCATCCCCAAAGTCATAAAGAATGGCAGTTTTGAAACGAATCCTCTCCGATGGTTTCCGGGGTGCCTGAACCTCTCGTTTCCTCACGTGGAGGGTGAGGGTCTGCTGATGGCGCTGAAGAATATCGCATTGAGCAGCGGTAGTGCGTGCACTAGCGCGTCACTCGAACCAAGTTATGTTCTGCGGGCACTTGGAAATGATGATGAGCTCGCCCACTCATCGATCCGTTTTGGCATTGGACGGTTTACCACACCGTGTGAGATAAAAGAGGTTGCTAAGCAAACAACAGATGCAGTGAAGAAACTGAGGGATATGTCGCCGTTGTACGAGATGGAACAAGAAGGCATCGACTTAAAGACGATAAAATGGACATAGGGCCGTAACCAGCAAATGTCTTTGTCCGAGTTTTCTCTTGGAGGCCGGAAATGAAATGGTCAATTTTCAGTCGAGTGTTATTTTTGCTTGTCTGAGTGCTGCGGATTTCCTATCCCGAACGAGAAGGATATGAGTCGTGTTGGCTGCCAGCGCACAGGAGTAGGTATGCACACGTTCTATAACACGGATGGTGTAAAACCGGAGTACTAAGTAAATTTATTACCCATTTGTTCGTCTTGACATGTTCAACCGCGTATGATGAGCGAATACGTAAAGTACGAGATTCGTCTCATATTGGTTCGTTAAACACGTTTGTTTATTTGCACACCCTCCTTACCATGCACACACCTTTGCTGTCACGTTATGAACACTTACCGTGCGATTGATGAATGCGCAGTAAAATGGAAGTGCAATACGAAATTTGCTGAATAAAACGTACAGTTTCATCTTGCATTTCATGTGGTAGGAATATGCTCGTTGTGTAAACAAGAAAGGTCTTAAACGTCAACTTTTCCGGTTTTTATAAAAATTTTATAAATCACATCAAATGCGTCCAAAATTTCAGCTCCTTGTTGTGTTCCTGGTGTGTGTGCTCACCACCGCACATTATAACAGATTGGAATATGAGGAATGCGTTCCATTCGGTAGTGCCTGTGGAGATTATGGACTAGCGCACTTTTACTCGCTCTTTCATTTCAACGGTCAGTACATGGGTGATGAACGGATGAGAATTCCATTTTCCATAGCACTGAATGCACCAATACTGGGAGCGATATGATTCTCAAACTAATTAAAATTAATGCCACTCAATACCACTGCTCTGCATCGTCATGCACAATTTTAGGGATAAAATTAGTAACACGAGCGTATCGTAGGTTCAAAATACCAGGTGTATCAAAAATATTTAATTATCACATTCGTTGCGCTGAATAAGCGACGTTCTCGCGGGACAAGAAATCATTTTCATCTCTTTAGTAGCATATGCACAGCAAATTTGTGAGTGCTTTTTTTTAGTCCACAAATATTCGATTTTGAGTGACAAGAACACTCTTTGAGCCTGGATATTGACTAAACCTCACGCATCATCCTCCTGATAATTTCCTTTCACTCTCAAGAAAAATTCTTTTCCCGAGATTCCGGTCTCTAAAACAGGCGCCGGCTTGTTAGAATTAACCCATTCATAAAATTCCTCTTCAGTGACCCGCATATCGGTTTTATCAACAACTTCGTACGATGTTTCCACAGAATAACCGATATCTTTAGTATTTTGCTCTCTGGAGCGCTCGTGGTATTGGAGGAAGTCCATTACCAGTGGATATATCATGGGCTTACCAGTGTGAATGCTTGAACGCTCATTTAAGTAGTTAATGACCTGTTCAGACGATTTACCATTCTCATACTCAACATCTAAAACTGGTGATACATCCGGATACCCGCTGTCAAACACAAACCGCAGCATTCCAAATACTGTTGTAACTCGTAACGCGTTCTCATCCACGGATAAATTCGCTCTAAATATTATTTTTAAGATATCAATTTCTTCCTTTCTTACGTCTCTCATCGGGGCTCGCCAATTGCAAATTAATTTGGAGAGATAGGTTATACAGCCGTTTCAGTTCTTGCTATGCGTAGAGCTTTCCATAAACAAGAATTGGATGAGCGTTCACCCGTTCCATAACTCTCATTAACGTACCTTGTACTCTTTAGTGGAGCGTAAATTTTCCGGAGTACATATTGCACATGCAATACGCACCAAATACGATAAACTCAAATAAAAAATTACGTTAATGGTACCAGAAATCGAGCACTGTGTTATTATTGGCATGCACTAGGCAGGGAATGGAACAAGGACAAGAACTGTGTTAGTTGATTGGTCAGTAATGAAAGAAGTGATAATAACAGATTAACTCTGCGATGGTGTCTTTGAAGTACCTATCGTAATCAAATGTAGCTCATGTTTCAAAACATGTTTAGTCAGCTGTTTCATGTATTGGCAGCTTAGTATGCTTGGTATCGCAACAGGTGCTGCGCACGATTTTAGTCCTGTAGTCTGCAACATGAACAATTTGTAGTAGAACATAATAGGAAAATATGCTCAATTATCTACGATTGTTAGCACATAGAGCGTAATGTACAGCAGTATTGTGTACAAAAGGCTTGTTTGGTTCGCCAAGATATTAAAAATGCTGTTAATATTTACATGACTTGATGATTGTGACGGGTGGTATTGAATATACAGGCATTGCTGTGATTTATATCCTCTGATAAAGGAAAATCGGAAAGGTGTGCTAATAATGACCTGCCCGATTATCATTACCTAGCATTAACATGACAGGTAATGGCTCGGAATTATATTTCGTGCACGAGCCTTGGAAATATCACAACAATCGATACACAGTAAAACACAGCAAAAATTCGCAAACAACTTTATTCAGTGTGGGATTCCCCTAAAAACGATCGTTCTTATTATGATGTGAGTATGGACTGTAAGCACTGAACTCTCCTGCCATGACCGCACAGCGGTCCAAATGATGGCCAAAATATGCTTTGTGGGCAATGTTATCCATAAAACCATACAAGTTGCTTGACATAAGGCTATTGGGAATGCTTGTCGCATCTCTTATAAGACAAGAAATGCTATTTAAAATGGCTATAAGTAATATTTTGGACATGGTAGCGCTCCTTAGATTTAACTATTTTTTAAACTTTTAAGTGTGATTGCTAACAATACTGTAACGTTAAAGATTTAATGATAGTGTTAATGAGTATCAATCGTGATTGGCATTTGCTTATGAATGACAGCCGTAATTGGTTGTATTTGAAATTAGGTATGTGCACCAATTAGGATGCTCACAACAATTGGTTGTTTTAGACGTAGAAATTGAGGCGAATCGCATTTTATTGCTCAATTGGTCTATTTTGTAACGTATTAGTGATGTGGAAGTGGTTGGTAGTTGAAACTGTCACCTATAGGTTCGGTGCTAAACCCTAAAATGTGATAATGCTGCGGCCTTACGCAACAAATATCGAATAAACAATATAATTATGATATAGCGAGGCTAAAAAGAATTTTTGTGGCTGTAATAATTACAAATACGTGTAAATCCTTTGAAACACATCCACGAGGTTTGAACCTGCTTTAAATCTATTTTTGAAACATAAAAAAGAGCAAAATTATCAAATGATAAATCACTGGGCCTGCAGCAAAGATATTGACTCATCCATAACAAAGCATTTAATCAGAATAGCAGCTATGTAATGGTACAGTATTCAAAACAGTACTAGCGAAGGTTTTGTGTGTATAGCAGCGAAATACGTGTAATTCTAATGAGGTAAATAGGTTTTTAACTGTTGAAATTGGTGCAAATAGTATAATATAGCAGATAATGTTTGCTCAACACTTCTCAAGTAAAACGTATTTTGATAATACGGGTCTGTAAAGTGTTCATGCTATTTATATGCGCTAGTGACCGTGTGATGCGCGGCACAGAAATTATCGTTGATTAATAAGCACTTATTTGTAATGAATTGATAATAGCGATCAAATTTTGGTCTATATTCATCCACATCAAAGTCACCAGCTGCCATCTTATTTAGATGTTGTTGTAATCGAGCACAAAGCTTAATGCAGGTACAACAGTGCCTTTTGAAGTGGTCGTACCAATTGTAAGTGCATTTATGTTATTTTCTGAGTTTTAGCACATTGAGTAACTCGATGAGTACTGATTCAGATCGATGAGTCTGTCTTTTTAATTATGCCTAAGGAGGTGAATTTGAGAAGAAATGTGCAAATTCACGATGTTCTGTTATATAGCGATGTAAATAGTTTAAAATGTTTATTCAGTCCTTTTATCCAACATACCATGTTCGTTCGCATTTACTTACCTGCAATGACTGTTTTAGCACAAATGTATGTTTATAGTGATGTTGTAGATGATGATTTGATTCTTTGTGGTCGAGGATAAAGTATTATACGCGGTAAAATTCCTATTTATGATTTTTGTCGTAAGACCGATGCTCGTCTTATAATAAGTAAGTTCATACAAGGAAAGCTGGGACAACCTACTCGTATCTTACTGCGCATACGCAAGTTATTCAACCTGTCCGAAGTGGATTGACCTTAGCGGAATCTTTCAGAGGTTAAAGAAAGCACGAATGCGGTAGTTGCAGACAACAGCTGGATTGATATTTATTTGGGTAAGATCTAAGTGGTTTGGGCAGGTATGACAGGTAATTTACCGTAATGCCTGTGCTAGAGTATTGTTAACAGACTGCAGTTGCACCTATCATTCACCAGAACGTAGTTGGAGCGTAAATCTCGCCAAATCCTTTTATTTGCATCCCGACATGGGCATCTTTCAGTTCAAAAATTTTCATCCAATTTTTTACCTTTTAACAGATGCGAGAATAATTCCTTCCCCACCTATGAAACGAGACACAAGACCCATTATCAACAGAGCATCAATTTACAAGCCTTTGATCGCATTCACTAGGAGACTATCGAACTATTCGTTCTTGTGCTGTGATACATTTTCGGAATGCATCATATCAGCACTTGGAGATGATGCAGGCCATCTGTTTTTGATAGATACGGACACAGAAGAGCGTAAATTTCTCAATACAGAGATTGGCGTGAGCTCATCTGCCATTTTTGACCTATGCTGGTTAAACAGCTCATTGATAGGCATAGCAAGCGGGGACTCAAACCTGTACCTTTTCGATGTATTTAAAGGACAGCTTACGCAGTGTAAGGGACATACAAAGTCAATACGATGTATAATACAAGCAATCAACCGTGTATATACGGGTGGTAGTGATGGAAAAATGTTTTGCTGGGATGTGAGAAGCAAAAATCCGGTGGTAGAGCTGAGTTTTTCTCCAAAAAGTCATAAAGTGGTGAGTGCTATCGCGCTGAACGGACAGGAAGAATACACGGTCTATGCGACTGCGACACCAGGTACGATCCTGAACACGTGGGATCTCAGGTACACGAAACGGGGAATGTATGTCTCCGAACAGGTTGGAATTGCAAGTGCGATTACTAATAGTGTGTATCACAGGGATCGTTACATCTATCTGCTACTTTCTAATTCCGGCATCCTGAGATTGACAGAAACGGGCGTATTCATGAATTACATACAACCTGGCAGTTCATACGGTGTAGCGCACGGAAAGATTGACTATAACGGTCACATGGACCTCATGTTTGCCGGCTTTGCGAACAAGGTGGCTGTGTATGACACGAATTATCCAGAGATTACGCACACGTACGAAATAGAATCGATCAATGGGCTGGATTGTATAGGAAGGAACACTTTCTTAACGTACGACGAGTACGGAAGAATAGCAATCTACGAATTGGTATGCAACGAAACATGCGCACAAACGGTATAAAGAAACTATGAGTCTGCAGGAAAGCACACTTTTTGCACAAAACAGCAAACTTATGGATGGACATTAACAAGGACAGCAGCCCTGCCAATACAACAAAATGATAAAAAGGCTTTACTTTTCTGGTTTAGGCAGCCTCAGCCGGTATTAAATCGGCTTCACCGTCATCAATGATAGAAAGAACACCAACCCTGTAGAACTTGTCACACGATCGCGCAAGATCATTGTTAGTGCCATTAAAGAAATAAAGCGGAACGTTGTTGTTCAGATAGGCGTAATACTCGAGCATTTTACGTTTGAGCGGCGGGAAATTTCCTGAAACAACGATCATCTTGCATCTCTGGTTCATCAGTGATTTGATACACTCTTTAAAGCCAAACAAAACATCACCGGTCTGTATTGCAAGGGGCAGCTTGTCCTCGAATGCGGTTTCCTTTGTGTTCTTCTTTGCCATTCTCAGGGTGTAAAAATTTTGAAATTTATTGCTCATAGAATTCAAGGAATTTTGAAATCGGTTTTGTGCACTTTTGCACACGGTATTTAGAGGAATAACTCGTTAGAATTAGGTCCTTGTACAAGAATGAATGGGTGCTTCATTGTTGTTGCCTGGTGCTGTGTAAAATATTCTTTGGGCACCGTTACGATAGCGGGTTGCTGCGCTTGTAAGCTGTGGTAACTAAGCGTAACAATTTTTAATACCTGTACTTGTGGCTTACGTTCATATAGAATGTGAATTTTGCAGCGAATGATGTCTAAGAAGTACCTTATAAATTATTAAATACGCTGTTTGCTTCTGTTATTTCTTACGTATGGCTGAAGAACCAGAAAATTTTCTAACATAGACAATTAAATCGTTGCTCCGTATTACTACGCTCATTTTGAATGCTTTCGCATATTTTTGGCGAGACATTTTTGTATCATATCGTAGAAAATGAGTGGTTTGGTGCAGAAGCCTGCAGCGGGCCGAATTTGTAAAATATAATAAGAGAATTTGTTATGGAATAAAGATATTTAAAAATATTGATAGCATTATGTTTTGGCCATGCTGTATCTCCATCCTGGCCCATGATCAGTAAGAATATTATTCTTGCCAGGTGAAGGAACATACGAGAAAGAGAGGAACAAGAACGATCAAGGAGTTAATTAAAGACACAGTTGTAACACGTAATTTATAACTTTTAAATCGACAGACGAAATAACTGTACCGGACTGGGAAGAACAATAAGTTAAAATATCAGAGAACATGTTTTATGGTAGAAAGATACAAAATATAATTGAAAACGTAATAAAATAAAGACTTTTCTTTTACGAGGGTCTCTGTCACTGGATAAAAGCCGATCATCAGATATAATAGAAATCAAGGGCGCTGAACACACCGATCTGAGAAAATGCCCATAAAGACAAATGTATCTGAGAAAATTCCCATAAAGACAAATGTCTACCCGAAACAACTCTTTTGTACCAACGCTGAATGAGCCATCTATCCCAGTACATCATTTAAGGCGACATTTTCACAAAAGATGACTGCTTATAATTTACATTTAATCACAACCTGCTGTAAACCACTGAATATTAGAATAAATCATTGAGGTTGTTCTGTTGCAGCAGTTGCTCAAAAATATTCAATGTTTCTGAGTTCTGGTTGTAACTTTTAGTAACATGGCCCAGCTCTAAATTTGAATACACGTGGACAATATTCTCTACGCCGGCCGTGAAAATGAGCGGCATCCTGCGGTGCATAACTACGCTATTGATCATACCCCTGGCATTCAGGAGCTTTCCGTACGTTTGTATCACATCAAATGGCTTTTTGGCATCTTTGAACTGGATCCCTGCATACGAAGAGTTGGAAAAGAAGTCGACCGTGTCAGAAATCGCTTCGTTGAACGGCTGTGCCAAAAACACATCTCTTTCCAGGTTCAGATTTGTCGTTGGCTGACTTGTAAACCGTCCCTGCTGTGTAAAAATGCTTCTGTTTCTTTGTTCCGTGCTCTTTCTTTGCTCGAGCCCTGTGTAAAATGTGTCAGGCAGATGCCAAAAGAACCCCAATTTCTTGTCGCTCCCTGCAAGGACCATTTTGTCGTATGGCCCGCCAAAATTGAAATTCTTCATTGTCCAGATATGTCTCAGCTCACGTGCGTAAAAAATAACCTGAGGATCGGCATCAGACGTTCGGTACAGGGTAGGAAAAAAGAATAGAGGAGAGGCAAGGATTAGCTCACCGTTATAATTAAATGTGGCATTAGACATTGGCAGCTCAAACCTAATGGTTTCGCTCCCAGAGAAACCAAATTCCTCAAAAAGAGTGACCGCGTCAGATGCTCGTTGCTGAAAAAAAGAGGGGTAGTATCGCAGTGCGGTGTTATATTTCAGATACGGCCTGTCAAGTTTACGCTCGTCTAGTAAATCCAGCTTTCCCTTCATACTTGCGACCAGTATCTTCTGCTCAATAGGGTGGTAATTCACCGTTGAAAGCTGCTGGCGGCACGCTAACTCGTTATACGGCGCACGCATCCGTAGATCAAAGAGCTCGAGCGACTGTGTGCTCGCCACGGCGAATAAATTGTCATCGTCCTTCTTCACATCAATCTTGTACGCCTGTTCGGACGCATTTCCTCCTCGATAAAATGGTCGATTCGACTTGTTAAGATCGTACACAAACGAAAATCCATCCAAGCCGCACGAGTACACATGGCTGTCCTGCTTTCCAAATTTTATAGAAAACACGTTGTTCTCGTGGCCGTGGAGAACTACGGGCTGGCGATCGAAGTTCTTTGAAAAGAGATCGTGCAGTATTATGCGTTTATCATCGGAGCCGGTGGCCAAATACCTGCCAATGTTCCTGCTTAGTGCAAGTGCGTTCACGCAACCCGTGTGGCCGGTCAATGCTTGTACGTATTTGAAGTCATTTGTCCTGCTACATGACATGGGGTATCCCTTTTTTCGCCAAATATCAAGTTCAGACGTGATAAGCTTTTGTTTTTTCTCCTAGCGGCATACCAAACATTTGTTAACCCGGAGGGATTGGGTACGGATCAAATCAACCGGTCCTTAGAACACCACCACCCATCAAATTTGTTCGAAAAAACATGCTAAGCAAACTTTAACAAACAGGAAGCTTAGAAGCACATGAATGACAGAGCAAGGCGATGATTTATCGTTTGCGCATAGCAAAATACTACGAATAAATGCTGGACAATGTGTCCAGAATCGAGATATTAGCATTTAAGATTAGCGCTACGATGGTATTTGCCGGTAAATCTCGCGGAAAAGGTTTCACATTTTTTATTTCTATCACTGCTTGATAAAACACTTCATGTGTGCTTTATTCATTGGATGATGTAGAGTGATAAAAATGAAGCACTCATTGCACATTAAATGCTGAATTTTGAGAATTTTATTTATTTTAGAATTGTGTTCTCGACCAGATCATGATTTATCAATTGGTACTGTCAAGTGTCAATGTATGTTTTAGCAAAAATAAAATACTAAAACAAAAAATAGAAGGAAACTGTGATAAGTTATTAGAGTGATGGAGTGCATATAAAACTATAGTACGTAGTTATATTAATAAGTATTAGTGAGGCGTGCTTTGAGAGCTTACTTTTGATCTGTTTGTTCAAAATGGTAAATTAATACTTCACGGCATGCCGACCACCTGTTATTTATGGTAAGTGATAATTAGCGCTTTGTAGAATTGAAATTTTAATATGGAAATGAGCCGAAAACACGATATGTTTTTTAAGGCAACTCTCTCATCACAATCGAATACTGATTAATTTTATTGTGCTTCGTGATCACTCAGCCACCTAGCTGCTCGGTTACGATTTAATGGATTCATGGTTCCTGGTCCACCGCTGATCGAAGAAAGTGCATTGGAAGCTCCTGAGAACCGCTGAATGGTTTTTTAAGCATATTATTTTTATTTTCCTTTAAGCAACGTAAGGCGCAATTACTGAGCCTTTTTCTCACCGTAGGAACAGGGTCCTGGATGAAGTAGGTCTGTAAAAAGTCTGGTAACCTAGTGGAGGCACTTGCCTCTTCGTTCGCTGGGTCCTGAATGCATTTCTTCTTGGCAAAAAGATATGTAAAACCTGGGGGTCTATCAGGTCATCGCACTAACAGATGTTGTGTTCAAAGAATATGGACGTTAACACGTTGATAGCGTGTAGAAAGCGGTAACTCTTATCATCGCAAGATGGTATATGAAATGATATTTAGTGTATTTCTAGTTGTTAGTGCATTCTGATCTCTGGGATAGAAATATACGCCATTCCAAACCTGAAACTCTACGGCTGCGGTAGGAGATTGTATGCCAGAACTGACATGTTCTGGGGTAAAAGCGTGCCAATATCAGTTTTGAAAAAGTCTGATCATAGACCTTCCATATACCTACGAATACCGAACATGTAGCATACATGGTGCAGTAGCATCCTTTATAGCTTATTCGGCGCATGTGCACATGAATTATACAAAAGTATCGGATTTGTTAGCCATCCAGGATACATGCTTTCGTTTTTAGCCATAAGCGCTTCAACATCAAAATTAAACGTATTTTGGTGAAGTAAATTTACAAAAATGTGTAGAGCGCAATTGAGTATGAGGCTCAGTAACAACCAAGAATTTTTTACCAGCGGATGACTTGAAATACCAGCACCACTAATGACGTAAACCATGTATGACGTTCGAGGTGTTTTGTAGATAGCCAAACCAATAATTTAGCAAAGCAATCATTCAACAAATGCAATTCGAGCTGTTATGTGTGTCTGGTAATGTATCGGTGATCAAAATTATGATGTAAAGCTAATGTTATTATCTAAGCATATATACTAGCACAAACAATCATTAATATTGGCAATTTATACTATATTCAGGTTTATTACCTGTTTGTGTGCTTTTCGCCTCAAATTTTGCGCGTTGTACGACCATGCGTATGGGATGCATAGTGTTTTACTCCGTAACACAAGGATGAAAAAACAAATTAATTATCTCTAAGTTTATAAAAACTGCTTTGCAATACACGTGTAATTCCGTATATGCGATTTTGGTCTCTTTCTGCGAGTTTAAACGAAATCGTTCAAGGGATGCGTACCGTATACGTAATAATCTATAGATGGAATCGGTATCGTGTTTGCTGCTATTCTTTGCATATTAAAACCAATTTACTATTTCCAAGACTGGCTACTACGGTGTGATGGCCTAATTGAACAATCTGATCGTGTATCCGTATTTTTGTCTTGGTTTCCCTAAAAACACAGTAAGTAAACAGCTAGAGGCACCAGTTCGGTTTAAAATTCTGTACAAATTTACTCAAAAATTTGCAAATTGTATGACCAAGATATCTAGCACGATACTAGATCTGCTTATGATCATAAATTGCCAACAAAGAGCATGCACAAGCGCTGTAAGTGGAAGATATTTGTTCTTAAACAAATGTTATTGTTGTGATGAGTGATTTTTTGTGTAAAGTCTTCTTTAAAATATCGGATGTATTGGTATAACACAAATTTTGTTCTATCTATTAGTCGGTCCAGATCAGAGATAGCCACAAATGTTGATACGTTAAATTTTAACGAAATGTGGCAAATCTGTTGGCGATCGTATGATAATCCGGGTGGATGATAGATGTTGTTGTTTACCTAATAATGAAATTATACAAAGAATTTTTTACCTTCTATTCATCATTACGTGTAGATACTCGCATGTTATTTCCACGACATAGTTTTGATTGGCTTCTTGAAGTATTTGAGATAATTTATTTGGAACCATAACTAAAATTCACTGTTGGTTAATACAACATGAAGGTAAGTACAGCCACAGTAAAGTAAGTACATTGTTACTTGTTTAAGACGGGATGAAAGTGTTTTCTCATGCATTCGAACCATCACTGGCGTAAATTATTGGTAAACTTTATTAGCTGATAAACAAAACGGTGAAATAGCAGAGGATAAAAGAGATTATCGCAGTGGCTTCCTCATGAAAAATAAGGATGTCTCGTTCGTTCTCTAATTTTGTCAAAGTTCAATAGCACAGTGAATTGTGATCCAAGCCATTCATGAAATTGTTATTCAAACTATTTTGAATTTACTAGGATGAGAAGCGTTTCCATGGTAAGTCTGTGTCTTTGACCCATCGTTAGTAATTAAATTCATTACCACAACACGTATCACTTTAGAAAATTGTTCGATCGAATGCAGCCTGTGTCTTGAAAGCTGAATTAAAATTTAAGGATCAGGTTGCAAAGTGATTTGTTCAAGCGCGTTTTCTTGAAACATTCGTGGCAGCAGATTGGTCCACACGTCTTGGTAAATTAAATTGAAACAAACCAAACCAATCAAAATGCTGTACCAGAGAATCTATCCGGCAACTAGGAAAGCCAATAATTGTGTTAACAACTATTGTCTTGTAAGAGTAAATGTTTAACACCAGTGCGATAAATTGTAAATTCTGTACACCTAGCTCCTTGCACATAACTCGGCACAACATATTTGTGTGACAAATCATGTGTAGTTATAATGATTTAATTGCACCAATTGTCATATTTCTTTTCATCTTTCTGTCTATCTGTCTGGTTATAGTTCATTTAAATATGTGTCAATCGAATAATTTATATAAATTAAACTTAATTAATAATTCAGAGCTTTGTGCCACCAAAATGGTTCGAAATAATTTAATTCTTGTCGTTGTTTGGTGCATCTGCTCTTATACTTTTGCATGGCATTGAATGCCTGACACTAGGTAAATACGTTAAAAAGCTTACTTTGCTCACCTGATTTATATAGTACCTCACATTGTACGAATAGATAATTTAAGTCCGGAACTATCATCCTTGGGTAATCCCCATCTATAAAGAGAATTTATTAACATTGCCAACCGACTTATTGCGCAACAGAATCTGCTGCAGATGATTAAACAGTCATCAACATTATTTATTTATTAATAATACTGTTCTATATATGTGTCATGGTTAATTACATAACATTAAGTGTATACATGCACCAAATTGGAAGAGTTTAAGTCTTATACATGGTATCATACACTCCATCACGGCTCATACTCCTTGAATCGCTTTCTTCTCGACATCGTGCAGTGGTTCCGGTAGTGCTGCAGCATGTTGTCCTTCCGCGAAAAACTTTTCTTGCAGTCGGGATTCAGGCATTTGTACGGTTTTTTTCCTGTATGCACGATATAATGCCTTTTGACTCGGCTAAGGGATGGAAAATTTTTCCCGCAGTTCTTCTTCGGGCAGTAATACATTTTATTATCGTTTTCGTATCTAACTTTGAATATATCATCCGGAATCTGATATCCATCATATAAATAGTCAATTTCATCGTGCCCTGCATCTTCACTCTCCCTATGACTCATCCTTGCCATCCTTATTGCGTGTTCCCGCTCCCTTCTAAATTGTTCTATCCGCTCTATCTCGGCCATTTTTCGCGATTCAATCTCTGCTTGTTCGAATAAATAATCCAGTGCAGTCTTGTCTCTTGCCATCTTCTCGTCCTCAGCGTTATCTCTACCGTGCAAATTAACCTTGATCCTGCGATGCGACGTTTCCGTGCTGTTATGTTGTGATTTAGGTTTTCTAATATCAAAATTTTCCGATACTTCCGAGGAGTCGCTTAATTCCGTAGGTTTTTTCCTCATTCTTTCCCTGTTATTTGATTTTTCTCTTATATATTTATTATTCTCCTTTTTAATATTATTAAGGAGTGACATATCCTTTTCCTTTTGTAGTCCCCTTAACGATGCCATTGCGATTAAATCCAAGTGTTCCAGAGCGCTTTCGCCGTTTGTCCCGAACAAACTTATGCACATGTTCTCGCGAACTGCCCCAAAATTTACCCTCTCTGAGGGTAGAATAGAGCCAACCGGCGATCCGACAACATATTCGTCCTTTTCCTTTGTGGTTTTTTCCCATTTCATATTATTTACACGAAATTTCAAGTTGTGGAGATTGAAGCGGAATTAAATAAATAGATCATATTAATAAATTATTAATTGCAAAAATAAAAGAGGCAGAAATTGATCACAGATGACCATTTTAATAGATGGGAGCATTAACAAAATGCGATTTTTAGATGTTCAAGAAAATACGTCGATAATTATTCGTTAATTGCACTTTTTATTTAATCTGAAACTACCAAAAACAAAAAATATTTAATTTAGATTTACCATTTATGGTCAAAATCATTTTTCACATAAATGTCAAAATGTCTGATATAAGACACTGTTATCGCAAAATTAATAGACAATAAATATTTATTAAATGATAAAAAATGTTAATGGCTCTTTATGTAAATATTACATTCATTTGAACAAGAAGAGAAATTTTTAATTACACGTAGAATATTGCTGTCATATGTTGCCAATGCATTGAGCTATCTCGTAAAATATATTGATTCTGGCGAATTGGTACGTATTATGTCAAAATGTCGACAGGTATTCTAACCTGGCGATAAAAACCACCGATATACCGATGATTGGTGGATTAACATGCAATGAAATAGTTTGATGCAAAAATTGTGCATTATATATTTCAAGAATGGTGTCATAAATGGCTGCTAATGGTATCTTGTTATGTCTGAGTACTCCACTTTTAGAACAAGCGAATTCAATCAGTGTATTCGTGATCTCAGTGTCATAATTCCATATTTGGATAATTATTAAAAAACTATTTGATAAATTACTCTTATTTTTATCTCATATTCTTCGATCAGTAGCGCTGTTTTAATATATGTCCGAGTGAGTATGCTATTTTCTTGACTATCTAGTCCTCAATGTGACTTGGCTCTCAGTCAGAGGTCACCCCAAATTCAAGAAAATTTAAATGGTTAATTAATTAAAATGGCTAATCAGCCAAGACACGGATATACCTTTTCAAATAAAACTGTCAAAACGAAAGCAAACGTTGTTGAAACCTAGACTCGGTGCGAACGCATTCTCTTCCGCTGCGAGCTTTTAATTTATCATGGTGGAAAATATGATTGGTGTGATAAAATCATTTACCGGCAATTTAGCAATATTGTTGCGCAAATCTGGTATCAACATGTTTATTCCGTGCTTGGAAGCATTAAGATCTGTTTTCTTTACGTTATGCCACATTACTGCATGTATGCGCGAGATAGTCTCTGTTTTAACTTGTTTAGTGTGGTATGGGGTGAATATGCGCTAATCCTACAGAATTACATTCTGCAAAGGACAATTGACCGCCTAAACAGTTCTAGAAAATAAAACTTTACATCGTGAGAGATGTCTACGATTACAATCCATTCAGTGCATCTCTTCTAGATAGTGTTCAACAATTTGTTTGTTGAGCTTTACTTTTCATTTAACATTTTTAATAAACATCCTACTATATTAAATCGTAAACAGTATCTGAATGACATGCTTTTCGTCTGACGGCTTTATCGACCTGTCAAAGGCAAAACATTGGGTCGCTGGTGTTGTGCTAGTACTGAACTATCAGATGAAAACAGGACGCTTTGAATAAACGATCTGAGTAAATCTGGTATTCATCCCAATAAATGAACTTTCAAAAGAGAAAACATTAAAGATCGTTTAATGAGTTAATAACACTTGATACGAGTAACATTTTATATCATTGATACGCAGTTTTTACGTATAAATCATATTCAGTGCATTCTCTATTTCCTATTTGGCGGGCTACCAGTGAGCAATTGGTAATGTTGGATTAGTTTCTCAAAATGCAGGAAGTCACGTAATTACACATATCAGTGTTAAAATATGACAATCTATCCGACCAGACACTCGAATTTACGTTTCAATGTCCTATTGTTTGGTATAGCTGTTCGTACTCAAAAAATACGGTAAATTTGAATGTTACGTTGTATGTACATATTTGAATGGCTTGGACAGCCTTTATTAATTAAGCAATTTGAGCACAAAACAGAGGGATATTTCGGTATTGGTTGAATAATTGCTACCAGTCTTAGACGGTGGCACCAAACAGCAAGCAACGAATAGTTCATAACGGATGTATACGACATTGTAAACTCAACACAATGACATGTTTATATGATATCTTATTACCGAATAATAACTCCATTGGGAGGTTTATCCCGCTCAAACATACTGAAGCATCAAACATAGGATCACAGATGGTTCCACGAGTCAATTAAAAATATTTATTGCAACAAAGTTGATCTGTCTAAAATGGTAAAATTTAAATTATCAATGATATAATTTAGAATAACACTAATCTTCCAAATCAAGCACATTGTTACTTCAATAACCATGCGTTATAACCACTATAACAATATTTACTCTGTCTCACGGTTGATTAATCGAACTGTTAAATGGCCCGACATATAGCGTAGCAGCTACCGGTGTAGATTATGAATAGTAAATCATTCCACATTATGAAGATGCACGCATTTGAAATGCGACAAAAAAGCTTTGGTAATACCCACCATTGCGATTCTTGATATAATATTTCGTTGAGATAGAAAAGACCATGGTGATCATGTTGGTGGCAACTTTTAATACAACGATTGTGTACTATCAACTCATGGAAACACTCCACCATGATGTAAAACCGAAGAAAGAAATCTATTCCTATTATGCAGCCTCATAAACCACTCAAAATTTTCTTACGTGCATGTTCAACGATAAATTACCATTTTCAGATTTTAAAACATAGTTAAAAGAATTGCTTTGCTTGAAGAAACGCACCTTCCAGCTCAACACCTCAGCAGGTGACACTTACCTAAAATTATCGGCATATTTCTTGCTAACTACATCTAAAAGGACGATAAGTTCATTTATATGAGGTAATTAAAACGAAAAGTACATGTTGTATTTTTCATTACGAGGTTATCCGCGAATCATAGCCACTATTGGTCATGCCAGCTTTTCTTCAAGGGTGTTCGTTATGCTATTCTAAATTTCTGGTCTTGTGGATGGCACGACTACATTTTACTGCCTCAGTGTTAATTCGTGCTTGTCCATTTGTTTCACCAAGGATGAACCGATCTCGTACATTTGTATATTTTTGATTCGCCGAAAGGTCTAAAGAATAAGCCGTGAATTTACACATAAAGCTGGTTCTGATTTTCCATCGCTTATTTGACAATCTCATCTGAGTCGATAATTTCCTGCCAGTTCGTACCTAAGACCATGTCTAATTTTGTGATGAAATAGTTTTATCTTAAATTTCGTATTCATCGATGTCGGAACGCCATGGCGTAATTACACTAAAAAGGAAGGACCTCCCGGGATATTTGTTTAATTTTCGAGCACAATACTCGAAGTTCTTGATGTTTTACCCACTACTACGTAAAACTTCTGCAAAATTATAATAAAAGGTCTTAATGTTTCAGTTGAAGCATAGCACTCTGTGAAATGTGGCATAGAAGAATTTTACTAAAACGTATTTGTAATGAATAAGGATTATACGTCCATAAAAAGTATAAAAGGTATGGCAAGTCCTGCAACATGTTACTTGGATAACATTGCAACAATTTTCATGGGTATGAGGCACCAAAAAGTGTAAGAAAATATACTTTTTACGAATTGATACGCTAAAAAGCATACTAAGGATAAAAAAACTTTTGATTGATTTGACATTTTAATCATTGCAAATAAAACGCAGATATCCCCTCACCACATGCTTACAATGGTAACTATGTTATCTGCATTTTGTGCGTTTTTTCAAGCTTTCTGTATTAATCCTAATGAGAGTGGTGAGACATGGAATATCAGTAGCGTATGCATCGGTTCAAATGTTGCCGTAGTCGATGATGCGCGTAACGATGAAGTGAATTGTGAGAGTCTGGATGTTTTATTGGTAAGGTTCATTTCAGGTGAACATGGCGCTAGTGAAGGTGCATATTGCGAGTTTCAAGAAAGGAATGGGATATTATGCCAGGACGAAAACGGAAACTATTTCTTGGTGAAGAGCTGGGGCAATGTAAGGGATGTTGTTGCTCTAATTAATGGAGAAGATGTTAATTATTATCGTAGTAGATTTTATTCGTTTTATCGCGAGAACAAAAATGAGTTACAGGACTCAGCGGATGCAGACCAACAAAAGGACAGCGAGCAGTTCGCCAACAGAATGGAGGGTTGCTTATCAACGGCACAACCAGAGTGTTTTGGTCAAACCAAAAATGAAGAATACTCGAATTATGAGTTGATCACAGACAGACGTATAGTTGGTATGACAATTGAAAACACTCTCACAGAGCATATTGACATCTACTTTAGACCGTCTAATTCGCTTCTTTTATTCTTGTATATTGCAGTGGTAAGTTATTTCTTGTTAACATTGTTTTAAGCACTGGTAATTAAATCAAGGGGAGAATTCGTAAAATGTTGAGTATATTTCTCATTTTCACAGTTCAAAAAAATAATTTAATCGATCTATTCTCCATATCACGAATTAAAGCAAAACCATCGCTTTTATTAGGTGATATATGCCATGCGTTGATAGAGCGTAGTCCATAAAGCAATAATTACGTTTGTTCGATCCTCAATCCATCAGGTGCATCAGCAATGCGAATAGAACATCTCTGCTTTGTATACGATATTTTTATGAATTATATTTCTATATTAGGACAAGGTCACAATATCAAACGTGCTAAATCACCAATATAAAGCGTAGTTGGTAATTTGTATGGTAATTATTGTATTGGAAGATGTATTATCGTTCTTGGCCGTGTATGACTATTCCTATTGTCTTTTGCCGTTAATATTGTGGTCTTATGAATGGAATCCTCTGTTTTCACAGCTATTCGTAAATTATATGCACCTTCCCATTTATTTAATTTTTTCTCATTTAAGTTAACCCACGCGATGATACTTTCAATAGCAGACGAGGGAAAAAGGTACAAAAACAAGGAGGACATACAGGCACTCACAAAAAAAATAAGCGATGAAATACAAATAATAAACTTAACAGGCAACGTGTTCCATTCTCCTGCGCTAAAAGAGCTGTTCAAAGAGCTCAAAAAAATTACAAAATTAGAACGACTCATCGCCTCAAAAATTTTTAGTGCTTTGCCCAGCAGTGAGCTGCTGATCGGTTTAAGTATCATCGGCGAGTTTGTTGATCCAGCGAATTTGGTGGAATTAGACCTGTCGGAGAATGCTATAAGTGCAGTTCTACCAGAACCGTTCTTTGAGTTTTTGACTAGAGCGGACAAATTGAAAGTTTTGAGGATGAATAATTGCGGACTGGGCGCAATAGGAGGAAAAAATTTGGCGAGAGCATTGGAACAGGTAAAAGATAAGAGTAACTTGGAGTACATAGACATATCAAAAAATAAGCTGGATTACAGCGCAACAGAAATAGGAAGGACGTTGAGTGCATTTCCGAATTTGAGAACGATCAAAATACAGTATAATACGATACAGAGGGTCAATATGGATGATTTTATCACATCTTTTGAATTTCACTTCTTGAAAAGCCTCGATTTACGAGACAATTTGATATCTGTGAATGGATGCAGAAATTTGGGACGGTATTTTGTGAACTGGGACACTGAAGAGTTGTTCTTGGGCGATTGTTTGATAGGAAACGAGGGATTAGAGGCATTCATAACTGAGGCCAGCAAGAATATGGCGAAAAAAGCGGCACCAACAGCACATAAAACCGCAAATAATCTTGTTCTTGATTTTTCATACAACAATATATCTCAGGAAGGAGTAAATCTTCTTGAGAGCTACTCAAAAGATATCATGATCAACAAATTGATGATTTACGGCAACGATTTCGAAGACTGTTCTGCACTAGTAGGAAATATTTCTGAAAATAAAGGACGGGTGGTATACGAAGATCCGGATGAAATGGAGACTAACGAAATTGATGAGTCGCTTGTTGAAAAGTTTGCAAAAATTTTATGATAAATGAATGTTGAAAATCAAGTAGTGTTGTTCACTCTCCTCACGTGTACACGGATGCGTTATATTACGATGGTGTTTTAGTTGCTAATGAGAGGTTTCACGCAATTGATCCTGCTGTGTAGTAATATCTGTGTTTACGATATATTTTTTGTGTAAGTACTCAATTGCACCCTGTACCGCGATAATATCTTTTTATCATATTTAACAAGCATGTGCACTGCCATCAATACCAATCTTGTACCGCGATAATATCTTTTTATCATATTTAACAAGCATGTGCACTGCCATCAATACCAATCTTGTACCGCGATAATATCTTTTTATCATATTTAACAAGCATGTGCACTGCCATCAATACCAATCTTGCCCAAATGTTGATTTTCAATCTTCCTTTAGCATCAATTTCTGGTACATGAAACATACGAATCGGTAACGAATTCGTTCATAACAAGTGAATACGTGCCCTTACGTATTTTTATGATACATGCATGTGGTAAATTGTGGTGCACCATATAAGAGCATCATTTATACAAGCATATCATGCCAATACCATACTCCATAGTTCCATTTAGAACAACATTCGTGATCGTTTCGTGTGAAATACGACATATCGTTTTCAGCTCATCAATCCGAGTTCCTTATAAATTCAGTTTTTCCTGTGATTATTCGTTCCATTGATACCTCCGTTCGTCACTGCGTGTGGTAAGAGTAACATCTTACAAGACAGGTACGTGCCATAAGGCACAATTAATTGCTTTATTTGCAGTCTCAATGTCGTGCACAATATTTTGCCACACAAACACCACGGACATCGTTGTGTGGTATGGTTGGCATACATAATTTTATCCTTTTGAATTATACTCCTAAAACGATCCTGTGCAAAGAACAATTCAACATACTGCACTACCGGTACATTTTGTGGATATGATTACCTGTTATAAACAATAAAGCAAGAAAGGTACGTTTTAAGGCTGAAATGATTTTTTTATGTGAACGGTAAAAAGCATCATACCAACAAAGTTTTATCACGCTGTTACGTTCTGTTTTGTCACCACGTGAACCAGCAGGACGGTAAGTAATATGCCTTTGGTGAAAAATATGGATTTGCAGTTCGTGATGAACAGAACTAAATTTATTTATTGCTTTAGTTACGCCGGCAAATCATGCCGCACCGGCTGTATAATAACAGTTAACGGACAGTAATGGGTGTTCAATCATATTCTGGCCACATTTGATGTGTGTGCTAATTCATGGCTAAGACATTAAATTGTATGTTTTGTAATTTTTTGTATTTCTACATTTACAGAGCGTAGAGATGAATGAGCGTGGAGAAGTAGCGAGGAGTAGAATGCTGGGTAAACGCTTTAATCGGTAGTTTGGAAGTAAATCGATCTCATTTAAAAGACCATGCTATTAAACGTGCTTTAGCAAAAGAACATCAAGAACTAGCAGCTATGAATGCGACACAATTGGTGCAAAACAAAATTTGAGGAATAAAACAGAGCAAAATAATATTTTATCACAGCACAGATATTTTTGTGCCATCTAATTGCTTACTCGTCCATCATCACAAGATAAATTTCATTTCCCAATTTTTCTCACATCCTCCCAAATAGTGCAATACACCACCGTATTTTCGAGTGATGCATCGGCCGGAGGGTGTTTATGGCGTAAATTGTGTGCTATTGATGATTTATAAAGAGAACTTTATTATTGCGTTTGAATTGTGAGCATTTTATGGCACGTTTTGCAAAAATAATGTTTAAATTGCGGATTTGATGACACCTTTCGAGATTTTGATCACGGCTTGATCTGTTTCTATATTAAAACAAAGAAATGATGTACAGCGGCAATTATTTAGTATTATTATAGTACACTCGTCTTGTTTTACCCCGTGATTGGTTGTATGCGTTCATTTTCGCGTGCATCACTTATTTGTGCAAATTTTTCGTAATACTATCGCTCATCGCTACAAGCGCTTCAACGTGCTGTTGTTGCTCTATCGTGCAGAATAAGCGCTATTTTGTGCTGTTGGAGCCGGAATACCAGGTAGAACATCGTTCCGCACCACGTCTTGAGATCAATGCTCAGGTATAGGTACCGCAGTTTATAACATTATAACTCTTCCAAGCACAGTCACACAAAAAGTATTAAACTGCAATTATTACACGTTTTTTCCGTTCTTGTGTGAAATAACGGAGGAATTTAAAAAATTTTGTTGAGGGCCGGGCACACTGCCGAACTGTTACAGAGCAGTGGTAAGTAACACATACCTTAGATAGCCGTACCGCAATGATTCGTTCGCAAAAGTCTTTTCTCTTTAATTACATCACTGTAAAGCACAGTGATCGTAATTTGTAAACATGACAGAAACGATCAGATCCTTTAATCCGCATGTGAAGAGGGAAACCATTCTTATCGGCCTGCACAGCCGTAAACGGTACGTATATGATGAATATAATAAGAAAATGTGCTGTACATGGTAATGGGCGCATCACATGCTCATTCTCACGTGCTGAAAGAACAAAATATTCCGTTATTTTACATGTATCAAGGTATTAGCCGGTTTGTTATTTCTTGGTGTCGTGATCATTTACTTAGAACTGGGGAATTGGCAGTTCCTTAGGATTAAAATACCTTACTGTTTCAGAGTTGAAAGGTATTTTCTCCTCCCATCATCTTAACATTTTCTGTTCCATAGCACCAAAATATTTATTTTTTCGAACTTTTCATCATCGCTGAACCAAAATACCCCGCACCACACCTCAAATTTTCCTTTGCTCATTTACCAGATGTTCTCACAAGAAAAGTGTGCTTGTTTGGATGATGTGGCACGAAGTAATGGCAAACGTACTTTTAATATAAAAGTATCAGGTGTTCCCAATTAATTGCCAGTCAAAATAAAAAGGTACTTTCCTTACGATCAGTGTTACGCGATCAGCATCATTTGTAGAAGAACACCTTTTTGGTGGTGCTGAGACACTTTTTGGCTGCAAGAACGTTTCTCTAGATCGTTACGTCCTTTTTTATAACCGCAATTGCTCAAAATTGCGATATTAACGGATCGTTTCACAGGTGATAAAAAACGTGGTATGGAGGTGCCTGGTGCACATACACGCGTTCCGGTGCGTGCTGTGCTGTGTGCCGTGATGATCACCAATTTTTAATTTAACATTAAAAAAGCGACATTTTCTTGCCCTATAAAAATAAAAAGCGTGCATGAGAAATAAACAAAACGCAATGCACACACCGTTGAACAACGAAGAGGAGTTCGAGAATATGGAAGTGTACGAGCCGGACGAGATAATAGAATCATCGCCAAACAGGAAGTACGTGAAACTGGGATGCAGGCTGGGCAGCAGCAACTACAAGAAGATATTTCGGGCGAAGCAGAAGGTGCCGTACACATCGGGTGAGCTGCCCGAGGTGAATGAGCATGGAGAGGTGCAGGAGTACAAGAAGGTGGGCGTGGTGTGGAACGTAGTTACCGTTTCATCGCTTGACCAGGAGCTCATCGACAAAAATACATACATTGAGGAGATGGAACGTATAAAAGCGTGCAAGCATCCCAACCTGATACGGATCATTGATTCGTGGCAGTATGAGGACGACTACGTGACAATCACCGAGGAGATGAGCGAGGGTAACATCAAGGAGTACATCGGTAAGCATGGTATGCCCACGCGAGAGCGTCTTCTTGACTGGCTACACCAGATTTTGGCTGGGCTTAAGTGCATGCATGGCATGCACATCATACACAAGAATTTGAAGTGTTCGAACGTCTTTCTGTCGGTGCGTGATGGAACCGACATCGTAAAATTGGGCGACTTCGGCATTTCTGAAGCGAAGTTTAAGAATAGAATGCCCACCGTGGGCACCCCTGAGTTTCTGCCCCGAGAAATTTATGAAGGTTCGCGGTACACCGAGGAAGTGGACGTGTACAGCCTTGGGTTCCTTCTGATCGAGCTGTGCACGGGCACGTGGCCATATGCAGAGTGCAAAGATGAGTTTGACCTGCTCAAGAAGGTGCTACTTGGCCAGTTACCGTCTGCGGTGCACAAAATCAGAGATTCGTGTCTTAAACACCTCATATTTCGTTGCATCACTTCAGTTTACGACCGTATCACCGTGGACGAGTTGCTCGAGCACCATGTCTTCTTCCCTGACGAGCAGTGCAACCATTTCTGTATTTGTGAGCGACCAGGCACCGTTTTGCAGCTTGCAAGGAGCAAGAACAACCTGCAATGCACGCTCATATCAATACAACCTGATGCCATGCATCTCCAGCTGCACCTGCCCGAGTCCGAGCAGTTCATCCGTTTTAAATTCCATCATGACAAGGATACGATCGACAGCGTGATGTCTGAAATGCTTGAGGAAGAAATCATCCGTACAAACATGTATGCCGAGCTGTGCGATCTTTTTAAAACGAGTATAGAACGTGCGAAGAAGATTAAATCGTTGAATATTGTAGAAGAGGGCATTTTCGACGTTGGAATGATTGAGATTAAGCAGATACAACTCGGTGAGCACTTGATCATGGACGTTGATCAGGGATATGCCTATGCTAGTCGTGGTGGAGGGGGTGTTAATGGGGAGGAGTACAGCGAAATTGATTATGAGAGGATGAAAGAATGTGATGTGCACCAGTATGCATCTCCTGATGAAACAAAGGATCGTGATGTAGTTGATCAGCTTGGAATGGTGGACAAAAGAATGGAGAAAAGGATTAGAGAGGATGAGTCGGAGAAGAGCGGTAGTTCGTTTGTGGTGGAGAGCAGGGAGGTGTATGGGCAGAATGATGCACCAGTGCTCACAGTGATAAGGTCTGACACGGTGGTTGATGGCGATGAGGACAGGTCTAAGGATGAGAGGAACGGTAAGGATCGGAACAGTGATAAAGATGAGAATGGCGATAAGAAAGGGGATGGTGATAAAAGTACCGCTAGTAACAGCGACAGTATCACTGAATACAACGGTGAGTCTACGGCTGAAGATTTTGCTGCAAAGGACGCTAGTACGGCTATAATTGTTAATCCATTGGAGAGCAGCTCACTGCATGGTGTACTGCTGGGAGACAGCGAAAAGGAGAAAGAGGCACGTAATGGAGCTATTGCTGAGTATGTAATTCGTGGGCAGCAGGGTGTTGGTGATAGTGCGTGCCAGAACAATGTGGAGAAAGAGGGTGTGGGTAGTACATCTGGTACGTGCAATAAAATAAAAGAAAATAAAAAGGCTGAAAATGATGTTTTGGGTCAGAATATGGGGTTAAAGGAGAGTGTATATGATGGGGATGGCACGTATCAGAGGATGGAGCAAAGTAGGAGTATGTTGGTTTCTGCTGGTCAGAAAACGGAGCAGAGCAAGGACTCGCCATCAATAATTCAGAAAACGGAGCAAGGCAAGGACTCGCCATCAATAATTCAGAAAACGGAGCAAGGCAAGGACTCGCCATCAATAATTCAGAAAACGGAACATGGCAAGGATATTACGCACGATGAGAAAGCCGTGAAGGATGAGGATCGAGTGAGCATTGAAGATTTCGTAAATGAAACAGCATCAATAGTGAACAGAACGCCTGATATAGCAAATGAATGGGTAAAATTGCTCAAGGAACAGGAGATAGACACGGTAGAAGATCTTAAACTGCTCGTGGAAGAAGACTGGGATGCACTTGGTCTACCCGTATTTGCAGCACGTGCAATGATGAACACCCTGTACGGCAAAGATAGACAGCCTGTTAAAGAGAAGCACCAAACAACGAACACCTCAATACCTGAGTACACAGATGACCTGCAAATCAAAGATTTCATCGTTGATGTGTGTACGCTTGCATGTAAGATTGAGAATGCGTCGCTGTGGGAGGCCAAGCTTACCAATCAGGAGATACGTACGGTTGGTGAGTTCAAGTCGCTGCATTCTAAGGATTGGAACAAGCTGGGACTGTCAGTGTTCTGCTACAGGATCCTTAAAAATATTTTAAATAGAAAGGGAAGATTACCTTTTGTGAGGTGAGGTAGTCTTTAAATTATGTTAATTAGTTTGGTTTAGTAAAGTGATTGTTGTACAATGGGGGTGTTTTATACAGATGGTACGTAGAGTGTTGTACAAGTGGTATTTGTGTGAATTGATGGTATTGGTGAGGTACCTTGGATCAATACATCGTTACAAATTTAATAAGATATATCTAAAGGTGATGCCATGTAATAATAGTTTATCCAGTGTCTTTGTCAATAACCATACGTGTGTAATAGAGGCTGCCTTTGGAAGAGGAGGGATGAACGTATTTAAGTTTCTAAAATTGAAGGGTTTTTAATAATGGTGCATTCTTGAAGGATAAGGAGATGTGATATTAGGGTATAGTGCGTATTTATGAATGGTAGTGCTGAAAAAGATAGGAGAAGATAATTAAACGTACTTTTAACGAAAAAATGTGTTGAAGAATGCTTTTGTATTCGATAGGATAAGTTGCACGTAATTGGCAGGGCAATATCATGAGAGGGTACGGAACAGGGGCTGAAATACGGATTGACTGGGAGTGAGTGAAATAGAGTGAATGATTGAATGTGTTGATTGGCAAGGAGTGAGTGAA